AGATGGCGGCGGGTAACCCTTTCGGGCTCCTTAGCCGGGTGGCTGTAGGCGCCGACGGTGCCTGCTCGCCGCGGTGTAGTACGCAGCCCTCGACGGCCATGTGGCGCTGTGCGCCGCTGCGCCGCTGGCCATTAAGTGCGCCCTCGTCGTCGTCAAAACGCGTATCAGGCCGCGGCCCCGCCCACCCCGCCTCGTTTTTAGTCATCTCGTTCATGGCACCCTTCTTGTCTAGCTGGGAAGCCCGCGGTGGGGGGCGGGCCACAATCTGGAGACGCGGAGGCGCTTCTTGTCGTCCTGCGCGGCTTCTTTTTCTTCGTTGCGGTCGTCTCGCGGGGGTAAATGAACGGACGGCCGTTGCAGTGCCTTGGGGGCTGGGCCGGGACGGCGACGGCCAGGGCCAGAGGGCGCGGCCGGCGAGCGGGCCGCCGCGTCCTCGGCCACACCCAACGGGGGGATGGGGGCATGACGACTGGGCATGGGTTTGCACTCTTCAGAAATGAAGGGTGGGGCACGTCGGCTCGTCTTCGTGCCGCTCGGCCACGCTCCGCCACGCTCGGCGTTCGCCCGCCCGCCCGGCCGCCCCTCCAGGGGCCTTGGCGCCGTAGGGTAGGCCGCAGGGCGCCCCAGGGCCTCGGCGGTGCGAGGGGCCGGCCGTAAAGCACAGCACGCGGTGCTTGGCCTGCCCGGCCGCCTGGACGCCCGGCCCGGACGGCCGGCCTCGCGGGCCGAGTTCGTTCTCGTCGAAGGCGCGCTGAGTTATCGTGATCCTGGCGGCGGCATCCCGGTGGCATCATGGCGCCCCGCAAATCGGAACGGATGAGCCACCCCGTGGGCCAGCCGTGGGCCAGCAGAGCGGTCCCGAACGCCGCTTCCTGTCTCTCTCGCACTCGATCGGCGCTCCGCATCGGCGCGAGAGAGACGGAGCGACGAAACACTCAGCAGCAGCGCGGTCGCCGCATTCATACCAATTTCTCTGCGCCGCCCCCGCATTTTATCCGGGCGGGCCGATACGGCGAGGCGGTGGGGCCGACCTGGCCGGCAGATAGCGTGTCCGGGCCGTCCAGGCAGGCGTGGCCGCCCCGCCGGCTTGTCCAGCACTGCGGCCCTTGCTTTATCTAGTTTATGGGGCCGCCTCGCCGGGCCGCCCTGCTGCTGTGTGTGGTCTGCTGGGTGATCCTCCGATCTCGATTTGCGATGTCCAAGACGTCAGCCGCACACGACTCGTCGTCCAGCCCGCTGCGGCCCGCTGGGGTTCGCCCCGCAGGCCCTGCAGAGCGACTCCGAGCAGAGCTATCGGCGCTTCTGTCCGTCTGCCTCTCTCTCGCGCCGCAGCGGAACGAACTCGTGAGTGCGAGCGAGACCGAGCGAAGAAGGCACACGGCTCGGAAACAGTCCGCTGTCGTGCCATTACCCGCCGCGGGTGTAGCTAGCGCTGCCGGAGCCGGGCTGACCCTGTGCCCCGCCACAGTAGCGCTGTCGAATTTGGCGTCGTTTACGCCCCGCGCTACGCCACGCCACGCTGCGCCGCGTCCTTGGGTGGCGCCCTCGTCGTGTCCGCGTGCCACGCCCCGCCACGCCCCACGCCCCGCCCGTCGAAGGGGGAGGGGGCTAGGGGCGCGTCGACCTCTGCTGGAGGACAAACTTAATCAGTGCGTTTGATGTGTCCCGGTGCGACGCGGGGGTGGCGGGGTGGTCGTGTGTGTGTGCGCGCGTGTGTGTGTGTGTGTGTGTGTTTTTGGCGCCGGACTCTAAACGCGACTCCGTGGTGGTGCCGCCAGGTGATTGTGTCTATATGCAAAGTGAAATTTGGGGTGTGGCGCCGCGCAGCAGGGGATGAGGGTCCGCACTAATGCAGGAACTGGGGAAAGAAAATTAAAACGAAACCGTGCGAGTGTGTGTGTGTGTGTGTGTGTGTGTGTGTGTGTGTGTGTGTGTGTGTGTGTGTTCCGCGGGAGTGAGTGGCCGGCGACCGCCACGCCCCGGTCCGTCACCTTGGAGTCCGCGAGCGTGCCTAGAGCGTGCCGAGAGAGCGTGGTGGACCGGCGTGTCAGTCCGCACCTATGACGTGACCTCAGGGCGTGCGGCCGCTCTGGAACTAATCTGTCTGCCCACGCGCGCGCTTGGGCCCGGGCCAGACTGGACAACACGCCGCCACGCGGCGGGCACGCTGGAAATTGGAAGCCGCGAACGCGGAGTGAGCCTCTCGGCCGCTATCGGTCGAACGCGGCGGCGACGACGACGCGATGACGCCGGCGTGGGAGGCGTCGGAGTGCCTGTTTTGCTTGACGGGGACCTTGTCGCCATTGCGCAACACGGCCCTAGCGCGCCGACGGCCGTAAACCCTATCGTGACGACGTTGGGCGTTTGGTGGGCCGAGGGCTGGGCCGTGCTTCGCGCATTTTGGGACGACGCCCCGGCCTCCTGGAGGCCGTGAGGGTCGACGCCGACCCCCCGGGCCGCGCGTTGCCCGATCCGCCCCGTTCCTCGCTCGCGGTGCTGCTGGCGGCCTGGCGTGGGCTTGACGTGCCGCTCTCTGACGGGGCTTCCGGGCGCAGGCAAGACTTGGAGACTCAAGGCGAGGCGGCGTGCGCCAAGCAGCGCCAAGGCGGCAATGGCGATTGTCAGCACCGCGTCGCGTCGCCGGCACGCCTGGATTGCTCGTTGCATTGTGATTGCAGCGAGGTGGGCGGCCCGGCCCGGCCCCGCCGACGCCCACCTCTCGGTCCATTGTACCTAGCCGGACGGCGCAACGCGGCGCAACGCCGGAAGGCTTTCTAGCCTCCTCGCGGCGCTGCGGGTGTTTGCCTGCACGACGGTGACGGCGTCGCCCTGACGGCCACCCCCAGCCCCCGGGCCAGGCCCCGGGCCGGGGGAGGCGGATGTGGCCGACTCCCACGTCCAGCCGGGGGTTGGGTTCATTTCCAGAGTGTGCGTCAGGCCGGGCCGGGCCGGTCGAGCCCTGGTCTCGAGAGCCAGGACTTCTTTATTGTTTGGTCTGGGCTGGGGAACTCGGACTCGCGGGGCTTGGGGTCGGGTCGGCTGGCTTGGCTGGCCCGCCCCGACTCGGCTCTTTTGTGCGCGCTGTTCCCCACGGCCCCGGCTGGGCTCGGCTCGGCAGTGTCACGACCCTGGTGCCCCGCCGTGCCCGCCTGCCCTGCCCTGCCGCACTGCACGGCTCGCTATTAATCCCAGTCATATAGACTGTGCACGACGTTGGCGCCGCCCCAATACGCTCTGCCCGGCTAGGCTCTGCTTGGCTCTGCTTACATGACAGGAGTGGCGCAACGCACACACTTAAACATTCACACACACACAGACAGGCGCGCCAGCTGGTGGCCAGGCTGTGGCCCACTCGGACGCCCGGCCCGGCCCGCCTACGCGGCCGTCTCGTATCGGGGCGCGGCTAAAGAGGCGCGGGACAAGTTTCACTCTCGCGCGCTTCGCCGCTTCGCGCTCCGCCCTGTGCCCGGCGTTGTTTCGGGTTTGTTGTGGTGGTGGCGCGGCGTGGCTGATGGCGGTGCTGACGGGCACGCAGGTGCGACGCACTCGGCGCACTCCACGTCGTGGGGTGCCAAGAGACGCGACTCGTTTAGCGCCTCTCTGAAAATGATGTCGCATTCACTTGAATTTGCGACGCTCGTCGTTTGTGGGGGGGGGGGAATGGCTCTGCAGGCAGCCTGAGTGAAGTCATTTTCGTCGTATTTTCGGGAGCACCAGTCTCTGCGTCCAGATTGAGTCATGCTGTGCTTTCGGTGTAGAAATTGTGTGTAGAAATTGAAAGCCCCGCGCGGGCGGGGCGCTTGGCGCTCTTGGGATGCCGGCCGCTCCTCGGTCGCTCTCTTCGGTATGCGGGACTGCGGCGCTGCGGGGCGGGCCGGGGGGGCCGGGGATTCGGTGGATGTCGTTTTCTTTATGACACATTGTGCCCCGCGCGGCGCACGGCGCAGCGGGTCCCCCGAGGGGGGGGGGGGGAGGGGGGGTCAGGTGGGAGGGGAGGGAGGCGTCACCTGTTGCTCTGCGTGGCGCGGTGGCACGGTGGCGCGTGCCCTGGGCCTGAAAAATGGGTGGCGGATGGTTGCCTGCCCTGCGGCCGGCCGTCGTCTGGGTCGGCCCTCTTCTTTCGTAGGAGCCCTTTCCACGTGCCTTTTTTTTTTTTTTTTTTTTTTTGCCGCCCGTTGACACCGCCGTGTCTTGCGAGATGCTGTGCGCACTGCAGTGCAGTGGCGTTCCGTTGGCGGCCCTGCCCGCGCTGCGAGCTCGCCGCTTTAATTGCCGGCTGAAGTTACGCGACAAGTTTTGCGTTACCGCGGCGGCGGCGGGGTGCTCGCGGTGCTTCCCTGTCTCTGCCGCACCCATGCGGCCTACGAAGCGCTCCAGGAGCGGGAGAGAGACGGGGCGAGCGCGCTGGTTGCGCGGGAGGCTGAGCGGTGCAATGGCGGTGGCGCTGGGGCGCAATGAGTGAGCGCCCCGGTCCCGTTGGCGAACTGGCGGCCGCCACGCGCCACGCCTCGGCTCGCCCACTTTTGTCACCTTTGATCGGCCACCGGCCGGTCGTGCCTTGCCGTTGTACGCCTTGTGTGCACGACGGCGACCTTGGCGAGCAGAGCGGAGCGCAGAGCCGAGCCGTCGGCCGTCTGGTCTGGTCTCTGGTCGGGATGCGTGGGACGCACGTTCTGGAGCACAGCCTTGGACTGGACGCCAAGCGTAGCGCGTAGCACGCCTATCGGTTTAGCGTTAGCGGCGTTAGCGCACCTCGACTGGCTGCGGAGCGCGGAAAGGAATCTGCGCGGCAACGCGCCAACAACACCGCCCCGTGCCCCGCCCCGCCCCGCCCCGCCCAGAGAGGTGGGGTGGAGTGGGAACGGAGCCCCCGACGGGTGGGCCAGCCCGCGAGTCGCGCGCGCCGCCGGGCTGCCTACCTCCCAGGCTGGCTCGCCCCGCTGCACGATGCACTTGGCTCGACTGTGACTGACGTTGCCTTTTTGTTTCTCTCTGCGCAGCAACTGTTCCGCAGCCAGCAGCAGCAACAGCAGCAGACCGCCCCCCAGCAGATCCAGCTTCTGCAGCAGCAGCAGTACCTGGCGACGCAGCAGCAGCAGCAGCTGGGCATCGCTGCACCGGCCGCCACCTTCACGAGCGCCCCCTACCTCATCAACGCCCAGGAGCCCTATGTGGGCACCCTCATTGCCGGTGCGTAGTCGACCTCATCGGAGGGTTGTAGTGGAGGGCGCCTGGAACCTCAATCTCGACTCTCGAACACGACTCTGGTTGCCTTTTCCAGGTCCCACCGTCGTCCCCCAGTACTATGGCATGGGGCCGTGGGTCTACCCCGCCAACATCATCCAGCAGGGAGCTGCGGGCGCGCCTCAAAGGCGGCCGCTCACGCCCTCCTCGACCACCGAGCTTAACAACAGCACCACCAACCTCACTCAGGTGCGCACCCGCCCTTGCATTTTCATTTGACTTGTTTTTTCGCATACCTGACTTTAACGGGCATGTTGGGCTGCAGGTCCAGGGCCAGTACCAGGTCATCCCCGCGTACTACGACCAGAATGGTTCCATAGTGATGGGTAACGTCCGAGGCATCGGCAACGGCACCCCCATGAGACTCGTCTCTCCCGCACCTGTGATAGTCAACGCCGGCACCCCCGGCGGCAACATGCGACTCCTGGGCAGCCAGCCCCAGCAGATCGCCACCCCACCCGCTGCCTCCTCCATCTACAGCAGCAACCAGCCCGGCTCGCTGTACTCCAGTTCCAACGGCACCGCTCTCGGAGGTAAGCGTCTCCGACGCACCACCCGTTTCATTAACATTTTCTTTTTTACTTTTCCTGTTTTGGTGTTGGGGCAGGGAATAATCGTACTGGCTTGTTTTTTTGTTGTTGTGGTGGTTCTTCTCCTTTCTAAATATGTTCTTAATAATTGTTAAAGCTCACTGGTTTTCCTTTGTTTTCCCTGATTTTTCTGAGATTTAAATTTATTCGATTCATAAGTGTGCTGTATTCTACTCTCAGATAGTTTATTTTATTTTGCATGCCATTTTGTCGTGCAGTTATTTATAACAATTCCTTCAATAATTTAAAGATCTTTCGTTTTATTCATATTTTACGTATGTAATGATAATGCATGCCGTATCTTAACAAGAGCTCTAGACCTTGATATCATTTCCCTTGTTGTGTTAGTGTTAGAATTGACTTGCCTTTTGGAGAAAGTAATGAATGTGGCTTGCCCCTTGGCACACGTGACTGCTCAGGTGGAGGGTTCGCTTCGCCGTCTGCCTCTCACGGTTTTGGCAGCAGCAACTTGGGCACTATTGGATCGCCCGCAAGCCTGTCCTCTCTTGGAGCAGGTACCCTTTTGCATGTGCATGTCCCTGTCTGTGCTCAGTTCAGTTAAATCACATTTGCAGTCTTCGCGTTTATCCTACTCGCCACCACCACCCGCGCCGCGCACTCAACACATCATTGCATTACACCACACATTCAGACATCCATATGGTTTGTCTGACGTTTGTCACTCTTGCACTCTGTCATGATTCCCAATTACCGCCTTCATCATTCATATGTCACAACACTTTTACCTTTTGCCTTAGCAAGTCACTTTTTACTGTTTCTAGTTAATGCACGGTTTCAATGTTTTTTGCATGGGGTATTCATTTATTTGGTAGCTTTTGGTTGAGATGAACTAACTCTTGAGTCAAGCTTTCGACACAACCATTGATTGCTTTCACACTACCAGCAAGTATGAGTCCATGTTAATCTTCATTTATGAGTTTCTTGTGCCTCACAGAAGTATTTTAAGTTTTTGCCTTCTATTTCTTGAGATAATATATCACTTCTGTCTTATTGGCTTCCATTTGTCTCCAATTCAATGAATATATCAATTTAAAGACAATTTAAAGATGATTTACTGCTTCACTTCATAAAAAGTACCTAAAGGTTGAATTCATGCCTTAATTTTGTTTTCAATTGGCCATTTGAACCATCCTCATGCTGCTCACTGATTTGAAAGCCTTTTTTAAGCACAATTTTGCTATTTGTGTTATTTGTTATCTTATGTTACATTGATTAATTCTATTCTGGTGGCCTGGTAGGAGTGGACGTGTCAGGCACTGGCCTTGGTCTGGGCACAGGCAGCTCAGGCAGGCGAGACTCATTTGACCGCAACACATCCGCATTCTCGCCATCACTTGAGTACAACAGGGGGAAATGGCCGCAGAGCTATGGTGCATTAGGTTAGTACTGAGAATATGTAATGTTGATTTTGAGTCTGTGCATGCTTGGTTTATATTGGTTTTAAATTCTTGAGTTATGTCGACTTTACTTTTCACTGAATTTGTGGTATAGATTGAAAATAGTGTTGGCTCTGTGGATTTGGTCTGAAAACTGGCATTATTGAAAGTGTTGTCTATTTTGCTCTTTTTTTAGGAACAGTAACAGCATCTCCCAGTCCCTTAGGACTGACCTCCGGGTCATTAACTCCTCCTCCACCATCTCTATCAGCCATGGGCAGTTCGTCCAACTTGGCCTTAGGAACACTAATGGGAGGAGCTGTCAATCATCGTAGTAGCTTGTTATCAGCTGCTCCTGGCGCTGAGGCAGCCAAGTTTAGAAATGGAGGTCCTCACATGGTAGGACTCACAGCCAATGGCATGTTTGGATCAAGCTCATCATTGTTCAGCAAATTTGGAGCAACTAATGCTAGAGGAACAGTAGGATCTGGTTTGGAGAAGCCCCCAGGAAGAAGTCGTCTCCTTGAAGATTTCAGGTTTGTTTTTTGGTCTTTTTTTTTCCTTTTTTTTTCTTTTTTGGTGTTATGTGATTATATTCCTCTAGTTGGCATCTACTTAATATGATCCATTCTCTTGTTTCAGAAATAACCGGTTTCCCAGCTTGGGTTTACGAGATTTGGCAAATCACATTGTTGAATTCTCTCAAGATCAGCATGGGTCACGTTTTATCCAACAAAAGCTTGAAAGGGCATCTGTTGCAGAAAAGCAAGTGGTGTTCAATGAAATTCTTTCAGCTGCTTACAATTTAATGACTGATGTGTTTGGCAACTATGTCATTCAAAAGTTCTTCGAATTTGGAACACCTGATCAGAAAACAACCTTGGCTCAAAAGGTAAATAAATTGCGTCTTACTTTATAAACTTAGATGTCAGTTTGTTGTTTGACTTTTCCCTTTCTAATGTATCATGTTCTTTCAGGTTCGAGGTCATGTCCTGCCACTGGCTCTCCAGATGTATGGTTGCCGAGTTATTCAGAAGGCACTAGAGTCAATCTCTCCTGAACAGCAACAGGAAATTGTAAATGAGCTTGATGGTCATATTCTTAAGTGTGTGAAAGACCAGAATGGAAACCATGTTGTGCAGAAATGCATAGAATGTGTGGAGCCACATGCGCTTCAGTTCATTATCAATGCTTTCCAAGGACAAGTTTATGCTCTCTCAACTCACCCATATGGATGCCGGGTGATTCAACGCATCCTTGAGCATTGTACTTTAGAGCAAACATCACCTATTCTGGAAGAGCTCCATAGCCAGACTGAACAGTTGATCCAAGATCAATATGGAAACTATGTCATTCAACATGTGCTTGGTATGTTGTAACTTACTTGAACCTTGACGAAATAATATAGATCCTCAAGGTTGGTTTCTAAAAATTTGTTGTTATTTCAGAGCATGGCAAGCCGGAGGACAAATCTCAAATCATCACCTCTGTTAGAGGGAAAGTGCTAGTGCTGTCCCAGCACAAATTTGCATCAAATGTGGTGGAAAAATGCGTTACTCATGCGACACGTGCTGAAAGGGCATTTCTCATAGAAGAAGTTTGCAGTTTTAACGACAAGTAAGTTAGATTTGTTTTCTTTACATTAGTGCTGATGGCATACTTTAAAGTGACGTTATAAAATTTTAGATGTTGTCTTATGAGATTTTCTTTTCTTTTTCCTCCTTCCAGTGCATTGCACGTGATGATGAAAGATCAGTATGCTAATTATGTGGTTCAGAAGATGATTGATGTGTCGGAACCTGCTCAGAGGAAGGTTTTGATGCACAAAATCAGGCCGCATCTAAACTCTCTGAGGAAATACACTTATGGGAAGCACATCATCGCTAAACTTGAAAAATACTTCATGAAGACAGCAAATGCTGTGAATGTGGTTGGGGGTGTCGGTGTTGTGGGGAGTGATCTTGGGCCTATAGGACCTCCTCCCAGTAACGGAATGTAATTTGAGGTTCTGAGAAATGACTCCAATGGGGTTGGTGAAAGCTTCTGCTCTCACTATTATTTAGCCTTGGTGTAGCTTTGCATGCATCAGATAATGTAGTGCAAAGTTATGATGTGGGTATAAGGAGGAGATTAAACCTCTATTATGTGTGCTTTTTTTCACATTCATTTATTTTGTGTGACCTGTGGAGATGGTAGTTTCCCTGTGAGTAAGTAATTACTTTTAGTATTTTAACTCTGTGGAGACCGATTGTGCTTTTCTTTCCATTGAGTATGGTAAAGTGACTTTTGCAGAATTGATATCTGATTGGATTGTGGACCAAGAGCAGACAGGACAGCCCATTAGGGCACTACTATTGTATACCTGTGTACATTAGGGGCAAGCTGATCATATTTATTTTAAATTATTTTACTTTTTTCATGTAGTCCATAGAGAGCTGTACAGAAACTTCCATTGACCTTTGGGGCTGTGTTATCCTTTTGCAACATCCTGTCTGCAATTCATGTACAAGTCCTGAAAGGATTTTTGACATGCTGGATAATTGAAATTAATTCCTCTGAAGTTGTGATATACACTCAGGTAGTACCTGGAGGCTGAAACATTTGCGCTAATTATTTCCAAACCAGTATGTACTTTTCACTTGTGCCTCTTATTCATGAGGTCTCCATGACACTACCCGTTTTGGGGCTGCCTTAACAAAATGAAACCTGTAGATGTTGGCCGAAACAAAAACTGTTTAGAATCAGGGTACCAAGTATTTCAGTCATGACTGTTCTCTAAGACGCACTCTATATGAATCTTGAAATAGCCAACACAGCAAGAACTGTAGTGTGTAGTGTACCTTAATATCAAAAAAGGACCAATGTAGACTATAAACCAACAGTAATTGTCAACTCATAGTCTCAATATATTTCGGCTTTTCCCATTTACCTTTTATGCTCAAGTGATTCTTCCTCTGGAGTTAACGACAGAAAAATTCTGGTGTCTCAATTTTCAAAATTTAAGAAGTACAAGTGAAGTAACAGTAATGCCTGTTAATTAGTGTAAAAACTTAGCATTGTGTAGAACTTAATTTCGTTTTCTCAAGTGAAGCGAGCAAGTAAACCATTCAAGTAATGTAAATATATTGACTGCTGTGTAGGTGTAAACAATATTTAAAGTAATGTTGACATGGCATTTATTTGCTTTCATGTAACTTTGTCTTTGGTTATTTGAGAAATGAACTTGTTTTAATGATTTTTCTAATATTATTTTTTTATTTGCCTCCTTGTACAGTCATTGACTGCCCCCCTCCTAATGTTCTCATTGTGCAGCATGAATAAGTGTGTGAATGTAAAAATGAAAACTTAGTACACTTTTTATCAATCGTGTAATGTATGATTTATAAATATGGAGCAATCAAATTGTAAAATTGGATCACTGACATATGTAAACATTTTTAAAAATTTGAGTATGCATTGTAAAGTGTACAGGCAAACATTTGAACAGAGAGATATCCCAAATTATTTTTATTATTGACTTCATTTGGACTCTGTATTAAAGTCATATACAGAAAAAGGGAATTGTTGTTTAGTACAGGTGTCTATTTAAAGCATTTACTATATGTTAAATTTATTTGTGTAAAAGTTCTTCTGAAGCAAGTTAAATTAGAACCATTTTCACTTGCTTATGATAGTTATCAGGTACAATGTAATTTATGTTGTTTGTAGATCAGGATAATCCATGATTTTCTATGTGTAAGATGCTAATCATATAATTAATTTAACTAAAACTTAGTAGCTTTTATAGTAGTATTAGTATTTTCTCATGTTTCTCCTTTATTCTATGTTCAGCATCTTTTTGAAAATATACCTGTACACTCTCTTTCAATTGTGTAGGCAATTTGTATATTTGTTGGAGTCAATTTTACCTTCTCTGGAATTAACTCTGTAGATGCATTTTCATTGTGTAATTATTTTCAGCTTTGTAAGTACAAAGAAATTTGCTTTACCTTTGCATTTGTGGATTCTGTAATTTTAATTTTAAATTCGGTGTGATAAACGGTTCCATTGTAATTCCTCCTTTTCTGAACAAGGTTAAGTGAAGGTTTGTGCTAAGAATCTTACCTAATTCCTATTTTGGACATCTGCCTTTTCTCAAGTCTATTTGTCTGCAGCTTTACATATCCCTTCACTTCATTTACAGTGAAAGGGCTCCTCAACCATTTTTTCAGTTGATTGAATACTGAAGTTTTTGGCTTATCAGTATTGATAAATTTATTTGCATTCAAAGTATTTGACTGTTCCTAACTCCTCTTATATTGGTCCATTTCCCTGAAAGCATGTATATGGATATGTATATTTTCATGTGACTTAATTGAAAGAAATCTTGGTTGATTGGTTTTTTGTGAAAGACAATTTTTTCATTCTTGTGGAGCTGCATGTATGACTTCCTGTTTTTAATTTTTCATTGACACAATCAGTTCTCCTGTTTGTTGAGCAGGTTTTTTGGACTGAGAGAGCTGTTGTCTTTCACGAAAAATTACTTAATCATTGCAGATTTTATCTCTCTTATTGTAATATAAACACATCTTGAATCTATAATGCTTGTAATTATCTTTGTAGAACTTGTAGCTATGAGGGTGTCTCCCTTGCTCTCCACTATGTATTTTCTACATATTGTAGTATATATACATAACTACTTATTGTATATTGGTCTGTAACTGTAACAGCATTCATTATAATTTAGCTTGAGCAATGTTTTGTGTTGGAGAACCTACCTATACACTTGCTAAAAGACATATAGTGTGAAACAAATGTAATATTGTATCATGAAAGCAGCTCCCAAACTAATTTCTCATTCATATTAGGGCATTTTTGGACTTGCTTTTAGGAGGTGTTGTCTTACTGCAAGTTGTTTTATTTTACTGTTGTAAGTGTCTAGACTTTAAGTCATAATAAATGTTTCTACAGTTTGTGTGGCATAAAAAGTGGTTATGATTGCTGTATATACTTCTGTATTTAGATTTGTGTGGTAATTGTCAAATTTAGATGAAATAACTAACTAGAATGTTTTCCACAATCACTGTCTATTGATATGTCTAGAACATGTGTAATAAAATCATGGAACTAAGTTATATATAGTTATTAAATCACGTTGTGTCAAGACTGATGTAAAGTAAAAACTAAACAAAAGCATAACAAGAACCTAGTAAATGATCAGCATTCAGTTGTTTTTGTGTACCTTTTCTGTTTCTTTAAAATTGATTGACAGACATCAAGCGAACTCAGTATGCATCCAATTTCCCTTGTCCACTTACAGGTAAAAATGCTTTGCAAAATGCTAATTTTGCACTTTTTTCTTTTGTAGGGAGGGATATTTGTAAAAATTATTTTATTGTTTTTATTGTTCATTCCTAAATCATTAAAACATGCAAAGTAATCTCTAAGTAATTTCTTTCCTCTCCCTTAGTGTTACATTATTTTTTTTAAGGAATTGTTGTCTTAGGTGCACATAGAACAAATTACTAGATGTAGCAAAGCACTTGTGAATATATTGTGAACCCAACAGACGTGCTTTCAATGTTCTGCTTGACCACTTCTACATTGATCTTATGCCAGTGGCTGTCTCAATTATAAACAAAGTCCCTAGGTGTCAATGACTCTGATTCATTGTTCCATAGAACATGAAATAAATATCTTTGTATTGCTTACCACCGGATTTCATTTTCCTTTTTTTTTCCACCGCCTATCTTGCATGGGCATACATGAAGTTAAGATTACCAGATTATGCTCAATGACAGATTGTCTTAAGTCCGTCTTCAAACCAGAGTTGAACATATTAACAAAACCAACGGAATTTTACACATAGCCAGAGGCGCAACTCTTAATTTAAAGGGGCGACCGCACCGTCATTAAATTTATAGGAGCATAAAGAGGTGTCTGACTGCAAACAAATAAATCACATATTAAGAGCAAGAAGTATTTGAAAAGAAAACTTGTTTGGAGACTAACAAGTAATACCCTCGATACACTTGGCAAAAAAGAGCTGCCATTACATTTCATGTTCTTTGCCCCGATCGTTTTGAACGATTCTTATTTGGCGCCCATTACATCCCCGGGGGGTCTCGCTTCCTAGCTTCCTGTTCCTGTTACGCCAAAGGGTGGGGGAAGTGCAGCCGCAGTCAGTGGAGGGGGAGGAGGGGAGGCACGCATCCTTCTGTTGTGTTTGCCGTTGCCGGTGCGTGCAGCGGCGCTGGCGCTGTGCTTGTGCTGTTGAGTTGAGAGAGAGGCAAACCTAAACCGCGGTAAGATGGCGACCGTTGAGGAGCTGTCTGATATCGAGCTGCGGAAAAAATTGATTGAACATGGATTCGAAGCTGGACCCGTTACTGGCACGACGCGGAAGTTGATGGAGAAGAAATTGACGACGCTGATGTCACAGAAAGGCAAGCCCACCAAAGCCCCCGCCGCCGCACCGAAAGTGAACCGTACCCTGTCCCGCTTCAGTTCTGCCGAAGAGGACAGCGACGATGCCTTGGCGCTCGCAGGTAATTCTCGACGTAAAAGCATGCCGGCCGCGGCTGCTGTCAAGAGGAAGTCGATGGGGCGCTCGGCCCGCGCCGCCGAGGCCGCCGCCAGGGAGGCCCAGGTAGCCGATAACCTCTTGATGCCCAGCCCGCCTCCGCCGGCCACGACCGCCCCGCCGGCCAGGCCCAGGTACTCCATGAATGAGGCGGCGTTGAGGAAGAACTACGAAGAAAGGTCGCTGCCAACGCCTCCCCGCTCGACGCGGAAGTCCATCGCAACCTCTTCCCCCATGAAGCGCCATGGCAGCAACGGCAACGGCTTCGACTCTGGGTCAGACTCGGACGTGCCGCTGCCGAGCCCCCCCGTCAGCAGTGTGAGGTTAAGCCCCAGTCCTCGCAAAACGCACTCCCAGCCCCACTCGCACTCGCACCGCCAGGAAGACGAGGATGACGACGAAGAAGCGGAAGATGACAAGCCCATTGCGACGTTGCTCACCAAGTTGTCTGACAGATTCTTACCGAACAGTGAGTCCACTCGAATCAGCTCACCTGAATCGGGTAGTGAGCAAGTCAGGCATCGGATGAACATTGGCAGAGATCCCAGCCCAGGAGACACCCTTGATGCCCCATATCTTTCTGCATTTGCTCGTAGACTGTCAATGCTAAAACCTCACAGTATCGGTAAGCAATTTATTTTAATAAACAGCTTGCTCCTTGTACTCATTTCAGCTTCATTACATTTTATCTATTTTTCTCTGTGATCAGGAGGAAGTCGGTATGATGATGTAAAGGAATCTGATGATAGTGGTGATGACAGCGTTCAAACATCCCCTACAACAAATGGCAGTTATTACCGAAGAAGGTATTTCACACACATTTTATTGAGTTTGTTTATTTACTTTACTTGCATTTTCACATTTTTACTCCGTTTTTATTTTATTTCAGTTTGGCTGGCCCAAATAGGATACCTGTTAGGAGAGTAGACCCTGCCAGATCCTTCAAAGTATCTGAAGAAACAGTCAGTTTCTGGAAGAATTCACACGTATGTTTTCAACACATGAATACGTTAAACACATTTTAGACTATCAACACAGTATCACATAATTTTTATGTTTTGTTCCAGGTTATGTCACTTGCTATCTTAGGTGGATTTGTGATGTTTGCAGTTTTCTTAGGCATGTTGTATTTAAATGTGACCACCAAGGATGCCCCCAATAACCTGATTGAGGAGAGCTCTGTTGGTATGTATATAAGTATTCAAGGCACTTTACTATTTTGAGACCTTTTCTTTAGCTTTTCTCCTTTCCTCAGGAAATGTTTACAACATTTGCAAGGGCTCTCCAACTGATGATATCCCTGGGGTAAATATCATAACACTATGCTCCAAGTATTTCACAAAGTCTGTATTTAAATGAATGGCTCATTTTTATTTTATTTTTTTGCCTCAGGTGACATGTGTAACTCAGGATGGAGTGGCACCTGCTATGAAAATATTTGAAAGTGTGTTTCAAAACTTGTTGACTCAAGCTGTCAAGTCTGAATGTGGCCCAGCTCTGCCTGATGGAACATACCCCTCTAGCTATCTCACAGAACGTGAAGCTGTCCAAGCTGTGGTACAACATCAAGGACTGGTATTTACAACTTTTTCATCACAATTTTTTACAGTTGTGCTGAAATAAACAGACTGAAGCATTTTTTTCTATTCTCTAAAATTGCAGAGTATCTGGGAAGCCGAAGAGCAAGTTTCTAATTTAGTAGTTCTGCTCTCATCTAATCCTCACTGGGGTGTCACGGTTTTGGACAATGTTGTAAGGCATCCAGATAAAACCAAGCTTCAAGTGTCCAGTCCCAAAATCCCATGGGAATGCATCCTTAAGAATAAGGCGCTTGGTTTGTTGAGCTCTGTACTTATCATATTTTCTGGTAAGCTGCTGGCTGATCGACTAAATTTGAGTTTGTTTGAATTGACTGTTTGCTGAATGACATTCATTTGTGTCTTAGGGTTTGGTGCAGTGTTTGGATTATGGCGTGGAATTCAATGGTGGATCAGTGTTAGGCAAAAGCAACAGCAGGAGATCTATCACTATGTGGAAAGAATAATTGAATTCCTCTCCAGCCAAAACCAAATCTCTGGAGAAAGTTCCTATGTTCCTGTCATACATGTGCGTGATCAACTGATTCCTCCCCAGAACAGAGAAAGTAAGTATGTTCAACCTTCTATTGTCATTTTTTTAAATCGGTCTTTGTATATTTCCATGCCAAGAACTAAATTGGTAATCCTTTTTCTTTTTTAAGAATTGAAAGCTGTGTGGGATGCAGCTGTAAAGTTTATTGACAAGAAGGAATCCCGTGTTCGCGGAGAGATCCAACCGGTCAATGGTGAAGATTACAAAGTTTGGCGCTGGCTTCCTCCTAAGCACAATACTTCCATGACAAGTTCAACTGCTGAATCCCCCTCCACTAGCCCACAGCCCAGGTATGTGTTGAAGCAATAGCCCTTTCATATCTTAAAGCTTTTATTACTATTAATTAACTTGAAACAATATTTGTTACCTTAGGAATCGCAAGGTGTGGCAGGGACAGGCCTTTGGACTTTCTGAGAAGAGCGTGAACAACTTGTCTGTCAGTCCTACACCCTGCTTGAAAATACGTCATATGTTTGACCCTGACATGTAAGTAACATAATCTTCTAATCCCATGATTTGTAGAATAATCATTGTGCTTCAAAAATATTTGCTCATGTTTTGGGCTGTGTCTTTTGGTCACATTTCTTCATATCAATTTAATAAATTGTGATTGCTTTTTCCAGGGAGACTGGTGATAATTGGCAGCTGCAAGTTCAAGATGCTATTCTTGAAAAGTGTATTGGAGCAAAAATCTTGCACATTCATGTTGACAAATCATCGAAGGAGGGATGTGTATATGTGAAGTGTGCATCAGAAATCGATGCCGGAAAAGCTTACAAGGCCTTGCATGGATCTTGGTTTGATAGTCAGTGTCCTTTCAATGTAATATGCTTCATATGTTGTTATTTACTCCTCATTGACATTACATATTGTTCCTCTTTTGCAGGTGAATTGGTGACTGTGAAGTATTTGAGGTTGGAGCGCTACCATGAACGCTTTCCTGCTGCTACTAAATCTCGAGAGCCAATGCGTCCATCCAACAACCTCAAACTATCTTTGCAAGCGGCTGATGATGATTAAATATTTGTCTTTTTTACAACCCCTTTCTTTGTTTTGATGTCCAAGGTTTACTTGTTGACTGTCAATGGCAAAGTATAGAATAATTCATTGTCATTTGCTGAGTTCTTTTAATTACACAGAGAGGAATTGTGGTGGTTCCATGTGCCGCAAAACTTTAAAATGTTGGTGTTATACAAGAGGAGTGTCTAATGAAACTGTATATAAATTCTGTGTGCATATTTTTAGCACCCCATTTGCATTTCTGCAGGGTAATTTCCTAACTTCCATCTGAGCTGTCAAGTGAAAATAAGATAGCTGGAGCTTATCATCTTGTCATATTTTATGTAGTGAAGTATGTGAATATGTATTCACCCCACTTTTACAGTGCCTTTGATTTAACATGTTGCCATTCAATAATTTAAGGTTCCTGTGATAGTTTTAATAAATAAGCACATATTTTGATCTGTGCTTTTTGAGGTCATGATTTAACTATTTGTTGAGCTTGTAATGAAAAATGTCGGTTACATATCAAAACTTTCATCTGATTTTATTAGAGCTTTCTTAGCTTATCAGTGTACTGAATGTTAACCCTCCTGTAGCGCGCTGCTGGCCTTGCCAATTTGGGGCCTCCTTCAAAAATGTGTGTATGAAGTGTCTGTAATTTTATATTGACATTGTGCTGCATAGGCTGTGCATAGTGTATATATTATTTCTAACATAAGCTGTGGCATTCAATGTGCCTTTGTTTATTTTTTTTTTTATTTTAACTAATTTTATAGGCTCATTAGAAAACAATGGGCATTGATCCATGGATCAGAATTGTGCTGACCTGTATGTGCTTGAAGCACAATAACTTGTTCATTTGCACACCTGTACATTGTTTTAGTTATGACATTATCTTACTTTCATGAATCTGGGTTAAATGCATTTGTGATGAAAGAATTAGTTAAAATATATTGCTTCAGTTTTATTTTAATTTGCACTTTGTATTACTTAAAAATTACCTCCTTGATTTAAATTTTATCAAGACTAATTGCAAAGTGGGTGGTCTGATGCATAATATCTCAGGTGTTTTTGTGATACTCTAAATTGGAGTAAAAATTTTGTACTCAATGGAAACTTTGACATATAAATGACTTAACAGTATTATGGCAGTCGAACCATGTGCTTCACAGGAAAGAGGCTGTTATTGCTGGTAATGAGGGCATCTCAATTTCTTACCTATCCGAGGAAGGCAGCATATTTTCAATCTCATTCAATAAACATTAATTAGTGCTAGTTCTCTGTATACTTGTCGTAAGTCACAACGATCGGTATTGTGTTGAAGAGCCAATCATGTATTAGATCACATTCAACATGAAAAATGTATCAGTTTCGCCTTACTTTTTTTTTCAGTAAGAGAATTACATAGATCTCAATTAAGGATTTCTTTTTCTTAAATTTCATTTGTATGTACCTAGTTTGTTGTGAAAATAAAGTTTATGCGGTAATGAAATAACTGAAGTGCTTGTTATTGAGGAAGTTCCCGTAAAGACCCTCACGAGAAGTGCGTGCGGTGAGGGATTGGTGGAGCGGCCAGGAGATAGATTTGGGCCCTGGCCGTTGGTCCGGCCAACTGATCCGAGCGGTTCACTCACTGATCGTGCCCCTGTAGCTCTGTTCTGCCGCCTAGAGCCAGAGCAGCCAGAGCCCCACTGGGCCACTGGGCACAAACACGGCCCCAGCTCAGGCCCCACACTGCACAGCGCACGCCGCGCCGCACGCCACGGCGGGCCCGCGGGCCATAGGCGGCCCACAGACCACGCCGCACTATCAGCTGTACATCTCAAAGTTCGAGACTTTCCACTGGGACGGCCGGACAGGGATAGGCCGGCCGGGCAGTCCGGCATGCCCTGCCCGGGCTCGGGGCCGGCCAAGCTGCGAGGGGCCTGCAGGACCCGGGCCAGCCCCTTGGGGGTGGCCAACACGTACCTGACGAACGCAGAACACGAGCCCCCACGCGGCGCGCGCCAAGCCGGCCGTGCCAGCGGGAGGTCCCGGACCGCGGCGTGAGGGCGTGAGGGTGTGAGCGAGCCACGTGACGGACACCGCCGCCACATTTAAGAAGCCGCATGGCAGGAGAGCGCACCCAGTCCACCCAGTAGCCGGGGGCAGGGACAAACATTGATAACTGAGGCAAAAGGGTGTGGGTGGAGGGGGGTTGATTTCAATCTAAATTGATACAAAACTAACATTCCCAGCGCCAGGAACTTATTTTAAGCCTCGAGCGGCGTGATCGGGAGTGGCAGGCCGGCTTCGAGGCGCGGGCCGCGAGGCGCGAGGAGCGCGTGTTTTCACATACTGTATGTCGAGTCGCGTCGGGGAGAGTCGGGGCGAGTCGGGACGACTCGGCCGGGGCGATTGAGAATATTGGACCCGGTTTTCTTTGTTTTGGCGTCCTTATCAACGCGGTCGCGTCCGGACGGGGTGCTGGCGGCAGTCCGGCAGTCGTTGGAGGCGTGCAGGAGGTGACGAGGACGCCCTAGGCCTGGGGCCCTGGGCCAGGGGCCGCCAGGGGTCTCCCGGACGCCAGCATGCCCTGCAGGGCCTCGTCGAGGCTACGTCGAGGGCAAAGTGGCCACCGCGTGAACGGCAGCCTGGCTGTGCCCGTTTCAGCGAGCACAGCTCACGAGCTGCAAGCAACAAAGCGGCGCTGAGGGCGGCAAGGGCGGGAAGCGCCGTGCGGGCAGGCAGGCCGCGCGCACCTGAGCACGGCGGTACGGCCTGCTCGCCGGGGGTCTCGGGGCCATGCCGCTCGGCGCACAGCCGAAGTGAGCAGCCGCAACGCCAACTCCGCAGCAGCGGAACTGCGGCGCGTCGTCACGGCCACACGGACACCGCCGGCAACCGCGTCGCCGTCGTCCGCCGCTGGATTCCGACGCCACGCCCCGCCACGCCCGGCCACGCCCCGCCACGCCCGGCAGATGAGCAGCTTCATTTACTCGTCTGGCTTTTTTCTCGACGTGCTTGCTGCGCGCTCATTGCGGCTGTCCGTCCCGGCCGTCCCGTCCCGGCAGCAGCAAGCTCGGCAGCCGACGGCAGCCGACGGCAGCCCGGCCCGGTCCAGCCTTGTGGCGTGCGTCCTTCACGGCGCGGCCGCCGCGGCCCGTGCGGGTGCGTGGCCTGGCCGGCCTGGCGGTCACGAGCGTGGCGGTTTGACGAGCGTGACGAGCGTGACGAGCGTGACGAGCGTGACGTGATGATCGCGACGCCAGTGGTGGCGCCCTGGCCGCCCTGGCCGCCCTGGCGTTGCGCGACGCGGCTCCGCGCTTGCCGTCAGGGGTCATCCACATCAGAACCAATCAAAGAGTTCAAGTGAACGCCACCTGACCTAGGAGGTGAGCCGAGCCGAGTCGAGCCGAGCAGGCCGGCCGAGCCTGGCCGAGCCCAGCCGGGGCAGGCAAATGCAGGCGCCGCGCCGCGCCGAGCCGGTCGAGCTGGGCATGACGGGGGCCTCGAGGGCCTGCCGCAGCAGCCGCAGGCCGCAGCCTGCCGTAGGCAGCCGCAGGCAGCCATAGGGCGGGGGGAGATGCCCGGCCTGCCCGGCCAGCCCGGCCAGCCCACGCTCCATTCTGAGTCTTGTGTCTTGGGCAGAGAAGAGACAGGGCCCGGCGGGGGAGGAGAGGGGGGAGGGGGCGGTCAGGGGCGGGCGGGGCAGAGCGGCGGAGACTGCAAGCTTCAAGTCAAGTCAGTGCGGACTTGACAATACCGAGTGAAGTGCGCTCTCCGCGCCGCCGAAAGCCTTTCCCGACGTCACGCGTGGCGAGTCGACGAGCGTGGCGTGATCGACGCGAGCGTGCGCGCGTGCGTGTGTGTGGTGCGGCAGTGCCAGTGTGTTAGTGTGCAGTGCCGTGTGGTGTGCAGTGTCGACTGGTGTGTGGTCTACAGCTTGACGGCGACGTGCTCGTCGGCCTAGTCGTCGGCCTGGTCCTGCCGGGCGACCCCCGGCCGTGCCCGTCGGCCGTGCCCCGCGAGGCACCCCAAGGCCCCAAGACCGCAAGGTCCGGGGTGCCTCAGTATGTGAGTGAGGCCCCTGTTCGGCCTCCTGGCCTCTAGGCCTGCCACCAGGCCTCTGCCAGGGCCGCCAGGGCCATGTTGCTGCTGTGGGCGGCGCTGCCGCTCTTGGGGGTGGCCGTCGTGGCCCCCCTGGGCGTGCACGGCGTGCGCGGCTCCCTGCACTGTGCGGAGCGGCGGGACATTTCGCCTTGCACGTGCAGCCCCATGATGCGGTCCACCATCGTGGTGCAGTGCGAGCGGATGACGTCCTTCGGCCAGGTGGTGACGGCGCTGCGGGGCCGCTTCCAGCCCGGCGTCAACATCGACCTGTCCGTCTCCTTCTCCAAGCTCGACGACTTCCACGAGCGCAGCTTTGACGAGCTGGGACTGTCCGTGCTCAAGCTCACGCTCAAGGGGAACAACCTCAGGTGGGTGCCGGCCGGGCGCGGCAGGGCTCAAGAAGACTGCAGTCCCTCTGGGTCCCCCTTGGAAAAACCACCTCAGACAAACATCGACATCAAATACTGCAAGCGACTTTCTAATTTTCTGCACGTGCAAGCGAGCCGCGTTAAACCAAACACTGGCCTGGCGTTGCTGAGGCCTCGCCGCCTCGCCTCATCGAGTCTTGGCGACGTTTTCCGTGTCGACCTCTTCGGCGCGAAAGCCGTCCACTCTCGCGAATACGCCGCTTCCTGTACCTTTGGGACGGACGGGCAGGCCCACGGCGGGCAGGGCCGGGGCAGGACCAGGACAGCCTCGCTGCCCCCTGCCCCTCCCACCGCCATGTTGTTGACATCAACTAGCATCTCGCCGTGACGTCAGCCTAGGAGATACCGCGTTGGCGCGAACGATACCTCATGTCGTTTGCCTTTGTCCGTCCATGTACTCTCATGGCCGTTGCCGCCACTGCCGCCGCCACTGCCGCCACCACCGTCACGCGGTGCTCGCTTCCCTGTGACGTGTCACGATTTTCCCCGGTTAAGGAACGCCGGGAGGTCATTCAATTTACGTCAATGGCGCGCGCTGACGGCGTGACGGCGAGACGCGGCACCACGCCGTCAGTGCCGCACCAATGTGATGACCCCGAGGCAGCCTTTGCGACGGCGGTGTCCGCACCGTCACGGTGTGACGGCAAGGTGTCGGCGGCCTCGGGGGCCTAGCGTCGTGACAGCGTAGCATCGCGTGACAATCGTCTAGGCCGGCCGCGGAGTCCAGAGGCACGCCGGAGGCGATGCTGGGGCGACCAGAGAGGGCGCCGTCGACGCGGCGCCGCGACGCCGAGGTGCGGTAGTTAGGTGACCGCGGCGTGGTCGACACCGTCGGCACCAGGAGGCTCTGCAAGCCGGCGCGGACAGCCGGGCCTCGCCGAGCCATCCGCTGCCTTCGAACTGATATCGGATATTATCATACATGACGGGGCGGGGCGGGGCGGGGCGGGGCGGGGCGGGGCGGGGGGGGCGGCCGGCTGTCCGGACGACGTGGCGTGGCCGGGCGGCCGGGCGGCCTGGCCCGGCTCGCGGCTTATCTCCTGCTCGGCCAAACCCAACAGCCGGCCACGGCCGGGCCGGTCCAGACGACCGGAGAGGCCTGCAGACACGCCAGCAGACGACGCTAGCAGACGACGCATCGCTGCTTCATCACAATAAATAATGCATGTCATTTTCGAAAATTGAGTCAGTGCGACGCCCTCTCCACTGCACCTCCGACCCGTTTTGCCGGTGGCGGGAAAAGAGTCTGGGAAGCTCTGCCAGTGGGGCGGCACGGCGGCATCCGCGGGGAGTTCTGTCAACAGCGGCTGGAGCGGGCAGAGCGGACTTGGCCTCGGCCGAAGGGGCAATGAGTCAGCCCAGCGAGTGGTTAAAAGCATCGCGCACTTTCTGCTCTCTGGCTGGAAAGAGGCTGAGCCCAAACCTCCAGCTCCAGTGGGGTTCGCGGTTCACCTAGAGAGCCGCTTGGTCGGGGTCTCAACACTAGAGGCGAGAGGCAGAAGGCGCATAGCAAAAAAAGAAGGGGGGATTTAAAAAAAATCCTCCGACTTTTGGTTTTGGATTTCATTTTGTGTACTTCTCACGAGAGCAGCCAAATTTCCCTCGCCCGGTTTCGGCGCAACTTGGCGAAGCGAGCTCGTCCCGTCCACCCCCTCCCCCTCCCCACTGCCAATCAAGTGCCGTGCGCGGCGGAAAGACGAGAGGGGGAAACAACTCCCGCAAAAAAAAAACAACAACAATCCAATTGTCTTCAAATGGAAGCTTTTCTTTAGTGTAGTCCCAAACTAAATTATAAATTTCCAAAAAAAAATGTGATTTTTGGTTAAGAAAAATCTACTGCTTAGGCTAAAGTGATTGAAATCGCTGAGGCCTGGCCGTCTCATTTGGCGCGGAGTGGCGGGGCGTTGCTGACGGCAGCGCCACGGCAGCGCCACGGCGCGGCGAGCGCAGCACGGCCGTCCCTCAAATTGAGATTAGCCCCTCTCTCTTTCTCTTTCTCCCTCTCCCTGGCCGTCGCCAATCCACCAGTTGGACCAAAACTTGTTTGTAAACTGAGTGAAGGGGCCGTCGCCGAGCCGCGTGCTTGCGCGTGCTCGGGCTGGTCCGGGTCCGGCCAACCTGTGGGCGCCACGACCTGCCGAGCCGCGGAGACTCCGGGACGCACAGTGGGCCAGAAGACCGGTGGAGGCGGACAAGACTCTAGACGCCTTTTGAGCTCCAGAGTCGCTAAATGGGACTCGAGCCGAACGTGTGATCCCACCAATGGATTCCTCGTTCGGAGAGCAATCCATTGGTGGGGTCACACGCTCGGTTCCAGTCTCATTTAGAGACGCTGGAGCTCAAACAATTCTTGAGTTTTGTCCGTCTGCACCGGTCTTCTGGCCCACTGTGGGACGCCCCGTCAGACGTGGAAGCGGCGAGTCGAGCAGCGCCCGTTCTATTCCGCGGGGAATCGATCTGGGACGGAGTCGTTTTGTACTTTGTGTCGTTTGTTTCCACATTCCACACCCCTTCCAACCTTCCGCGTCACAGCCAATCACACAGTATCTAGTGGCGCTTTTCCGAGCCGAGGGAAATCGCTCTGGTGACCGACCAACCTGGGCTTTTTAGTGTACCACAAAGTGAAAGTTTGGAAGCGTGTTTTGGGTGGCGGGCGGTGTTGCTGCTGCTGCTGTTGTTGTTGTCGTTGGGAAGGTGGCAGCCCTTGTCGGCCCTTGTGGCGGAGGGCAATGAGGCCCGGCCGGGGTCGGCGAAGGTTATCAAGCCCGAAGCGCCGCGGAGCGCGGAGCGAGCGACGTCGCTCTGTCTCTCTCGCACTGCTTGGCTAATTCATCCGGCCGCCTGCCATGCGGCTTGCAGCCAGGCCCATCAGGCGCATCAGAGATGAATGGCACAGACATGAGACATGGCAAGTACGTGCGGCACGGTGCGGCACGGTGCGGCACATCGAGGCACATCTCGATAAAGCCAGCCGCCCCGTCTATTTCCTGTTTTAAAGGCGGCCGCGGCATTTTCCAGTTTACGATCTTCTCGGGCCGGGCGGGGCCGGGCATCCTCGGAAGTGGAAGTGGCCCGTGATAAGCACGCCGTCGTGGATGGGGTGGCTCTAGGCCAAGTGCGCGTCGAGCACGGCGTCGTCGGGCACGGCGTCTTCGGCCAGGTGTCGTGGTGGTCGCGGGGCCCAGTCGGCCCAGCGCGCTGCAGCCTCCGCCTCGTATTTTTAATCGGGGACAAACAGATGTCGATCTGGCGAGGAGGTCACTATTTTTGGGCACGCGCTGATAGGCGGGCATAATGCACTCCGTCGGCCCGGCCGGTCCGCTTTTGGAAGAATGCCGAGACTGCGTGCACTGCGAGGACTGCGCCACTGCAGGCTGAGGGCTGGCTGCGGGGCGACCACCGCACCTCCAGAGCAACGGCCGTGACCTAACCTTGTCCTCGATTCTCGGATTCGAGTTCGCGGACTCCGTCAACAACGAGAGGCAGCGGTAGCGGCACAACGGAAACTCGCTTTTCTAAGCGCTTCCATCGCAGGGTCTGCATCGCTTGTCAGCTCGCCAGGTGAAGCAGGGCCTCGGCGACCTTGGCCTTGACTCGTCGGGGTGGCCCGGCGCGCGGCGTTACGGCGCGGCGTCGGCTAGAACCAGAGCCGGCCAGAAACGGGGAACGAGAACGAGAACGAGGGGCAGATAACGGGAACGGGGCCCACACTGCCGGCTCTGCCCCGCTCTGCCCACAGTCCAGTCGGCGGAACACCATACCAGGAACACGGAGCGCGGGGCCGCACTTTTGGCTGAGCGTCATGCCAGCCCGCGGGCCGACGGGCCGAGCCGATGCCGCGAGGTCCGCGATGGCGGTCGACCAATGGGAGCACGCCCACGGGCCGACCGGCCCCGGCACCGCCCCGGCACCGCCCCGGCCGCGGCCATTGGGCCAGGCCGCCAGACCGCCAGGCTGCGCGCCAGGCAGCAGCCTCATTCTCTACAGTGCTTCCGTCGCTCTGTCTCTCTCGCACCCCTACGGGAAGCCGCACGAGTGCGAGAGAGACAGGGCGATGTTTGGGTTCAGCCAGGCACCGCGTGTGGGGGCGCAGGAGGCGTGCCGAACATGGGCCGCGAGGAGGGAAGTCCTTCGCGGCGACGGCGGGATGCTAATGCGAGGCGTCCACACCGTAAGCGAGCGCGTCCTCGCGGCAAGGGAACGGGGTGCCCGGCCCGGGATCCCAGACCCCAGCCACCCCGGCACCGGTAGCCACACCTCCGCCGTTCTGACTGCGGGACCGCGGTGGAGACGGGAGACGGTGAGCTGAGGTGGAGCCGTGGAGCCCCTGTGGTGGGGAGGGCGGGCCGTCCGCTCACCTGCCGTGCGGACGGGTTGCCTACCGGTCGGGCTGGGACGCCGCCGCATGCCTCGCCAGGCTGGCTGCCCGGTGCCCTGCCCACAGTGAACCAGAAGACCGGTGGAGCGGGGCGCTAAATGGGACTCGAACTCAACGTGTGACCCCATCAATAGATTGCTCTCCGAACGAGGAATCCATTGGTGGGGTCACACGTTCAGTTCGAGTCCTGTTTAGCGACTTTGGAGCTCAAAACGCGTCTAGAGTTTTGGCCGCCTCCACCGGTCTTCTGGTCCACTGTGCAGCGGGTGGCGCTATCGCTTGCACCGCGATGCCGCGCCAGGCGCAACCGGTGAATGCGGCGCAGCAGCGAGACAGCAATACAACGATACAGCGATAGGCGGTTGATAACCGCGCGATAGCAAAGGCAAGACACCGCCAGGCACCGCCGGTTCAAGCGGACCCGGGGGCCGGCACCTCCACTGGAAACACTTCCAGCGAATGTCACGATCAAACCGCCATTGTTTTTGTTTTCCAAGGCGCCTGTCATTCAACGAATGTGGCGTCATGTCCAATAGAATGTGAACCATGATGTCAAGTTCGTTTGAATGTGACTTGCATCGGGGATCTGGGCTCGCCGCGAAGCACCGCGAAGCACCGCCAACTCGTCGCGGCGTCCACAGTGCCCGGTGGCGGTGCTGGCGGTGCTGGCGCGGTGCTCGCGGCCTGACCTGCCCTGACGACCCTGCTTCCAGATAAGAGCCCCGGCCGCACCGACTCGCAGTGAATGGGCAATGAGTACCCGTTGAGGCATTGCCCCCTCCCTGCTGCGCCGGCTTGGCCCGGCTTGGCCCGGCTTGGCCCAGGTGACTCATCTGTTGTGCCTTCCTTCCAGTGGGGAGGCATCCGCAACGGCGGCGGCGATGGCAAGCGGAAGGCGCAATAGTTGTTGGAGCTCGTGCGGCTTCTGGCGGCACCATAGAGCACTGGGCCGACGGGCGGCGAGGATGTTCGTGACTTTGGCCGGACGGTCCGGGACCGAGCTGGACGGGGACGACGGGGACGACGGGGACGACGGGGACGGGGACGGCACGGTCCGCCCTCCGCCATTCTCAGATTAGCGGCAAATGGATGATTGGGGCAAGCCCAGGCAAGCCCTAGCAGGCAAGCCGAGATTCAAACGTAATGGCCAAATTGTATGGTTTTGTCTGACGTGCCCGGCGTTGCGCAGCGAGGCGCGGCGGCGAGGCGTTGTTGACGCGCTCCACGGCCGTCCAGTGCCTCAAGGTGTCCGCCAATGTGACGTGTGCCGGACAGCGCGTCGTCGGCCTGCCGCGCCAGGCCTGGCCAGGCCGCGCCCGCGTGACCTTACCTAACCTTAGATAAAAGTGCATAGGTTAGGTTAAACTTGACCTTCCATGACCCCACCAATCGCACCCTCTGCCCGATGTGTGTGTGATCGAGCCGTTTGTTGCAGCCAGCTGCCCGAGGGTGCGTTCTCCGGGTTGAACGGCACCAGCTTCCTCAGCCTGGCCGACAACGTGCTGCCCACCATCCCCACGTCCGTGCTGGCGCATATGCCCAAGGTCCGCTCCCTGGACCTCAGCTCCTCCAAGCTCATCGCCGTCAGATCGCAGGACTTCAAGGTAAGCGAGTCACATCGACGACGCCGCAGTGGGCCAGAAGACCGATGGAGGCGGCCAAAATTCTGGACGCGTTTCGAGCTCCAGAGTCGCTAAATGGCGCCCTCACACGCGTGTTGCAGGTGCTGACGACCCTGGAGCACCTCATCCTGGTGGGGAACTCGCTCAGCATCCTGGAGAAGGACGCCTTCCCCCGGACCCTGAAGCACATCCACTTGGGCCGGAACCAGATCAGGCATCTCAACGGCACTCTCCGGTAAGCTGCGGCGCCTGTGCGGCACCTCGGCCGAGAGGGGCGGTGCTGCAGGGCTCAGGCTGTAATGGCGATCCGTGGTTGGCTGTGCAGGGAGCTGGAGAAGCTGGAGTGGCTGTTCCTCAACGTGAACCAGCTCACGTCGCTGGACGAGCAGCTCCCGGAGAACGGCATGGCGCAGCTGCAGCTCGTCCTGATCGCCAACAACCGCCTGGAGCGGCTGCCGGCCGAGCTGCTCAAGTGCCCGCGCCTGGAGACCATGTACGCCACCAACAACTCCCTCACAAGCCTGCACGGTGTGTTCTCCCGGTCGCGCAAGCTGCAGCTCCTCGACTTGACGCACAACAAGATCAACTCGGTTAGCAGTGACAGTGACGCCCGAGCTGGTCCGGGTTCGAATACTCGCCATTCTCTCTGAAAATAATGAAATGGTGTCGCTTCTGACGGTTCGAGGATTCAACAGAGTGTGTTTCCGACTTGCGCAGCTGGCCGAAGACGAGTTCCTCGAGGCTGAGAACATCGAGCAGCTCAGCATGGGCTTCAACGAGATCGAGTCCCTCAACTCGTCGCTGCTGCGCGTGCGTGCGCTCACGTTCCTCAACCTGACGGCCAACCGCATGACCGTCTTCAGTCTGCAGGAGATCCACGGGCTGCAGCGGCTCAAGATGGTGGACCTGTCGTACAACAGGATTGCCCGGCTGGGCGGCCGCATGGAGGTAGGTACAGCGATGCAACGATGCAACTTTAGACCCTGGCCCAATTCGCGCCCTCCGTGACCACGGCCGCGACCATGCCCTTGACGCTGAGGGATTTGATTGCAGAACGTGGTGGACTCGGAGACGCGCGTGGAGGAGCTCCGCCTGGAGTACAACGCCCTGGTGTCGCTGGACGGCGCTTTGGGCGGCGTGCAGGGCCTGGAGAGGCTCAACCTGAGCCACAACCTGCTGGAAAGCATCTCCCCCGACGACCTCATCGGCCTGGACCAGCTCATGGCCCTGGACATCAGCTACAACCGGCTGCACACGCTCGAGGAGACGTCCAAGGTAGCGTTCGCGGCGTTCGCGCTGTCTCTGGCGCTTTCCTGAGGCCCTTTCGTCCGGTTGAGGAAAGTTTCGTAGACAAAATCGCGCGATATAATCGTTCCTTTGGCCAGATGTATCCTACGGTTCATGTAAAATTGGGTCTCTTACCGACACTTGCGGCCTTAGGGGACTTATAGCTGCCTCTGACTCTGCCCGGCCACGAGAAACTAGACCGGTAATTTTTTTTCCCCTTCAGACGTTCATGCCCGCCCTGGAGGAGCTGGTGGCGTCGCACAACCTGCTGCAGTCGCTGGAGCGCGACTTCCACGGCCTGCCCGCGCTGTGCCGCGCCGACCTGAGCAACAACAACATCAGCCGCATCCACCCGGAGCTGACGACCAAGACACGGTGCAAGGTGCACGGCGTCAACAGCGTGCTGCGCATTGCCCTTCACAGTACGTAGCACAGGGCGCTTCGCGTAGCGGCGTGGCGGCCTCGGTGGCGGCGCAGTCGTGGAGCTGGTGACCGGAGCGCCCTTTTCTGATTGCAGACAACCCGGTGCACTGCGACGAGCAGCTGGCGCGCACCCTCATCGTGTTCCAGACCAACCTGACGGAGCTGCAGGGCGTGCCGGCCTGCACGCTGGCGCTGCCGCAGCTGGTGCTGGTGTCCGTCGGCACGGTGGGCGGCATGCCCGCCATGCCGGCCATGCCCGTCGGATCGCTGTCCGTCGGCGCCGTGCCCGTACAGGTGCCGGTGCAACTGCCCGTGCTGCCCGCGCTGTACACCGGCATGTCCGGCGTCCCCGGCGTCCCCGGTGTGCCCGGCGTGCCCGGCGTCATGGGTGTGGCCGCGCAGGCGCCGGCCCTGGTGCTGGGTGGCTACCCTCTGGCACCGCTCGCACCGCTGCCTCCGAGTACCACGACGACCACCACAACCACCACAACAACGACTACGACCACCACCCCTCCGCCGCCCCCATCCACCCCCGAGCCAGCGCCTACTGAGGTTGAAACCGTCGTCGAAACCACCGAGGTGACTTCTACCACCACTACCACAACGACAGCACCGACGCCCGAACCCGAAGTAGCCGCACCAGAGACGAAGCCCGCGCCGCAGCCGGAGCCGAAGCTGCCACCCAAATCGGACCTGGAACCAGAACGTGGATCCGAACCGGACTCGCAGCCCGAAGGGCCCGAAGCCCAGCCAGAGACCGTGCCGGTGGTGCCGGTAGTGGTGCCGGGCCAAGAGGAGCGCCTGGCCGTCCAGGCCGTGCAGGCCGTGCCGGTCAAGGAGCTGCCACCCGTCATCCAGCTGCTGCAGCCCGAAGTGAGTGTGCAGCCGTCCAAGGACTTGCCTCCGCTCGACGACCCGACGTGGACCATGGTCCTGGCCCGCCCCATGCCCCCCGTCCCGCCCATGGCGGCCCCACTCGCCCCGCCCCCACCTCCCCCAGTACCTGCCCCGACCAGCACCGCGCCGCCCCCGCCGCCCCCGCCAGCGCTGCCGAGCCCAGAGACCCCCGAGGAGACCGAGGAACTGCCGGAGCAGCCTCGGAGTCCGCCAGTGGTTGCGGTCGCCGTTGATGAAGACGCTGCTGTGGTCGCCACCGGCACCGGTCAAGTCGCGGACCTGGTGGCGGACCCCCCGAGCAACGCCGCGCCGCAGGACTCAGCGAGTCCTCCTCCTCCCCCGCCGCCGCCGCCCCTGCTGCAGGGACTGCAGGGACTGCAGGGACTGCAGGGGGAGCCGATGGCGGCGGACGGGCCACCCCCGGCGTCCGAGCTTCCACCTCTCATCCTCATAAAGCTGCTCAACGAAACCAGCCATCCGATGTCTGTCTCGAGGCCCGTTGCTGCACCCTTGGAGAAAGACCCCGAGGACTAGCGGCCTTGCCAGCGGCCACTGCGTGCCTGGAGTGCTTAATGCACCCTACACTGCGTCGTCTACCGTCTGCGCCCCTTGGGAGGCCGTGGGGCCCGGGGGCCGTGGAGCCCGGGGGCCTGGGGGCCTCCCTCTCGCATTCACAGTATTCCCTTCCCACCCCACCCCTCCCCACCGCCCGAGTGATGCTAGCCCACAGGACACACTCCGCTGTGCATGGTCAACCAGTAACTCTCGTGTATAAAGTTGGTTTACTTATGTGTATGTTCCATGATTACCTATCACAACTTATGGTAAAAAATAGTTCACATATATTAATATATACAGTAATATTGAGAAAAAAAAAGCAAGAGAAGGCAACGCTCAGCATAAATTTTGAAGCTAACGTGTGGTGGTTTTGTGCATTGTGATACTCACTCATGACAGATGTATAGTTTGATTAATGGAAATCCTTCATATGATGTACATATATTAAGCAGAATAACATGAAATAACACATGTGGAAATGCTACAATTGTCTTAAGTACAGATTGACGTTTGTCTGCAACCAATCACCTGTAACAATGTAAGAACATTTCCATCCAAATTGTTAAAAAATTATGACATGTATGATGCATACAATTTTGAACTACGATGGTTTCTTTCAGAATTTCTCCAATGATACGACATCCTGGTGAAAAGAATCCTAGAGAACTTATCTTAAATTCACATTTCTTTGGATTGATTATTCAGTGGTTGCTTCAAGTCTGCATTGCTTTTAGCCGTTTTGTGTTATTTATATTTTTTTTCTGTCAGGAGAGTGCATACCACTTTATATTCAAGAAGTACAAAATTTGACTTTTCTTCTGTAAAACCAACAATGGCTTTAGGTTCTCATTTATTTAAAGCTTCTATTGTGTCACATATTAGACTTGTTAAGGTAATTTAAATTTTAGTTTATTATTATTGTTATAAATATTAAATATGGCGTAATCAGCATAAAGTTACTTACCAGTGACTGTTGAGAAGACTTCATGAATCTGACTTGAAATTATGACTTGATTTTGTTGTTGTTGTTGTTGTGTTAAAATTATTTTGATACAAAGTAGCTGTTTTTGAAACCTTTCAAGTTTATCAACTCATTATTTATCTCATAAACCTGCAGCAACCTCCAAAGACTTCAGATGTAGCTTAAATTGCAGAGCCAATTGTTAACATTTATTTGCTTTCACAACATAGTTTGGAGTATTCCATCGCACCATATGTTTTCTTTTCTTTACCTTTTCCCCATAGTTCTATATTGTAAGAGCTTACTCTAGATACAAAGTAGCTTTAAATATATTTGTAATGTATGTAAACACGTCCACATTTTCCTTTTCTGTGCATTCTTGTCCATTCTGCTGACCCATATGACAAGCCACATCATAAATTTCTTCCAGAAGTTCATTGAGTGAACCATAAGATCAGAACAGAACACAAACATATCCAAAAAGTTAGGCTCGACTTTGCTGCCGTTCCCTCGCAGGGGCAGTGTCGCTAGTTTGACTAGTCTGTCAGCATGTGGCTGTACATGTTGCTGATCGTTTCGCGACCAGTCCTTCCCTTGCTGAACTGCGGTCACGCCTGGGAGTCGAACCCATGTCTCCTATTCGAGCAGCCGCTACTTCTCGGAGAGGCAGCCCGGATGTCTCTTATTTCCTAACACCGCGCTGCGACGTGATGAATGAGTGGCCTACCTTCACGGCACCTTTGTTTAGAGGCGTGCTGGGTGCAAAACACTTCTCCTTTGGGAGAGGGGGAATTACTTCAACAAGCAGAATCTACATATGAATCACAGCAAAAATATGAAGATTAATTGTATTTAAAACTCTTTTATGCAAACACAAATACCACTAGTTATACAAATGTACAATATCCATTCTTCATCTTTATTCTTGAGAATCCTTATTAAAGTAAAAGATGGAAATGTACTGATGGGCACAACTCACAAAATCAACAGCTTCAGAACAGAAAGTTAGAATGTTCACATGGGTATCTGATTTGAATATAGAAATTGTTCTGTAAGGCAGAACTAGAACAAATGATTCAGTCTGACATTTAAATAGGCTATCAGAGTTTAAACAACATAATAAAATAATGATGAACTTTGCAGGATGTGTGGTTAGAACAGACCAAATTTTACAATAAACTTAATTACAATCATTTTCTTTCGAACCAAAAGGTGTATAATAATCACACATCAATTTCACTTCCAAACATACTACTTTTCTCACAGATTTTGATTTAAATTACTTTAAAAAGTTGTGTCTTTCTCAGCAGGAGTCTAACTTGGAGGGAAGATAGAAAATATTTAATATTTTCAACTGTTGTGACACTTTTTCTAACAAAAGACACCCTGTACAAATGTTTCTGATAGCCAATGTGAAAACACGCTATCACATCAAAACAACTTAAATCACAAGACCCATCCATAAGAAGGACAAAGATGGCATCTGTAAAAGTCTAGGCTACTTTTGACAGTAATTCTTAACAATTCTTACAAAGTTAGGCTCTAGGTTTTCCGAGATGACATTCCCGCATTAATAAGTAAGATGAAATACACATCATTTGTTAAAGAAAAGCCTGTGTCAAACATTGGGTCCTGAAAAGACATCAGTCATCAACCATAAGAAAGTACAGAAAAACTATTTTGTTCAATATGTACACAATTATTCTCAAATAACACATGATTTCAAATTGTTTCATGTCAGCTTCCAATGACTGTTTATACAAGGAACGTGATTTGAGTAAGGACTAGGTACCGAACAGAATGCAGTAGCCATGAAATAACTGAAGACCAACTATAGTGGAGAAAGGAGAAACAAATAACAACACTATCTCCAGCGCATGGTAAAGAGCAAATCATTAATAACTTAGCAAATAAATGAGGGAAAACACAAAAGAAATTAAGGTATAGGCGTTAAACCCCATCTCAAGCATAAGAATGCTTGTCAGTTTCCTCAATCATCAGAAAGCAGTATGCGAGGAATAAAGCATTTAACAGTCAAAAGAGATAATGCTACAGGTAGCACCATAATCCATATAAAATGTATGAACACACAAAAATACACCCAAAAAAAGACTTATAAGTAAGAAGCACCTGACTGGAGTTTCTAATTAGTTTTTTTTTTTTGTTTTAATTGTTGAAAAGGGACCCTATGCGAAATGCAGAACTATCCCTCTCCTTGAACATGTGGAAACAACATTTGTACTAAGTGTGAAAGCAGTTGAACTTCACCTCACATCAGTGTTAAGCTGAAGGTAAAATTAATGTACAGATGCATGAAATAGTGGTCCAAAAACAAACTCTGATACTAATACCATCACATAACTATCACATATAAGATGGGAGTGCAGAATAGCACTTCGATAAGAGCACATAATCAATTGCACCAATGCTACAATGCCTGAGCTTAGGTTGTGTAGCAAGACAACAAACCTTTCCAGCATATATGGAAAACAAACAAAAAAAAAAAAAGCTCAGAAAACAATTTTAACTATCTAACCCAATAGCAAGATGTGATTTCCTACCTAGAGCTCTGGTTTGAACAAATCAGACCATCATGATTTGCCAAAGTACTGGGCAGCATTTGGAAAGCGTTCAGCAGAAAAGTCAGGATTGTTGGCAAGGTTCGCCCTAACTGTTGCTCGTAATTGTTCACGATATGCTTCACGTAATCGTGGATCACTACCTGCTTCTTCTTGAACAAGTGATAATCCTGCTGTTGACACTCCTGACGATTGGATAGCAGATTCCATGTTTGCTGTGGAACATAAATGACAATAAGGTACATAGTGACAGAATCAGTAGTACTCCTAACTCCAAACAGCTCACTTACCAGCAATTACTTCACTGAGTGATCCTTGTGGCTTGTCGGCTGTGACAACTTTGCGGCGCTTTGGGGGCATTCCAGCTAAGTATGCATCACTAAGGGGTGCTTGTGAATTTGGTCTACGCTGCTGGCGAGTTGCATCTCTGGCGATGATGGGAACCCATTCCTAGTTTATACAAAGAAGTATTTTAGGAGAGGAAACCAGAAACACAGAAACTACATCAAGTGAATCTTACCGGAGGAAGGATTCTGTGCCAGGCCTCAGGTGCAGGTACAGGTAAAGACTGTGATGCTAATTCTCCTATGTCTCCGGATGATGCCTCTCCTGATGGCGCTACAGGGGCAGATTCTTCTGAACTATGACATGGGATGTCCGAAGATGCAACAGCAGATGTTGTTGCAAGAGGTGGAGATTGGGGATCCATATCCATAGGCTACACACAAACACAATTTAGAATAAGTTAAAATGGTTGTAAAAATGATTCAAAACAGAAAAGCTAACTTTTGAATGAATTACCTCAATATTTCCCTGAAGTACCGAACTTGATAATACTTCAGACATTGAATTTGGCTCCTCAGATTTTGCACTTTCTGACGAGCTGGAAGACTCAGAAGTTGAAGGAACTGGAACAGTCCTGTCCTGAGCTCCATTTGCACCACCGCGATAGACAATGTACTTCTCAATCTCTTGAAATGGTACACTTATACTGTCAGTATAAAGGCGTAACTGTCCAAGATACGCTCTTGCTGTCCATGTAGACAATGAACCTTCTTCAGACATTCGGTTCTGCAAAGTGATAATTAATGTATTAAATTTAGTCTGACTTAAACCTCAAAAGCTAAAATTTAAGAGAATTGTCGCGTTCAAAAACACAAAAAAAGTTACACTCACCATGCAAGCAGTAAACACAGCCTCTACAGCTTCATTATTTGCACAACAATATTTAACAATAGCCCATAGGCGACCCAAATACTTATGAACCAAGGCATGAAGATTGCGTCCAAAATTAGGGGCACGATCTGCAAAAATTAGGACAAAATAGTAAAAAACAAGATGGAAAGTATGAAACATGAAAAAGATTGCTGTAAGTGTTTACTTACCATCATCCAAAATTAATTTGAAAAATATAGGGAGGAAAGTCTGATGGTAACGGTACAAAGTAGCAACAGGATCAACATCTTCACGAACTTCCCCCTCAAGTATGATGTTGAAGTAGGGTCTCAGTTCTTCCAACATTTGGTTAACTCCTTGTGCAAAACTCTCTTGAGTTAAAGTACCTTGACACAAACGCTCTATAACAAACTGGCGTAAATCTGTGCGTATATGATTTACAGCATCCCAATTACTATCAATTAAGGCAGCCAAATCTGACACAGTCACACTGCGAACCTGCATTTTAAATTAAGTCAGTGAGCACACCTAAAATTTTAGTACTAACAATCTTGACAAATTTAAAAAATAAAATTAAAAAAATTAAAAACTTACCACTGCAAGCCTTAAATCAGCAAGAAGAGATTCACCTGCTTGTTCATTGGCTCCAGGGAACATCCAATTAATGATTGGCACCTGACAGAAAAGATTGATAGGATAATTAAGGGGAACAGACTTGATTATAGTAAATGAGTGATTAAACTGACAGCAATTACCTCAGCTTGGTCTCCCTGATTGCTTGCAGTAACTAAAGACTCTATCACACTGGTCAAAGCATCATTTCCAGCTGGCATGTCTCCTATAAATTAAAACAAAAAAAATTAGGAACAAAATTTATTTTTTTAACATAAAAACAAGGCACAGAATTTTACCCACCATGCCTGGCATTAGTCTCAAATATGCTGCAGTGACTTACTTCCAAACAGGGACTGAATGAAGTTCAAGAAGGAAGCTCCAGGTGAGCCTTGGGTTGAGGTGGATGCTGATGTGGCAGAGGCTGCAGGCCCACTGGCAGCAGGTGAGGCAGTGCTAGTGCTGGCAGGTCTTCCCGAGTTAGGCTGTGGAGTGGGCGCTGTGGCTTGGGTGCCACTTTGAGAATTGGTGCTTGTTTGGGTTGCACTGTTAGCAGTTGTTGATGTGCCAGTATTGCCACTGGGTCTTGAGCGGCGCCATGGAGCAAAGAAGTGGGAGTGACATGGCAAGAATGGGTCCATGGGATAAGCAACAGAGTACCCTAGAGAAAAAAAAAACAAGCACAATAATTAACTAGTGAAATAAAAAGAACATAATTACGACAGTTGGCTGCAGACAAGCGCCTTCCCTACCAGGGAATTGGGTAGCAGCAATGTGGTGGACGTGGGGACGCGCGGTGGAGCGGGTCTGGGTCGAGGTGGTCGGGTGTGTGGCGGTGTAGCCTCGCGCCTGACTGGTTTGCCCTGCAGCTGTTCCATTCCCAGCAGCATTGCCAGCATTGCCTGCCGAGGCTGAGGCACTGCTGGCTTGAGACTGAGCGCTGTCCAAGCCCTCCGTCTCGGGCGCACTGCCACGCCGCCTCAAGTTGGGGTTCGGGGTGCTCTCCGGAGCGCTGCCGCGGCGCCGCAGGTTGGGGTTGGCGCTTGGCGACCCTGGAGTCCCTGGTGCACCTGGTGCACCCGGAGTCATGAAGCGATTCAGAGCCTGGACAACGCCGTGCAGGAACTCTTGAGGATGTGGGCCTCCCCAGGGAAAATTAACGTTGAGTGCTGAAGCAGAAGAGATGAATACATTCAATCATTTCAGAACAAATGCTTGGATAATGAACAATAATAAATAAATAAAGTAGAAGATACTTACGATTGCCATCAGTGGGGGCACCATTTGTACCAGGAGTAAAGTTGTTGCTGGTGACAACACTAGCCTCAACTGAGTCGATGGTAATGGTGCTTGGACCAACTTCCATAAAAAATTCAACATTGGCATCAATCATCCCAACTGGTAAATGAACGATTCCTGCCCTTGCTTGACCATGTAGTGGAGGTTGAAGGGGAGGTTGTTGAGGTGGTTGTTGGGGTTGGTCAGGTGCTGCCTGCTGTTGTTGCGCTGACTGCTGAGGTTGTTGTGGCTGATTTGGTTGCTGCGACTGCTGCTGTGGTTGTTGCTGATGAGGAGGATGTCCTACTTGGTGTGCAGCAAATCGGTTTGCAATGGCGTAGGCGACATTCAGAGCAGCAGTCAAACCAGGATTACGGCCAGATAAATCAATGGATGCAGTGACAACTGGGGTTCGGTTGGCTGCACCTGCTGCACCTGGGGCCGCAGAAGAGTTGTTTGTTCCTGGAGCTGCTTCGAAGTTGGTTGCTGGCCTGGTGGAGAAAGTGGTTGTGGCCTCACCACCCTCAGCAGGGAAGGTTGTTGTCATGTACGTCATTTCAGGCACACCCGATTGAGCAGCAGCTCCTGGTGATGCCGCTGCCGCAGTGGAAGTGCTTCCAGGCGCTGCAGCTGCTGTGGCAGCTGCTGAGGCAGCAGCACGAGCCGCTACAGCAGCATTAGCGGCGGCCTCGGCAGCAGCAGCACTAGCGGCAAAGAATGCAGCCGCACCAGTCTCTCTTGCAGGCGCCCCTGCAGCCGCCGCGGCAGCTGCACCTACTGTCGATGGCCTTGTGGCACCTGGACCAGTTGTGGCTGAGGCGTTCGATGTAGCTGGCTGGCTTTGCTGGGCAAATAATGCTGCACCGGGAATATTGACGCCCCACGGATTCATCCCTTCAGTAAGCTGCACTAGTTGCTGGATAGCTGGAGCCTGAAGAGGTCGCATCTGGCGAGGGGGAGGCCTGTCCCAGTAAGTAGTTAGGTCACTGACAGCATGGTATGCATGTGAGAGTAAATGAAGAACTTCTGGCACAGCCTGTGACAACTTCTGCCTTCTAGCCAACTGTCGAGCATTGGTAGTGGGAGGATCATTGGTGAATAAATTATGATAGCGAATTAACAGAGGATTCACGCGAGCTTGCACTTCTCTTAATTGAGACAATAATTCAGCCATATTAGCTGCAGTAGGTGTCCTGGAAAAAATAATTAAAATCGATGAATGAAAGATAGCAATTTTTTAAAATCACAAATATTAACAGAATATAACTTTTGCCACATACCCGCTGTGCCTTGGTTGACTTGAGTTCTGGCTGGTCCCATCTGGAGTAGCTGTGCCAGTGCCTGTGCCACTTGTGGTGTTTGAAGAGGCAGTTGAGGAACCTTAAAAACAAGAAGCATTTAATAAAAAGTGCAGACATAGTTAAGAGACGAGGAGGATCACATCAAATTACCTGTTGCTTGGTCTGCATTGCTCACTGTGATATGGGGAGTGGCAGGGGTACTGTCTGTCTCCATTTCTGAATCTCCTCCTTCCACACTACTAGATGTGGATGGTTGAGAACTAGCGCCAGATGGAGCACCTGTCCTTAGCTGAGTAGGATCTGTTGTAGGACTGTGGCTACCACTCGAATCCCTAGAGCTGTTGTATGGTGTCGTCGTGACAGAGGCAGTGGAAGAATCAGATCTTGAAACTGAACTTTCATAATTGTCCAGAACTTCTGTAGCACGGTCAATCATATGATATGCATTTAAAATCAGTCTTGAAGCTCTATGGCGTCCATCCTCTGGAAGAAATTAAAGCAAAATCATGAAACTATAAAGACCTAACGCAAATGAAGATTGACAGAACGTTGGTGTGTCATGGAAAATTCAATTATTCATACCTGGGTCTCCAAGAACAGGAATAACAACAGATCCAAACATGGTGCCACCATCAACACGCCCAAAATAGCGAGGGCCTCCCTGCCTCCCAGAGCCATCAGATGCATTAGTATTATTGGAACCACTAGCATTGCTGTTGGACCCCTGTCTTGCACCAGGCTGAGGTGGCTGCGACTTCACTAAGTGTATTACCATGCCATGGACCTCTGCTCAATTGAATATAAATTCACAAGTTAATTCATAGACACCAACCCGTAAGTAAGATTGAATTTTACTATTTAAAGGCGTACCATATTCTGATAACCGCTTGTCATCTTGCATTACTCTGCCATGGAAAATGAGGCGTTGCCTGCTGGCTGGAATGTTCATAGTTTCCTCTATTTTAGCTTTGAGCTGCTGTACCGAGGCCTGGGAAGAAAATCAAGAAACCTTAGTTGATATCTTTGTACAAAAATAGTAAGATTGCTCCAAAGTATACAACAGTTACTGAATGACAATGTCAAAAGCAAATGCAATCAGCGATGGATTGGCATTATATACTTCTAGCTGAATAATAATACCAAAAAATACTTACATCATCTGGCATGGAAAATGCATGATTGCGTGAATCCAACGTCTTCACTGTGAGGTCAATCATCTTGAAATATGGACCTGAAACAAAGACCTAAATAAGGTACACAATACAACAATGGTTGATAGAAAATTTGAATATAGACCTTCGCTATGAACTGTCTAGGGGGCTATTTAAATATTCAGTACAGGGTTGATTGGCCATATTCTTTCTATTGAACCAACTGATAATACTTGCAGAAAGCAAACTTTAACTTGTGAATGAGAGATTGTCTAAGTGTTAGACAAATGGCATGTCATTGAGTAAAAATATCATTGGTTCTGAAAGGCCTTCAAACAGCACACATCAGCACCATAGAGGTTAGGACGTTCAATTAACAATAACCAGGCGGAGGATCTCATTAATTTACCTCGCAATGCACCAAACCGAAGTCTAATCCTAGGAGTGGAGCACCCTCCCAGGGTATGGATGTCGTCACCAGCACGACAGGCACTCTAAATCAACTCTCGGAATCATACACTGAGGTGGTCCAATGAGTGACTTCAAGTATATTGGAAAGTATTACATTGACACACACAAGTCAGTTCGACGTAATCATCTTCGTTAACGTAACACAAGATATACACAAATAGACAAATAAGATTTTTGGGGACTATGCAACTAGCCAAGATACCTCTACAAAACAAATGCGTCGAAAGAGCTTCTTGAGCACTTCCAGGACGTCCAGGTGTGCCAAAGCCTGGCTACCGCGCCGGTTCCCACTACTGTCGCACCAGCGCTTGCAGTGCGTTGATAAGTCACTGAAAGTTAATTTCGTATGCCCTTACTGTCGGAAGATGGATTTTAGAATGTCTTGGGAATCGAAGCAACGGCAGTTCGACAGCTTTTAGCTGCAGTTCAACCTTCCTGTTGGCCACTCTCACTGCCGCTTCCAAGTTGTACTGTACTAGGGAGGACGCGAGAACCTGGACAACGCTGAGCATCGCTTTTGCTGCTGGGATTTTCTCTATTGTACACTGCCAGCCAGGTAATTTGCGGTGAACCGTTCGTTTTATTGTATAGCGAGGAGCATACTCCTCGTTCTGGCAGGAGGTAGTTCGAAAAACTAGAGGTTATTGGTGGTTGCAAACTATTTTACCCTGGGAGGTCCCTCCTGCATCACCAAGCACACAAGGGCGAGTACTGCATGAAATGTTGACGTTTTGCCTTAAAAGTAAGGTGGTTTGTTAATTTTAACTTCACTTCTGGACTTTTCAATGGAATTTATGATGGAAGCTCTACATGCACCGTAATGTTGGTCCTATCAGCCATTTTATTTTTGTGATAGGCTAACTTAATTATCCTTGATTTTAAGCCTGTTTCAGCTGTTTGGCCAATGTGTTTGATGTCATGCCATGTCAATCATTGATGTCAGGTTCTAAATGTCAAACTATTGGCGTTTAGTGTTCCAAGTTACCAAGAAATCCCACATTTCTTCTTTTATTTTTAAAGTAACTAGTTTTGCAAATTTTACACTTCAATTATCTTTTAAATAGAATTGTTCTTTCATTAATGATTTATCAAACCATATTATCTAATAAGTTTCTTTGAAGGAATGCGTTGCTAATTCAAAAGTCTTAGAGAGGAACGCGTTGCTAATTCAAATGTATTGGAGAGGAACGCGTTGCTAATACAAGAATATTAGAAAGGAACGCGTTGTCAAAACAAAAGTATTGGAGAAGAACGCATTGTTATAAGAAACAAATGCAAAGATACATGTTGTTTAATCAAAAGAACCACAAAGGAACGCGTTGCTAAAATGAATGTACTGTGAAGCAACGCGTTGCTAGAACATCTACATTGCAGATGAACGCGTTGGTCAAACAACTTCATTTGGAAAGCACAACACATTGGTTGTCTGCCTTATTTTTAAAAATGTAATAGGCTAGTTCCATTTTTATTGTATATAGTAAATTCTACTGCTTTAGAAGGCACTCCATAGTCAAGCTATCTTTTGTGAATGCAGCACATTAGCCAATGTGGGGAAAATTTATACTAGCAGTATCAGTGCAAAGCTCTGTATATTCCATTTCTATTGAGTTATGTAAAGATTGATACATTGTCACTAGGATGCAGTGTAGCATTGTTGCTGTAAACAAACAATCTTTTGTGGTAGCTTAGCAACTCTGTTACCCTGGTGTTTACTTTTGCCTTTTCCTGTAGTATTTATGAAACCGGTCTTACAGTATAATGGCAGTTTTGTGCCTATAGCAAAGGCTTGGTTTGGGATTTCAAGAGCTTTTCTCTAAAAGGCTTTTAAAAACAAGTTTTTATTTTTTTTTAAAAAGTAGAACCGGATCTTAACTACTATTTCCGGTAGTCCGAGTCCGTCCCGTCAGTCTTTTGTTGGTCTCGGTGCCCGGTCTGCCCGGTGGTCTTGTTTCGCCGCAAGCCGCACGTAATTTGCTTGTTAAAGTAAGAAGCCTAAAAGCCATCCAAGCTTAAAAACAAGTGGTAGTTTCAGGATATTTACCTGTATACTCTGCACTACTTACAGCTTATGTGTTTTGAATATTGGATGGCATAACGCTAAGCCCTAGTCAGGTTTATGATTGGTGAGACAGGTTTATTACCTAAATTCTACGCCGGTCTGTACACTTTTACTGGTATGTTCGATTATTATTACAATAACTAAAATTAAAAGAGAAGGTAGACTAGCGTTAAGCTTTTATTGTTAGACAATGTGCAGCTTAGTGTAAAGTTTTGTTCCCACGGAAAGTAAGTTTGAGGTTATGGTTTTCCAAGCTTTACTTTAAAGCTGCTTATACGCAAAAAATTCTATCAAAATCCTTGCTTTCTTTTTCAACCAATACTATGTTATTTTTCAAATGTTTTATACGGTTATTACTCAATATAACGTTTTTGTTTTCTCCCGAAAGGTCAGTGAAAATTAGATTTATCAGACGGTCTATGCATGCCCTCCATTTTTTGCAATCAAAGAACGTTTGCCCGCGCTGTTTTACCGGCGACTTTTGCCTATGCCTAGGTTTTATTCACACTGCTTTCTCTTTGTTTTTCTATGCATTGGCACAGGTTGTTTGCCCGTGTGCTGCGTTTGCACCTTGATATGATCACCTCTTGACATTGTCTGATGCATTGGCACCGATTGCTTGCTTTGCAAAATTTAGCAATTGTCAACGCTTTGGTAACGTTCGCCTATGCATAGGCTAGGGTCTTTCTCGTTTCACAATGCCAGAATAATTTTAACATGGGTTCAGTCATGTGGCAAGACAGACGCATACAATTCAAGCAAGCAAAAGAGCAAGTAGCCCAGTGCGCTGAGCAAATGGCCGTATGCAAATGATTTGCCTCAGCCTATGCATTGGCTTTAATTGTAGACGGCTTGGCGACGTTTTCCTACGCATAGAATAGCATATTTCTTAACTTCACAACTCCAGATTTGGTACTGGCTTCGGTTGTCGGCTCGTTGCTAACATTAGCCTATTGAGCGCTTTGGTGACTTTGCCTACGCTAAACCGCTACGTTAATGTTAGTTTTTGTTATAGACTTTAATTGTTGGGTCTCTGCCAACAATCTAGCATTATCAGCCTATGCATTGGCTGTTATTGTCAGCTCTCTAACAATCCATTGGTAGCCTATGCATTGGTAACTTTTGCCTACGCATGGGTTAAATTATTTCTTGTCAAGCGTTGGTAACTTTTGCCTATGCATAGGTTAAATTATTTCTTGTCAACATACTAGCTTTTAATATGGGTTTTGATGGTTAGACTTTTGCAACAATCTAACACTGTTAGCCTATGCATTGGCTTTAATTGCCAATGCATTCGTGACGTTTTTTATACATGGCGTCAAATATTTGTTGCTTTAGCAATGCTTGGCTATGTTCTTAAATCTTTGCAATGTAAGGTTGTGTGTCTGTGCATTTTTAGCACATTGGTGAAGTTTGGCTATGCACCGGATTACTTCTGTACTCCGGTGGCCATGCGTATGCGCAGGTAACGTTTGTCTACGCACGGGCTAGTATATTCTCGTTTTAAAGTAGCAACTGATGTACGTATTCAGTTTAGTACTTTACTTAAACGCAGTTAATGTTAACATCAGCAGTTGGCGCTCCTGGCAAGGGTCTTTGGAAAATGCCAGCAACGTGAGCAGTGGTAACGGGAAAAACCCTCTTTGCTGCCTGGCATCTGTCTTGGAGCGCTCGTGTCTACCTGGGCTTTGTCCGCTTAATTTGTTTGTCCCCGCTATTTTTTTTCTGTCTACAAAATTTGTTTTCCTTTGTCCGCAGGCTAACTATTTCAAAATGAGCTACACAACTACGTCCTACTACAAGCCAAGGTAAGATCAGAACGCATCACGGCTTAAATATCAAGCAATACTAAAAGTTTTTATTCAAGGGCGATGCATTGGTAGAGTCACCTCAATGCATTGGCCCGGACCTTGCAATGCATTGGCCCGGACCTTGCAATGCATTGACTTGGTCATCGCAATGCATTGGCCCGGGCCCGGTCGTTGCAATACATCGGCCTGTCTAGGCAATGCATTGGCCTAGTCCTTGCAATGCATTGGCCTGCTCATTGCAATGCATTGGCCTGCTCATTGCAATGCATTGGCCTGCTCTTCGCAATGCATTGGCCTGCTCTTCGCAATGCATTGGCCTGGTCATCGCAATGCATTGGCCTGGTCATCGCAATGCATTGGCGTGGTCATCGCAATGCATTGGCCTGGTTATTGCAATGCGTTGGCCTGGTCATTGCAATGCATTGGCCTGGTCATTGCAATGCATTGGCCTGGTCATTGCAATGCATTGGCCTGGTCATCGCAATGCATCGGCGTAGTCATCGCAATGCATCGGCGCGGTCATTGCTATGTATTAACCTGTTTGGCACAACGCAGCAGCAATGCCTTTTGGCAAATGCACTCGGTCAGCAACGTGCTTGGGCTTTCCTTGTAATTTTATTCTTAATAAAAAAAACAAAGTGACTATTTTCACCTTTGGTCTCTGAAACAGTTAAGTTTATAGTTGCAATTAAAACATTGGATTACTATAACGAACGTAAACAATTCTTTAGTGTCACAGAAATAGTGTTATGTTTAAAATAACATTCATCAATATACAAGATTTTTTTTGTCAGTCTCTATTGGTGTGTTTTCGCTATGGTATGATTAATTTAATTTATTTTTTGGCATCAATGCATTGCTTTAAAGTACTAGTCTTGATAACCAATCCGTTTAAGCAACCAATGCATAGGCGTTGTTGAGCCAACGCATCGGCCAACGCATCGGCTTTGCCGAGCCAACGCATCGGCTTCGCTGAGCCAACGCATTGGCTTTGCTGAGCCAATGCATAGGCATTGTTGAGCCAATGCATAGGTATTGTTGAGCCAATGCATAGGTATTGTTGAGCCAATGCCTAGGTTTTGCTGAGCCAATGCATAGGTATTGGTGAACTAATGCATAGGCTTTGTCAAACCAATGCAGAGGCCTCACCAAACCAATGCATAGGCTTTACCAAACCAATGCATAGGCTTCGCCAAACCAATGCGTAGGCTTCGGCAAACCAATGCAGTTGCGCAAATGCATTGCACTTAACGGTCTGCTTTTTTGTACTAGTCTGTACAGCATTAACACCATAGTGTTTTTTTTCCTCTTTTAGTTTTGAAATAATTGGGCCACAACAGTGTTTGTTAGCGTAAATCCTTTTAATTGGGTGGGGGAGAAGGGGAAGGGAGAATGTAGGGAGTAAAAGGGGCGGAGGGACGTGTCGAACAGCGGTCGGGTTGCTTCGGCTGGTGAACAAAGCCGACGATGGACCGAACGCAAAGCTGGCCTGCCAGCTTGTCTGTCCGGCTACTCGGGCGCGACGAGTCGCCTGTATTCTCACCTGCCTGCCTGCCTGCCGGCTGGGCAGCCGTGCTTGCCGAGCCGAGTTGAGCCGAGCCTAGCCGCGCCGCCCGCCGAGCCGAAGCCGAGCCGAATTGACACTGACAGTTAGCGCTTGCCCGTCGCAGAGTACGGACATGCAGTCTCAGTCCGATCTCGTGTTGTTTTGTGTTTGTGATTGATTGCCCTCAAACTTTGCCTGTCGGAATTGTTTTGGCTAGTTTGTTGGACTTAAAGATACTATGTTTCAGTAAGTACATCATATTATTGTGAGACTGTTTTATAATATGTGCATAAAATTACTTTCAAAATTGTTGTCCCATCAAAATCCAATTTTCGTAGGAATATTTCGTTTCGATCGTTCACACAAATAGTTGACTGGGTCTAAATGCAAGATATCCTTACTTGATTGTTTCTTGAAGGAGGAAACATTTCGTCTGGGCTTGACTTTAGATTCACCTTGTCCGTTTTTGTCGCATATTGTAAGTAGAGAAAAAGGTGACAGTGACGGGGTTTGGACTCGCGCAATAGTCGGGTCACTCTCTAAGAGGTCGCTAAATAGTTCGCGTATAAGTAGCGTGAGAGCCGAAATTATCAAATTTTTACATGTGATTTGGGGTGTTTTTAGCTAAATCCAGATTATTTTGAGGCGTAATAGTTGCGTCACCGGTTTGGAGAGTGCTCACTTCCTCGTTGGTATATTAGTGCTGTGCGTAATTAATGTGGATAACTAGAGTTTTGTCTGTTTTGTTACTAGTTTGCAACCCTTAATTTTGCATACCGGCCACTAGGTTAGTGTTGGTTTACAGCTGAGTACCAAACGTGCGCTATAACGCTGCACTTGTTGTCTTCTTTATTCGGTCTTCCTAAACTGGTTTTGTTGCAATGGATATTGATGTTTACAAGCTGACTTTTTCAAACAATTTAATTGCCTAAAGATGGAACGTAAAGGGAAAAAGTAATCTTAGGTTGAGAGGGGTAAGTTGCACCTGTGTAAAACTAGCCGGCCTGAGACATTATGTTTTTTTTAAATTGATTTCTGGTTATGTTTTTAAGTTTGTCATTTTTGTGGTGTTAGAACAAAGTTTTCTGCGTAGCTAAGCCGTTAAAAACGATTCCAAGGACGTAGACTGGAGCTACGCGCTGTCAGACGTATTTTGTTTTGGCCATCGCCGTCCGCTAGGCAGTCAAAATTTTCAAGCAAGGCGTAGGAAGCAGGTTTTTTTTAACACGTTTATTAGCCGTTGGAAATTTTAAATATATATATATATTTTTGTTTTGGTCTTGGTTGGGCTTTAATCTATCTACGTGGTGCTTAGTAAACGACAGGTTTGCATGTGGCTGTCTAGGTTGACAGTTCGTCTGGGCTATGCATTTGCTGTGTTTCACCTATGCATTGGTCTTGCCTCGGCTATGCATTGGTCTTGCCTCGGCTATGCATTGGTCTTGCCTCGGCTATGCATTGGTCTTGCCTCGGCTATGCATTGGTCTTGCCTCGGCTATGCATTGGTCTTGCCTCGGCTATGCATTGGTCTTGCCTCGGCTATGCATTGGTTTTGTCTAGGCTATGCATTGGTCTTGTCTAGGCTATGCATTGGTCTTGCCGAGACTGCGTTTGTTTTGTCTAAGGTATGCGTTGGTTTAAGCAATGCATTGGTCTTGCCTAGGCTTGCATTGGCCGTCGCGGCTATGCATTTGTCTTGCTCAGCCTATGCATTGGTCTTGCTCAGCCTATGCATTGGCCATGTTTCGGCTATGCATTGGTTGAGTCAGGTATGCGTTGGTCGTGTTTGGGCTATGCATTTAGTGGTGCCTGAGCTACGCGTTCCTTTCGTGTAGCGTTGGTAAAATCGGCCTCTTAGTCTGCATAAGGCTAGAGAATAAGTGTGCCTAATTTTAGAGTGTTAGTAACGGCTAGACATAAAAACAGATGTAATTTTGAATTTGACTGAGGTTGCTTAACTTGGTCGCCCCAGTCGGTTACAAAATATAGTGCAAATAATATTAACACGCTCTGGTTCTTGGTCTAAGCTGCGCGTCGGCCCTTTTGGTCTAACATTACTGGCAGTTGACGTGTTAGTCTTTCTATAACAATGCATCGGTTAAACCGCAACAATGCATTCGTCTTTCCTGCTTGGCTCTAACCGCAACAATGCCCTTGTCTTCTCTCAGCTATGCATTGGGCTCATTTCAACAATGCCCTTGTCTTCTTTAAGCTATGCATTGGACGCATCGTTACAATGTCCTGGTTTTCTCTGTCCATTAGATGCGGCTCAACAAGGCATTGGTCTTTCAACGAACGTTACAAGGATTTGTGTAGCATTGACGGCAGCACTTCAGTCCCTTCACTTTTTTCTTAATTTTTTTTCAAACGTTGCTTCTTTTTGTTGCAGTGGACCTCCGGGTATGTCCAGGGGTCGAGGCGGCTACTCAGGCCCGCCGAGGGGCGCTCCCCGGGGCGCTCCAAGAGGTCGCGGTTCGTCCGAGGGCGGATGGGTTTCCCGCGGCATGTCTCGAGGCCGTGGCTACCAGGGCGGCTACCAGGGTCGGGGCGGTCCTAGTGGTCCCGGTGGTGGAATGCCATCGTCCAGCGTGGGGCAGTGGCGCGGTCACCAGGACTCGTCCAGTCATCAGGGTGGCTACAGGAACGACCGGTACCCTTCTGCAGGTAACAACAAACTCCTCCATCAAATTTTGTCCGACCTCGGCAAGGTGTCTAATGTTGTGCTTTAAGGCTCGCGCCCAAGTGACTCGCGGTACCCTTCGACACGGGGCGGCGGCACGGTAGACTACAACAACAGGCGGTACACGCCGAGGGTGAGTGTTGTGGATTGTGTAGGTCGTGGCCGTTTGCAATTTTGGCTTATTTTTATTTGTGCTTTTCGGTGCAGGACGGTCCTCCCAGTTACTCGTCTTCAAGGGAACACCACCGGTCTCCAGAGCCAGTACCTAGGAAGCGCATCCGGACCGAGGGCTACCCACCTCCTGTAAGTTTTGTGGTTTAGTGCTTGTGGTGTGCATTCTTTTCTATACATACAGTGGCCTTGAGCCGAAATCGGGTAGGGATCCAAGATAAGCTCACGGCAAGAACAGTAGAGCCCCTGGGGAGAGACAAGCTTAGTTGATGTGAAGAAGATGATCAATCTTTGAATATGCCATTATTAGATGCCCCCATTTTTGAGTGCTTTAAGTTTGTGTTGGTCTGACAATTCCACACAACTACAGCAACTCCGCATTCTTCGGCACAAAATTTACGAAGAGATCTCACCACTGTGGTGTCAAGCCTACAACTGGACATGTCCTCCTTGTTAATCATTATTCTGAATCAAATGGTGAAATTGCTGCGTTTGTGTTTCCTGCCTATAAATTCTGCAAGCTATGGCAGTGTTTGCTAACAAAGGTTTGAACAACAGCTGACAACAAATGGAATCACATATTATTTTTTCCGTCTTGATGAGGGTCTTTGGAAAAAAAAAAAAAAACAATGCCTGTTAATACCTGGCAAAGCCAGACATTGGATCTTTCCCTGAACTAATTTTTTATATTCTTCATATCCACAGATTCAGAAAACTGTCAATTCGATGGATGAATCCTTATATGTTAACTAAAAATGAAGTTGTGGATTGTTTGAACATACAGGCAGCAAGTCGGCGCAGTCATGAAGGTGGCTATGAGTACAGCTCAAGTCGCTACGAATATGGCTCTGAAAAAAGCGGCTACAGCAATGAGGATCGAGGACGTCCAGTGTACAGGGAAGATAGAAGGCCCTCTGCTGATAGGAGAGATGATTACCATTCACCACGAAGCCGTGACCCATCTGGCTCTTCAATGCCTCCTCCAGCTGCTCCAACAAGAGGTGTTGGAAGTTATCGAGGTGTTCGAGGCCGTGGTATTGTTGCCCGTTCTTATCCTGCGAGGAGACCTACTGAAGTATCCTCCTCCCTTGCTGCTCGCAAAAGAACTTTGATTGAATCATATGCTGCCAAGAGGCGTATACTTACTGGAAGAAGTCAGGATTATTACAAGAAGCTGAAGAGCATAAAATTGAGGAGGTAATTGTATGCTAATGTTGTGAGGAGTTTGATAAGAGATGGGAAGAGAGAGAGCAAAGTGTTAAAAGTGGATTCAGCATCATGCGGCATACATTTTTGTGTATGATATGAGATCTGCTTGTAGCACCGTCTTTATTATTTTGTTTGGGATCCATCAGGTGGTTGCTGAAGATTGTGAATTGCCTTGACAGGCTTAATATCTCAGCAGTATGCCATCATTGTGAGGTTTTGAAACGAAGTCAAATTGCAAAGCCATTGAAGTCTCATAATTTAGTGCTGAGTGCTAGTTCCCTCCTCAATTGGAGATATGAATTTAATTGTGTGAGAAATTTTACTTTGACAAAAGCAATGTGTACTATTGAAAAAGTACTCAGCTTATCTCATATGAAGATAATCTCAGAACTTTGCAAGAAGGCAAAGAAGACTTTTCCTTGGAGTTTGGTGACGGTCCCACCTTTTGTTAATGGTGCATCTTCCAGTGGTAGTATGTAGACTGAGGATTAGCTGCTATTAGCTGGAGTCATTTATCTAATTCTTGTAAACAATCTCAATCCTGCTTATTTGTGTTTCCCTTCTCCACTGCATGAGTAATAATTTGTCAATGTCCTCTTGACAGTTACTGAAGCTTTTGCTTCTTGGTGAGAGATTGACATTAATTCTCTTGGAGGTGGTTTTGAATATTCTGGCTGTTATTTTTCATTTATTTTGCGATTTGGTGCTTTAGGGTATTCTTTCATTAAATTTTCATGCTAGAATAATATACTTAGATTGTTCGATGTGATCTGTCTTGCAGTGCTGCTCTCATGTCTGTGAGAAGAGATGGTATAAAATCCGAGCAAGGGGACAGCGAGGATGACCTGGAAAATTGGGATGATGAACCTGACAAGGTATGTAAGTTTTAATTATTCATCCGTCAAATGTTTTAATGTAAATCCTATTTTTATCAGTTGTTTCTGTCTAAGGATGCTGTGAGTGATTCTGAGGAGAAGCACAAAACTGGAGATGAGTGTGATGAAGATGTGGAAAGCGAAGAACCAACCAGGAAAAAGGTAGTCCGCAAGATAGTAAACAAAGTGGTTGTGAAGAAAAAAGTGGTTTCAGCTGAGGATGGTGGTGAAGGGACTGCGACAGTCAAAACAGAAGAGGAGGGAGCTGGTGAAGATGACAATGTGGATGAAGCTGTTGAGGAGGAGATGGAAGCGGATGTTGATGGTGACAAGGAACCAAAAATGCAGGTTGGTTATTTTTATTTTGGTGGGTGAATACATCAGTTGCTTGTAAATTAATTGTTTGTCAATCTCTTATATTTTCCAGGTGACAATCAAACATGATTCAGAGTCTCGTGCTGTCAGTGATGATGGTGTGCGCAAAACGTCTTCGGGCAAGCCAGGCTACAAATTCATCAAGTTATTGTGTCCTCATTGTAAAGAACGTTGTGTCACTTTTAAGGTAATACATTGTATATTTCTACTGTTTCTCTCTTATCTGCTCTTCTTTCTTGAGATTTAACCAATTATTTTCTTTTGTTTCTTTTACAGGAATACCAGAACCATTTAAGAGGCCTTCATCATGTTAATGCAATGCGTAAACTATCCTTCCGGCTGAAGCAGAACCTTGCGAGGATGAGAGTTGAGCAGAGAATTCAACAGCGCTTGGATGAGAAGAATGATGAACTTCGTGGTGTTGCAGCAGGCAGAACCAACTACTGTCACACTTGTAAACTCAATTATCGGCAAGAACGGACGCGGCACAATGAATCAGAGATGCACAAGGTAATTTTCAACCCCTTTAGCTCAGTTACAGCAATGCCCTTTGTCAACTTAGGTACAAAACTTCTAGGCCTTTCAGTTGCCCTACTGTGTCTTTTCTGATTGCATTATAAACTAATCTTTTATTTTAATTTTAAATATAATCTCTTGGAAACTTGGCAGTCACTGCCTTCTAGATCTGATAGTTTAGGCTTTTGCCATTTGTGTGTTTTTGACCCTTTCACTATCCTTTTTTTAATGAGGTTCCTTTGTCTCTTATTTAAAAAAATAATATTTGCAATCTTTTTAAAAGTATCTATCTTGTTATTTTAATCAATCTTATTGCTCTCAGTTTCTTTGCAAGTATGAAGTCTCTAGCTCCTTGGCCTCTTGGTAGCCCCTTCAAATTTTGCCCATTTTCAAAGAGTTTTTTTCTTATAAATATTTTCTTGTCTCTAAGGTGTTTGCCTTATCTTCTCAATTTTTTGATTTTTTGAACATAGTATTTCTTTTTGCTATGTGATCTTATATTTTCTAATTAAATTTGTTTGAGTTTAGTTGGAACTACTTTCTCAACATTAGGGTTTTCTGAAAGCACTTTGCTCTTAATCCAGGATGCTTGCCTCTGATTGGCTGTAGGGACCTAGGCTATCAGCTGGAGAACTCTGGAGGGATGATAGGAGGACCTCTAGACCTCAGTTGAGTCTGCTGCTTGGTAGCCATTAGTTTATTTTTCTGGCTTAGGTCCTTCTGTTGATATGGGTAACTTCAAAAAAGGAGTGTTCAATAATGCTGGTGTTAGGAGTGTTTATTACTATAATAAGAAGACTGGGGTGGTGAAACCTAAATATAAGAAAAAACAACAGGCAATTGTAAGAGCTTATTTGCTTTGTGACAAGGATTATGTCATTTTTTTTGTTTTATCTCTGTAAAAAAGCCTAAGTTTTCTAATTCCTTTTCTCTTTTTGTGCTTTTGCAGAAAATGAAGGAGTTTTTAATGCCGACCTGCGTCATCTGCCGCATCAACTTCAGAAGTCCTATGCTGTTTGAGAACCACATCTGCTCTCTGGAACACATTAAGGTATGTTTTGATGCTATTTTTTGCCCATGAGCTTCTTTATGCTAGCGTGTTCAGTAGTTTTTCACTGCCTATAAATCGGAATGTGGCACTCTTGCCAATTATTCTTGTCCTTGTTATAATAGGGAGATATCTGCTTTTATTTTAGTGTAATGTGATCGTCCGCGGCCTGCCCGTGCCCGGCCAGGGCACCCTGGGTGTGGCTCCGCGATGGACGGGCCTCTTTAACTTTTTAATATAGCCGTCCTTTCGGAAGTTTTGCTCGCTGGTGGCTCTTGCCCGTTAATTTGAAAATATCTTAGGTGCAATTAGGTAGCAGGGCACCCTACTTTCTTTTTTAGTAAAACGGCTGTGCCGATTTGCTGTCTGGCCCCGGCGTGTGCTTAATCCCTAGCCCCGCGTGGTGGCCCGTCAGGCCCGTCGCATCATCTTGCGTTCTTTTTCTAGCGAAGCATGGCTTACTGGTTGTGTTTTTCAAGATTGCCTCTCGGCGCACGCGTTGCTTCGCGCCCATGTCCCGGACAACAGTTTGCTCTTTTTACTGTCGTCAGGGGCTTGCAACGCGTGAAGGGGACGCTGCCCGGCCCACCTTTAAGCCCTTTAACTAATGTTTATTTTGTTCTTTTGTTGTTATGCAGATCGAGGAGCGAGTTATGAGGGGCCGTGACCGGGACCATCCCACAGAGAAAGAAGTGGACATGGACAGCTTACTTGTGTTGGACAGTGTAGGCAGTGCAGATGGTAAACTATGCAAAATTTTCTTCCTTTTCCTCTTTTTGTATATTTTTATGTGATATTCAGTATTAATGTTTCTTTATGCCTTCTGCAGAGTCTGATTCTGATGATGAAGCCATGGATGACAAATCAGAAGGAAAAGATGGTGAAAAAAGAGAAAAAAAGAAAAAAGCTCAAATCAATTTAGGTTAGTGATCTGGACATTATGTCCTCTTTATTTTCTTATTTATTTTAATGGGTCTGTTCAATTCTAATGAATTTTTGTTGACTCCTGCAGGTGCTGATTATGTGAAGAAAGTTGAGGTCATGTACTGTGAGCTGTGTGCTATTTATCTTCCAAGGACAGGTGAGGAAGATGTGGCTCTGGCTAATCACTGCCGCACTCGCAACCATCTTCAAAGATACGTTCGCTACAAGGATGACAGAGCTTTGCGGAAAGAAGCAGAAAGGATTCACCGCAGGGACAAGGCTGAACAGGAGGCACGCAACAAGGCTCAGGAGATCACTGTAAGGCTCAGTTAATTTACCATTCTTTGAACTAGCTCTTGAAGCATGTTCAGTTTATTATTAAACTTGTTTGTTTTCTTATAGAAGGACACAAAGGCTGAGAATTCGTCAAGTGAAACTGAGAAGACCCCTATGAAAGATAATGCACCTGAGGATAAGCAAGATAAGGGTCCTGGAAGCAGTACGGGGAATGAAGGAGCAAATGATAGTGCGGATCTGGATGATAAAATTTGGGCAGATGTTGACAAAGGATTGGACGAGCTCCTACGTGAGGTATGTAAATCTTTTAATGTGTCAAGCTTATGCTGTAATTGGTTTTTTGTGCCCCAAACCTTTTTTTATAGTGCTTAGCACATCCAAGTTAACATGATTATCTATTTTTAGGTCGAGCCTGGAAACAAGTCCAGTGATGATGATGATGAATCGGGTCGCTATGATCGTTTCCGCTACTCTGACAAGAAGGGTGGTAAAGCATCCAGTGAAGACAGGGAGGTAGCAGACACTTCTAGCAACAGTTTGCCATCAACTACAGAGGTCGTACCCAAACAAGAAAATACATCTCCAAAGGAAAATTAGTTAGCCTTTTGTTTAGTAGCTGTTTTTAAACTAGCTTTTAATTCTATACCAAGTCTAAAATTTTGTTACTTTTTTTTTTATTTTCAATTTTATGTAGTGATACGAATCTTCTGTACATATTGCTGTATGAAGTTGAGTCCAAGAGCAATGAATAAATGTGTGACTACTTTCAAATGATTGTTGTCTTTCCTCCCTTATTTGAAATGAAACAGGTGTAATTGAAACACATACAAAACATTAAGGTGTATCTTTTATTGACACATTAATACTGCCACAGCTGCAAATTTGATTGATATTAATCATCTTTACTGAAACAGCTACTTTAAAAAAAGGAAATTGACAAAATTTCACACTGAATTCCTTCACATTAATCAACATGAGCAGTGAAACAAAGGATCATAGCTCTGCCATGTCAATTGACAAAAATTAGATGAGCTTTATAAAACCAGCCAACCAAAACAACTAAGATAAGCTAGATTACAAATATTTCTATCACAATACATCATGTAACAACAATGAGTCTCCAGTAATAATAACAATTAAAAAAAGAAAACAACAACTTAACATACTTTACACTTAACAATCGCATTGACGAATAAAAACAGCTCAGGTCCCATAATTTGACAATCATATTAACATGTTGGTTGCAGTAAGACTAATGGTAACACTTGTGTTTACCATCCCTTTATGAGTGGCTACTCTTAGTATTTTGATTCCCAGCTAAGAAAGTGATTTAATTGCAGTGAATCTGACGCAGTAGAATTTAAATTAACTCCATAAGGTACAGAAATTGGCACAGATACTGAAAAAGGGACAAGAACTGGCAGAGCCTGCCCTGAAGTTGGACCCGTGTCAATATTAACAGGCTCCGTACCAGCCGCTGACAAATTAGCTAATGTTGTAGTGTCAGAGTGATGAGATAAATGGAGAGGTTCTAGGCCATGCATGGAGATAGGGTGGGACTGTTGGGTAACTTGTTGATGAGACTCATGGAGTCCATGCGCCTTGTGTATAGACATTTCAGGCTGAGCCTGTTGTGGTGCTGGAGGCAGAGGCATCACCTGCAAGTGTTGCAGCTGTTGCACTTGTTGCACTTGTTGCACATGCTGTTCATGAATATGTTGTAACTGTTGCACTGTCTGCCTCTGTGGTGTGTCCTGGTGGTGCTGATGTACAAGCTGTGTGGTTTGAGCCTGGCTTGTCTCAGACAATTCTTGATGATGGGACCGATGTTGCTGTGACTGTTCAGCACAATGGGGAGATTCTTGTAAGTGAAGATTGAGGTGAAGCTTGGAGGAAAATAATTCTCCACAGAAAGAACATAGCTTTTCTTCATCATCTTCATGGCATTTTGCATGCCTTCGCAAACCAGCAGAAGTGGTGAAACCCATGTTGCAAACTTCACATACATGCTCTTTCAAAGCAAGATGCATGCGTTCATGTGCTCGTAGGCTGGAGTTAAACTGCAACAAATGGCAAAAATACAATTAAAAATTGATTGTACCAATTAAAGAAGATAGAATATAAGCTTAAGTAAGTTTTCACTTACAGCAAAAGCTCTTCCACAATGCTGACAGTTGTATGGTTTCACTCCAGTATGAGTACGCATGTGCTTAGCCAAGTCATTATGGCGGAAAGCTCTCCCACAAATTTCACACGAGTATGGTGGAACTTCTGAATGTGAACGCTTATGCCGTATCAATTGATATGAATGGACAAAGCCTTTACCACAGTCAGTTTCATCACACCAAAAGCGAAGAACTCCACCATGTTGCAGTATGTGAGCATTAAGGCCTGATCGTCGAGTGAAGATTTTATCACATATGTGGCAACGCAAATCTGGGTTGGGTTCTCTTCTCTTTTCGGTGCGAGTATGAAGGTACATGTGACCTAAACAATAATAGAATAATAATAATAATCAAAGTTTCACCATACATGCAAATAATAAAGTAAAACATCTCACCAGTAAGACCAGATGCACGAGTAAAGGTCTTGTTACAAATATGACACTGATGATGCTTTTTGTTATCTTTACTTTGATTTAATTCCCCCCTTTCTTCAGATTCCTTGTGACTTGCTATGTGACAAGAAAGTTCCTGAGGCTTACTGAAGGTTGAGGTGCAATGCGGACATTGAAACTGTAATGAAGATAATAAAAGAATTAAGGCATACAAGCACCAATGATAATATTTTCAGGAAACAGCCACTGGAAATATGTCCCTACCAAAGATGATGAGGAAGAGCTATGCTGTAAATTGTTAGCATCCAATGCATCTTCAGAACACACACCCAAATCAAGAGAGTTAGTCACATGTTGTTCTTGTAGCAACACAACTTTCTCTCTAGCTTCTGTTTTGGGACCACCTACAAATGCCCTTTGTTGTGGCTGACCTGGAAGCATCTCCTGTTGAGAGAGCTGACATTGAACTATACTTTGCTGGTGTGTTTCATGAGTTGATTGATGAGGAGATTGAGAAACATGTTGCATAGATTGCTCTGCAGTGGGATGAGATCTTTTTTTCTTTCGTACTTGAATGGTGAACTGCACATTATGTCGATTTGGTGCATCAGGATTGGGTACTCCACCCCGATTAGATTTTCTAGGACCACTGTGCCATCTTCTTATATGTTTAGCAACATCATTATGTTTAAATCCTCTGCCACATATATTACAACAGAAATTTGGAACAGCACTATGAGTATTGCTGTGTCTTATTAGCTGAGGCTTATTTTTAAACCCTTTACCACACACACCACAGATGTGGTCTTTCTGTTCAGAATGAGTAACCATATGTGAAACAAGTCGGCTACGTTTATGAAAAACTTTGGTGCAGACTTCACACGGGAAGGAAGGTTTGGAAGTTCTTACTTCACAATCAATATTTGGAATCTCTTCATCAGGATCATCTTCATCAGGATCATCTTCATCAGCACTCTCAGTTTTTTCACATGCAGACATTATTGTGAATCCTCTCTGAAACAACCCAGGGTTTTGTTGAACAGTGAGACTGGGTTGGCTATCATCGTCTGTTGCAGTACTAGGTGTGGACTCTTGGTCCATGGGGCTTCCTTTCATGGCCGTCAAATCTACCTCAAGAGTCATTTCTTCAAATGCCTCCTGAGATGGTTGGTGTGACATAGTAGGCAAGCTTTGCCTTTTATTTCCTGAAACAAAAATATTGAAAGTGGTCAATTTGTATAGCAATAATCCAGACCTAACTTCCAAAAACTGATGGCATGAAATGTACTTACCTCAAATCTTCATTGGCAGAGCAGAATTGTCTCTGCATGACTTATATTCGTCAACACTTTTCACATACACCTGGCAAAGACAACTGAAGATTAGTTACTTTGATAGAAAGCGCTTGTCAGAATGAACAGGGGACAGTAGCGAAACAGGCTTATGCTCAAATTATTAGAAAAAAAAAAAAAAAAAAAACAGCAAACACTTTGGTGGTTAAAGGACATTATCATACAAGTTAAAATGAAACATGAAGGTAAAACATCTAAGCTGAAAAGGAGTGATTTGAAAACTGCATGTAAACAATATTCTGACACAACTGACATTGTATTCTAACCTTGTACGAGGCTTGAACTTCCTATAAATGGTCTTTAGAGAACTGTGCATAGTGGGACTGAGTGTCACTACAAAAAAGATTAATTTGCCAAGGTTCAATGGAAAACGTAAATAATTCAGCAATGTAAAAAGGGATCACTGTCAATAAATAAAAATACAAGTCAACCTCAGCAGAGCAGTACCAGCGACAGCAAAGCGCTCTTGCGGCCAGCGGGAGAACTAGGGAAAATAAGGGGTAGGTAACATTCGTTGTAAAATAAACACTTAAAATGACAGTTTTTTTGTCACCACTTTCTTCTATGTCGTGTGAGAAAACGGAAGGGGTCTTCAGTTTGACCACAGACTTGTGCTTCCAGCTTTTGAAAATACCACGTATTTGAAACTTAAATCGAATAATAAGGATTTCATTTTTATTTTTGTCAACATAAACAATGCTGCCCTGTAAGGACCAACTGTGAAGGGGGTGTGGTGGGGGTAGAAAAACTTGGTGGTCTAGTATTTTTTTTTGGTGTGGTGGCTCCCCGAGCTAATCTTAACGTTTAACATAACATCAGTATTTTAACTAGGATTTTCGTTTCATGTGTTTATATTTTCAATCTCATGTTATTGTCTAGCTGACGAATCGACGGGAAAATGGTGAGGAATGGCCGATCGGAAATAACATTTGTGTGATATCCATGTCATGACGTCTAGTGATAGTCTGTATTTCAAATGAGTGGTAGGGACGTCATTATGTTTGTGAATACGTCTTTTGGTTACGATTATTTTCCTTTCATAAAGTTTATCGAATGTATGGTCTGATCCCTATACTTCTGATACCAAATTTGTCTCGAACGTGTACTCTTAGTTATCAAGTCAGTGCTACTCTGTTTAGGTTAGGTAATTCTAGAGCTATGTTGTACTCTGTGAAGTCACTAGGGACTTTGACAATGCCAACTGGCACTCGTTAACTATGCTCTTGAGGCAGTAGAATTCGGCCCTACTCAAAATTTGTTGTTTCCAACATGAAGACAGCATTTTGGGTTGTACCTTTGATAGAACTTTGTTGATTTTACTTTCTTGTTTCAGCATAAATTAAAGTCTTCTCAAAGGGACAAAGTTAAAAAGTTTATTGCATTCACTCAAACTGGAGAAGCTACTGCTATTTATTGTCTTGCTCAAAATGAGTGGAAGCTGGAACTCGCATCTGACAACTTCTTTCAGAACCCTCAAGTCTATTACAAGGAACCCAAAATTTCAGTCGATAGGAAAAGGCTAGACCTGCTGTTTAACAAATATAGAGGTGAGCTGTCTACTTTCCTTGATGACTTAAAAATTTTCAGTTGAAAACTATTATTGACTTAATTATTTTGTTTTATAGATCCCCAGGAACCAGAGAAAATGACAGCAGATGGTATCGTGAGATTTCTGGATGATTTAAATCTTAGTCCAGATTCTAAATTGGTTCTCATAATTGCATGGAAATTCCGAGCTGCTGCTCAGTGCGAGTTCTCAAGAGAAGAATTTATGACTGGCATGACAGAATTGGGGTAAGTTGCCTCTTGCAACTTTTTGTTACATGTTTCATGACAAGTGCTTCATTAATTTGTGATCTTTGTGTGTGTAGGTCAGATTCAGTAGAGAAGCTGAAGGCTCGATTACCCTCTTTGGATGCTGAACTGAAAGACAATTTAAGGTTTAAGGACTTTTATCAGTTCACCTTCAACTATGCTAAAAATCAAGGTCAGAAAGGTTTAGATCTGGACATGGCAATCACATATTGGAATATAGTTCTTCAGGGAAAATTTCGCTTTTTGGACCTATGGTGCAAATTTCTGCAGGTAAGAACAGTTTATTGCTTTCCTATGGAGCTTCATGTAAGACACCTTCTTCATCATTGTTAATTGTTTGTAATTTCTTTAAATTTATGTTTTAGGATCATCATAAGTGTTCTATTCCAAAGGATACATGGAACCTACTTTTGGATTTTGCTCTGGTTATAAGTGAAGAAATGGATAACCATGATGAAGAGGGTGCATGGCCAGTTTTAATTGATGATTTTGTGGAATGGGCAAGACCATTGGTCAAAACTTCAAATTCCTTACACACTCATAGTACTCAGGTTTAGTGTTAATTAAATTTATTGTCTCATTTGATAGGCCCACTTGTCATTTGTTGCATAGATTGTTTCCTCATCACTTGGCCTTCTCCACAAAATCTTTGTGGAGTTTTGGACCTTCTCAAGAAGTCATGAGTTACTATTTTTAAAGACACAGAAGAAATGTGATGTTGTTATGTTTGTGATACAAAGTATGTTTAAACTGAAACTAGCCTTACCTTTTTTTTTTTTGTTTGTTAAATTGTTTTGTAAAGATCTCTTCACATTCTTTCGTAAAGGCTTACTCAATATATTCATAGTTTTGAATTTCTGGTGACTTTTCCTGGATGAAAGAATAGTATGAAGTGTTTAAAAAAATGGGGTAAAATGCCCCTTTGGTAGAATAACTTGTAACTTTTGTTTCAAGACAAAAACAATTTTAAATGTTGGGTGCAGAAACTTGTTAACTAGTTTGAACATCTTGAATGTTCTAAGGTGCCATAGCTCAAGCACCCTTTGTGTTGGTCTATTAAAATTTCTAGTGAATGTATTGGACTATTTTCATTAGCAGTTTTTTGAGGGTACACGCTTCTATTATAGTTCAATTCAGACAGAAATATTTTTTATTAGTGTTAGGTGCTGGAAAGGAGGTACAGGATGTAGTTTTGATCTTGAGATGGGTCACTTAAGTAATCATCTGTTACACACTCCAATTATGTAGATAGATGCCTGATTGATTGCACTTGATCCAGTTAGTTTCTATTTACTTGCAAGCCTGCTTTCCACTGTTTGCTGGTCCCCATTCCCTCCCTCTTTTCAATTTTAATCGGCTTGTGTGGAGTTGTGGTCAGCTTGGTTTTTACTGTTAGGGTAGTATTTTCTCAACCCAATCTAGTTTTCATCATGGTCTGATTTCTTACTTTCTTTGAAGTATTGAAATCACCCAGTTTCCAAAAACTATCAGAAGGTATATAACATGTTATTTCCTTTGTTTGAATTGCTGTACTATTGTCCCTGGCTCTAAGTTAATAGTTACCTGTCACATCGAATTCCATTTGATACAAAGATTTAATGACCATACTGCCCAAGTTACACATGTTGCTGTTCTCAAAGGTTTTCTTACGTAATTTTCAGAATTGTTTTTCAGGATTCCTGTGCAAACTTGATGTCTTTTAATAGTAGTACAAGGGTGGCGACAAAAGTGCACTTCTATATTAGTACTTTGTGTTGAAATGAGTGTAAATGTCATTCCTCTCAAAACATTGTATTAAACCTCATTTAAAACAGCAGCTTTCTTATTTTTGTACCCTTGAACAAAATTGTCCTTGTCTCCTGGGATCCATAAGAAGAAGAAAAACAACTAACAGTGTTTATTTATTTTTAAAGACACAATGACCAAATTTTTCACATGGTCAATTACAGTTATGTACAAGAGTAAATATTCTGCTCTGAGAGTTTACCAACTAGGCATGTTTGGACACTAAAGACACATTCTGGAGGACTTCGTCAGCTTTTAACTTAGTTAAAGGAATGCTGCTTTCCCGACCACCATCTGAAAAGAAAAGGATACAAAAATAAGGGCATGTCACACTTTCAAGCTGTCATTCAACAAAAGTAGTGGACACACACCATATCGAGCCCAAAGACGTGGCTGCACCCCACTGCATTCACGGATCAGAATGGGAAACTTGGGATTTTGCTGCTTGATGGATACATAGTACTTTTCAATGAAGTCACTGAAATGGTAGATTTACAAGGTATTTGAGTACTGTAAAAAGTGTGCTACACGAAAAAACAGTTGAAATAAGAAAGAAATGAAACAAAGCTTCCCGAAGTAAGTGGTGACGAGTGCTGGGTCTTAAGCTACATGGGGGATGAAATTACGGGGCCCAAGCACAGATTCAATACGCTGGTTCAAAACATTCCAACGCACTAGAAAATTAATTGACAATAAAGGAGAAAACGACAACTTTATAAGAATGCAGCGACATAACCTCTCCTAGTGCATACAAGATGTAAAATGGCAAGATAAGCAAGAGAGGACTTTATAAGATATCATGAGTTTCAAAAATTTATCTCTTACCGAACACCCTGACTAGCCTCTGACTTTTGACACAAATGAATTCGCAATTCTTTCAATGCTGGGGAAAACTTGATTGCCTTCGACGCCATGTTGGAAACTACAGCGTAAAATGAAATTCCCCATATACTCGAGTAGGCAACCCAGCCACACACTGGAGGAGCACTCACACCAACATGTCATGTTGAAAAGATAATTCAAACTGTAAAATAAACTTTCTTTTCTTCCTTGGCGTACTCACTCCAATTTGAAAATCATTAATTTATTATTGCTCAACCGTCAATCCTTCTCATGTCACAGAAAATGAATTTAAAGTCCATTTTTTGGTGGTAGCTCTGCTCCTCTGGTTTGAAAGCCCTCAGGCGCCTCCCGTCCGTTGCCCGCCAAACGCCAAACGCCAAACCGTTGCTCGGCTCTCTCATCCTATTTGAATTTGGGATTGTGTTTTGTGTTGCGTCTCAGTGGTGGATGCCACAATTTTGTTTTCTTGACCGGTGCTAAGACAATATAACCGGACGGGAAAATGAGTGAAGCCACGAAAAAGAGTTTTCGTGATGCTTTTCAAAAGTCTCAATATAGTGTAACCTCTCACGAAAAGCTCTTTAGACACCTCAAGCAACTTTACGCCAAGGTAACCTGTCAATAATGTCTTTTGTTGAAAGTTTTGAGTCGGACTCTGCAGTTTCTGTGTTTTCTTATCTTATTTGTTAAAAATTGGGCCTCCCTTTATTTTGATTTTTAGATGCCTGCTGATGTGTTTCTGGCTGAGTTCATCCGTTGTCTGCAAGTGGCTCTTATTCATGGAGAAAAGCATCGAACGGTAGAGAATTCATTAAATTTTGCTGCTAAATTTATTGCACTTCTTCTTCCAACGAAGCCACTTGATGATGGAGGGAAAATGATGGATGTTGAGGAGGAAGAGGAAATATGTCCTTTTGTTTTAAACGTCCTTAAATTTTTATTTGAGGTGAGTCAATCTTCTTTGTATCCTTTAGTTACATTCTCAATGTTTACTCTGTATTTGAACATGCCTTTCTCTATGCAGAATCACAACTCGGAGCATCAAGGTATTCGCTTCCGAGTCTGCCAATTCATCAATAAAATTTTAAACAGTTTGGGTAATGACGCCTGCCTTGATGATAACTTATGTGATGACATCAGTGAGTGCATGATGGAGAGACTACAGGTAATTTAAATCTATTCTGACTGTAAACTTCCTTCAATAGATATCCATTCTTATCTTAAATTTTTTGTGTCTTTTAAACAGGACAAGGCACCAGCTGTTCGTATGCAAGCAGTCTTGGCTCTTCACAGACTTCAAGACCCAGCTGATGCCAACTGCCCTGTAATGAAAGGTAATCTTAAATTGATGCAACTAGATCTCAGTAATATGTTCAATGCTAAGTTTTAATATACAATTACTTTTGTTCTGTGCCAGCTTTTCTATTCCACATGTCGTCCGATCCCAATGCTGATGTGCGACGAGCAGTTATCACCAATTTGGCTATCACATCCCAATCAGTACGATGCCTTTTGGAACGTACACATGATTGCAAAGATGTAGTGCGTCGCGCCGCTTATGTCAGTCTGTCAAAATTAGGTGTGGCAAGATTTTCTATCATACAGCGAGTGAAACTCCTTACTAATGGCCTTAAAGATCACTCAGGTACTTTAAACTTAATAAGTTTGCAATTTATTATGCTTTTTTAGCTCTCTTGTCTTGCCCTTTTCATTTGTTCTACTTGTTTTTTTTTGTATTGATTTGATTCTATTCCCTCTTTAGCACTTGTTCGTGAGAGTGTCTCAAAAGTGATGCTGCCATCTTGGTTACAATTCTATAAAGGAAGCTTTTTGGCACTTATCCATGCCCTTGATTGTGAAAATTCAACTGAGATATCCATTTTAACCCTGCAGTCTCTCTTCAAGTAGGATTTTCAAACACATGCTGTTCGATATCCTGTATCTCCAGTTTCGTTTATTCCTCTGGTATTTATGGCAATTATTATCTGTTTGTCTTAGGTCTGAGTCCATTAAGTCAGTTTTGGAGGAGTTGACAAAGTTGTTAAATGAAGACAAAGTAATTCCTGTAGGTTCTCTCAACCCAGACAATGCTTTGTACTGGAGAGTTCTTGTTGAGTATTTAGAAGCTCATCCAGAAATTGCGGAAGAACGTCCTGTTGATGAGCCTCTCCCTGAATTGTTACCAGAGCTATCAACATTTTGTAATTACATAAAAGAGTAAGACAGGAATTTTTTCCAACATGATACAGGTGTGTATGGGTGTAGTATTTATTTATTTTGCCTGTTTTAGGTATTATGAAGTTCAATCAGCAAAAGATGAGGAGCATTGGGTAAAATTACAGCATCATTATGTTTTAACTCAGTTGCTTCAGTTATGTAAAAGTTTTGACTTGGCTGATGAAATGGGCAGGTATGTAGCTTTTCCTTTAAATAGACAAACCTTTAGCCACTCTTTATTTCAAACTGTTTGTTATTTTTTCCTACCCTGCAGATCTAATTTGAAGAGTTTGTGTTTGTATCTCTTAACAAATAACACAGTCTCTGAGAATATAGTTCCTGTAGTAATTGAGCTCATGGTTAAAATCCTACCTTCTGTGGAAGATAGGCTACAAGCCTTGGCTGAAGTCATATCTGAAGTGCGGGAGCCAATGATTGAACAAGGAGTTGAAACTGCTATTGTAGCTGTCCCAACCTTGTCAAATGAAGAACTTCGTCAACGGGATCTGAAGGTATGCTTTAGCTCTATTTGATAGTCCCTGGCTTTTATTATAATCCTAATATGCTATATGCAATATTTTTCTTGGGTTTCAGCAATTATCTATTAGAGTAAAAATAAATGAGCTGAAAGAGGAACAGGATGATGCTGTGAGAAATCAGGACTTTGTTAAAGCCCAGGCACTTCAGGAAGATTATAAAAAACTACAACTTGAACTTGAAGCTTTGATGGAAGCACCAGCACCAGCTGTTGTAGTTCCTCCTCCTCAAGTTGAAGTAAGAAAAATCATGTTTTTTTGTGTGTTTTCAAATGTGAGTAGTTTTAGGGTACTTAGAAAAGGTGTTTGGTTGCTAGGTTCGTGATGCAGTGAAAGATGAAATGGCCCTCCGAAAGTGCTTGCGAATTGTGAGGGAAATGGTTCAATCAGATACAGTGAAGACACTCTCTGCCACTTTACGTTCCTTGATGCAAAACTTTGTCGTACCCTGTCTTCAGGTTAGCATATAGCAAATACAATTGTAATCAGTGTGTTGTTTGTTATTACTGCAGTAACCACTAATCCTGACAATCTTTTATAGGAAGACAACTCCAATGTTATTAGAAATAAGGCATTAGAGTGTTTAGGGATTTTTTGCCTCTTGGACAAGCCTTTGGCACAAGAAAATTTCCTCATGTTTTGCTTTCAGGTAACTCATAACATAGCCTAGTAATGAGGGTGTTAGGGTGTTTTTTAAACCCCATATTTTACCTATGGTACAGTTTGCTCTTCTATCCTACTTTAATATATTCTCTCCACTGCAGATTGCTAATGATGATGTATGTGAGGTTGCCTTGAAGGTTACTTTCGATTTACTTCTTCTCTATGGTTTGGAAACTTTCCAAATTCAAGAAGAAAATGGTGGGCTTCTTCATTTTATCTTTTAACCATGTCATACAACAATATTTTTAATGTAATTTAATTTTGACATTTTATCAGGAGAAACTACTGAAAAAAAGAAGTCGAAAAAGAAAAAGAATCTCTTTGTAACTGATATGTATGATGATGGATTTGACACTGAAGAAGAGGAAAGCCAAGAGACTCAAACACACATTTCTAGTGGTTCCAGTGGAAACACATCCAATTTGATATCTATATTGACATCTCTGCTTGACAGTACCGTAAGTTGAAACAAACTCAGTGTATAAAACAAAACATTGAGAATATCCATTTGAATCTTAAATCTAAGAGAGTTCTTTTTCATGGTTTCAGTCTACATCCATGCGCAACTTAGCAATGGAAGGATTGTATAAACTCTTGATGGCTTGTCGCATTACATCCTCAGCTCTCTTAACCCGTCTGATTCTCATGTGGTACAGTCCAGTTACAGGTAGGTGTTAAGTTTTCTTTCTGTAAACGCATAAACTGATCAGATGAAATTTTGAAGTTACTTAATTTTAGAGAATGTTCTTAATTTTTATTATTTCATTTATTTTATTTGCAGAAGGAGATGAGACTCTTCGTCAACCTCTTGGTGTGTTCCTAACAGTGTATGCCTCTCAGTGTCCTAGAAGCCAGGAAACACTCGAACAGGCATTCCTTCCAACTTTAAAAACTTTGATAAATGCTCCAGTCACAAGCCCTTTGACGCAAATTGATTTGGACAGTGTTGCCCGCTTGTTTGTAAGCCTGACTAGGCCGGGGACAAATAAAAACCATTCTAAGGTGAGGAATGTTGATGTCTCTTGCAATTTCATAAATGTTTTTTAGTATTTTGTTAAAAGTTTTGTGCTTTGTTTGTCTTAGACGAGCCATATTCACAATAACATGGCTCTTTCAATTTGCAATGCAATAATGGATTCTGATAATGCCACTTGCATTTCTGTCTTGCTAAGAGCACTGAACTGTCTAGACCTCTGTCTAGATGATCCTGTGTATCGAGAAGAACTGAAGACTCTTACTTTCAAGGTTCGAGAGGTATGTTTTAAGTTTTGTTTTCAGTCTCTTTATCATTTTTTTTAATACTCTTGTAATATGCTAAGTTAAAGTTTTATCCAGTTGAAGTGCTACTTTTAATTGTTCTTATGTTTACAGATTTTCAGGTCATCTAAAGAAAAACAGTTTGTGCGAAGTTTGGATAAGATTATCTCAGCAGTTCAAGCAGCCATGGAAAATGTATCAATGAGAACAAATGAAGTTGATAATACAGCAGCCTCCAGCCAGCTTGAAGGCACTAACACTTTGATTGACAAGACCATTAATTCAGATGTTCAAGAAGCTGAAAAACGCAGCAATAATGCCAGGGTGAGATTCCTTTGTTATTTCACCTCATGCTTACTGTTTACTTTTTAAATAGCTGGAATTCCCTGACACCGTAAGTTAAATTATGATGTTTTGAAGAATACTTTTTGCATTTTATTTTATTGCAGTTGCTGCACCCTAGAATGCATTCTATACTGGCTGAAAATGAATTTAATGAGGAGGAGGAAGAAGAAGATGATAATAGCCAGAAAACACCTACCGCCACCTCAGGTCTTGTTATTCCGCCAAGTCCACCTAGGAGTCTGTAAGTCAAAGTTTTCATTTAAAATTCATTTTTAAAATAAGATTGCGCAGAAAGGTATGTCTATTTGACACTTTTTAAAACATGTGGTGTGTTGTATTTTCAGGCCCAGTGACAGTGAAGAAGAGGAAAATTCCAGTAATTCCAAAACGCAAAAGAATCCTGTTAATTCTACGACCAATGATACATTTAAGAAACCTGCTAAACCTTCAAAAACCAGAACTCGGGAGCAAATCAGAGCTACATCATCCAGTGATGCTGACAACTCACCTGTCCCGAAAAGAAGGAAGGCAGCTAGCAAGGATGAAGAAACAGAATCATCTACTGCTAAACGTCCAATGAGAGGAGCTGCTGAAAAAAATGCAGAGGAAGTGCCAAAGCCGGTCAAAGCCAGAAGCACCACCCTTGCTCAAGAACAGAAGAGCACTCCTGTATCAGTGAAGAGGAATGTTAAAGGAGTCAGTAAGAATGACACTGAAAGACGAAGTAGCCCAAAGAGACAGATTAATCCTACAGAGAAGGGTGCAACTTTGAAAACTTTCCAAAATATTTCTGCTGTATCACCTTCACGAACTCCTCCAGCAAAGAGGGTAAAGAAAGCCGCCAATGTATCAATTTTGACCACTGAAACGGAAATTGACATTAGTACTGATGTACAACCCTCTGAAACTTCAAGTGCTGGCACCTCAAAGATGTCTCCCCGAAGTCGTCCCAGCACAAGACGAAGTATGTCTTTGCCTGACAGAAACTCTGTTGATTCACCCCCAGCATCAGCTGCTGAACTGCAGCGAAACAAAACCAAGAAGGTAGATAAAATTTCTTCCAAGCGTGTATCTGAAGAAGGAAATGATTCTGATAAGCCGTCCCCAACACGCGGTAGGCGTTTAAAACAAGGTCCAAAGCAAGATCAGGGAAAGTCTGTCGCACCTGTGGCGCTCAATTCTGAAGCTGACTCCGATTGTTCTCCTGTTCCAAAGCGTGTTCGTCAACTCACCCAAAAGAGTAAAACTGTTCAAGGAAACATGAAATCTAAGTCACCAAATGATGCATCAAAATCCAGCTCTGATGTTTCCCCAGCTCTGTCCACCAGATCAGGACGGTCTGGAAGAGTACAGGAGTCCCCATCCTGTGGTGCTAAGAGTTCTCAATCTGAAAATACTACAACTGATTCAGACTCTTCTCCTTTACCTGCTTCAAAGCAAAAGCGTGCTAGATCCAAGTCTGCTGCCTCTTCTCCTAAAGTGGTTGTGCTTATGAAAGAGCTTACTCCCTCATCCTTGGGGTCAGGCAAGGTTCCTCAAGTGAAAGGCATTGTTCCATTGAGAAACACACGAAGAAGTATTTCACAGTCTGAGACCTCAGGTGGTCTGTCTGACCAATCGTCACCAAATGTTCGCTCAACGAGGCGAAGCACTGTTCGAAGTGAAGATGAAAGTCAGTCTCCCCTATCTGCTGCTTCACTCAAAGAGAGACCTAAGAAGAACAGCAAAGCCTCTGTCTCCAAAAGACCGGTTGAACTGGCATCCAGCTCTGATGAGTCACCTGCCAGGAGATCATTAAGAGGGTCAGCGGAAAAAGTCTTGAATCCTAAAGGATCAGCTGCCACGAAAACCACTCGAGCAGTGATGTCTCCAAGCTCAGAAAGTCCTGCTTCCATTTCTCCTCAACCTGCTTTCAAAGTGGGTCATACCAATCGGAAAACAGTGCAATCTGATAGTCCAGCCTCAGTCCAACAGAGCAAGAAAATTCGCAAGAAGACTTCAGATATTGAATCTCCTATGTCTGATTCTCCCGGCCGTTTCTTGAGATCTCAGGTTGAAACTCCCTCTCCTAGGACAAGGAGTGGTAAGTTTTAAATTAACTATAAATGTTTGTCTTGAATTTCCTTGTTGGGATGAGCTTTTGAGAAGGTTCAAATGAATTTCCTTGTTGGGATGAGTTCGTGAGAAGATTCAAAAACTATTTTATATTTTTATCTTGTAAATTTTATTATTATCTTAATATTCTGTTGTAAGCATGGCCTGAAACACATTCTGATTTCTGTTTTAAGTATGAATTATAGTTTCAAAAGACCTTTCTGATCACTATGTTTTATTATTTCATTTTCTTAACTACAATCTTATTCAAGCCACTCTGTCATATAAACACATTTCTTTGGATTAATTGATCCTATGTCACTGCACTGCTTCAAAACCTGTAAAAAAACAAAAAAAAAAAAAAAAAAAAAAAAAAAAAAAAAACAATAAAACAAGTGTGACAGCTAAACAGAAATGTTTTTGCTGTGAGTTTGACAGCCAATAAGAAATAAAGTGAATATTTACCGGGCAAACACCGCAAGGTGTTTGAACTATTCCAGGGGGAGGTAGAAGAGACTCAATAGCCCGGTACATATGATTGCCATCAGCTAGAACAGTACGCTCCGCTTTGCCATCATAAACCAGGGTATTCAAGATGGTTTCCATATCTTGAACTGACAGTTTGACCTATTCCAAAAAAGTTTGATTACCCCAAAGCTCATGATCCTTAATTTAACTTAGTAATCCTCATGAAAACTCATACCTTGCTAATACCAAGTTCTGATATGTATTTCCATACATCCGCAGAGGAGGCACTAGCCAAATTCTGAGCAGCAATTGGGCCATCTTTGCAATTTTTCACAGCCTCTTTTTTTTGACGGAGAAAGTGATAACAATATTGATTCAGAACATCAACAAACTCTGACTCAAAATCTTGATCATTGTACCATGCACCCCCAGTTACTGAACTATCAGGCTCTAACCCATAGAGCATGTAGACAACCTTCCTAGGAGCCTGTAAAATATGTTTGAGAAAGATGTTAGAATATAACTATCTTTAAACTACACCCTTAAGCCATTAAAAGTATACTTACATTTACACATTTTACAGTCTTAATTATTTTTTCATTAACAAGCTTCTTGAGGATCTTAGACAGTGTAGTTTGGACCAAACCAGATGCATTCCTCAAATCTTTAGCCCAGACTCCTTCGTTTCCAGCCTTCTCTATGATACTGTAAACTATTTTCTCTTCATTGTCGGCCCCTTTGATTTTTGAAGAGCCTCCAGGGTTCTTATATTTATAAACTAATTTCTCACCTTGATTGAACAATTCAAGACAACCCTGGAAGAAAAGAATTTAATGATCAAAATGTTAACTTGGAAAAATTTTATTTATTTGACTAAGCTGTAACCTTTTGTAAGAGACTGTTAATAATTTTTGCTCTTTCTTGAGGGTCAGGAACTTCATTTTGTATATCTTTATCAGAGATGCCTTTGGAATTTGACTGCAGCAAGGAAAGTATCCTTAAACAAAATCCACAATCAGTATTGGCCCAAAATTTTCAAGTCTGTTAAGAACATACATAGCAAACCAAATACCTTTGCTCACTTTCTGATGTACTTGCAGCATTGGCTGAGGGTGGGGGGCTGCTGTCTTTCCGAGGTGACACAGGTTCCTGTTTAACCCTTGTAGCCATTTCACCCAGTCGTTTGAAGAATTTAATTACGTATGAAACATGAAATCAAGTTGCTGTAGAAGTTAAAAGGATAAATTAGTGAGATATTGCAACAGAGACAGGGAATTCAACAGACCAAAACATTTGTCACAGTGGCGAACAGTTGTGGCAGCAGAAATAAATGCCATCATTTATCTCTGGTGCCTAGGAAGTTATACTATAGACATTTCGCAAGTGACTTATATAGTAAGCGTGCAAGAAAGGTTATATAAATGTACGGTTTTGTTTGGTTTTCTTCAACCACGAAATCTACAGTTCAGCAACCAAACTACTTGTCATATGATAAATAATTTCTCTTTCAATGTCTTAATTAAATCCAAACTCACCGGCTGAAACCGTTTTCAATAAGTCAGATTTCGCGTCTTTCTTTTCCAAACAAACATAAACACTGCGGCAAAAATGAGATTGCGGCCGATGAATTTGCCATATTTATGGCCGGGAATTTCTCATCAAGGCCTCCCCTTTCCCTCCGCACTCCCCTTCCCTCCCTCCCTTTCCCTTTGCGCGGTGCGGCGTTTTTGTTGAGTGTGAGTCAAGAAAAGGATTTCAAGAGGTGGCTTTCGTGGCCGGCAAGATGTGGACGTCGATTTTTGCGTTGCATTGAAGTTGTGGACAATTTACGTAGTATTCCAATCGACTGCCCGAAAGGCATTTATGTCAGACATGGCTGACGAGCCAAATAATGACGATCAGTGGCTGTATGGAGATTCCTTGGGCGATTCTCAGGATGCCAATAACGAAGCTTCTGAGGAGAAAAAGTTGGAGAAACTGACCTCAGGAGGGGACATAAACACATCCATGGTAATGTACCTCCTTGTAAACGGGCTCCAAGATAACTCTTGCTGGAGGGCTGCCTGTTGATGTGTTCCCGATTGTGAGGTTAATGTGTTGGGCCCTGTTACAATACTCATTTGTTTTCATTTAAGGACCAGCCCCTGAGAGAGGAAAATTCAACAGAGCCAGCAGCTGAATCAGAAAGCAACGCTGCCGAAGAACCTCGAGCTTCAGAGGATAATGGTGTGTAGTTATCTTAGAAACTAACGTGTTTATTCGATGCTCTTATTATTGAATTTTCTGAGAAGGCTACACTGCATTTATCTGAGCCTCAGCCTTCTGTCCTGAAATAATTGATGTTGAATTTAATGTCCCTTAATATCCCAATTTCTTCTGTCTGTAGATGATAAAAATGAGGGAGAGATTGATGATGATGATAATGATGACGATGATGACAGTGATGATGATGTCAATGTTGTCATTGGTGATATTAAAACAACCCCAGCCACTTACTCAACTCTCAATATTAAAAGAACTGGCCTCTTAACTTCATCTGGCGGAATTGACAAGTTGAAGGTACACTGCTTGAGCAAACTCTCAGCCGTATATCTTGTTTCCAGCATGCTATCTGAGCCATCAAATAATGTTGAATTTTTCATTTTCTTTTGTAATAGCAACCTGGGAAGTTCTCTATTGAGGAATTTGAACAGATTGGCACCATAAATGGCATGCCCACTCATGAATACAATCTTGATTCTCTGGAGGACAAGCCATGGCGTAAACCTGGTGCTGACATAACAGGTATGATGGTAGCTATTTCAGCCAAGTTCCCTTCTCTGCCAATTATTTACCTATTCCTTGTTACCTTTTCTCTTTTAAATTCTTCCAGATTACTTCAACTATGGGTTTAATGAAGAAACGTGGCGAGCATACTGTGAGCGGCAGAAGAGGATGCGTGTCCATGAATCTGGAGTTGGCTTGGGACCATTAGGTAGCACATCAATAGCTGCAGCCTCTGCCCCCGGCCCAAGACGGCTGTGAAATTCCTTTTTTCATTGTGAATGACAGTTCAAAGTTTAATGCTGCTCTTGGCATTCTTAAAGCAGGTCCCCCTCCTGGTCGCAAGATGGGAGGCAGCATTGATGTCATTGGAAGTGGAGGTGGCACCCTAGCTTCCCGTCGCAACACAGACAGAGACACTCCTCCCAAGGAAAACGTCATTCAGGTGAGATATTGTTGATGTGGTCTTTATGTTCCAAATATGAATTTATAGCATATGAATATTATATTATTTCTTTGACATTATTCACCATAATTGAATGTTCTATCATGACTTTTCAGGTGATGACTGCAGACCGCAGGGAATATAGTCGAAAGAATCCAGGATTCCCTGATATGTCTGTGCCACCTCCGTCAGGGTTGCCTCCAACCTTTGATGTACCTCCACCAATACCAGTAGCTGGGTAAGCTATGTTCATCTCCCTTTGTCTCATGATGAATTTACCATCTTATACCTAGGAATACTGGTGATGCTAATTTTTCCTCTGTCTCGCATTGAATTTGCATTCCTTTTCTCCCAACTACTTATTTGATATTGTTGATTTGTTGCTTTCAGCTATTGAGGAGCTTTTCAAATCTTGTTGACATTAGAATTTTTCAGGTCTTTTTTTTTCTCTCCTGATTTTAGTTATCTTTTAGAAATCAGCCCCTTAGAGATGAAAAAAAAAGTAACCTTTCATTAATTATTATTGAATTTTGTTTGTGATTATGTCATTTTGGGTTTCCAGTCCATTTCCTTCTCAGCCACGAATTCATCCTCCTGCACCGTATGGCCCAGACCAGTTTTACTCTCCTGACACTGATCCATATTACCAGTCCTATGAACCAACTCAAGAGCAGCAGTGGATGGGCCATGTGAGTTCTGAGCCCTGATTGTTCAGTTTGATACAATAGTTTACCTGTTTGTGTTTTCAAACAGCTTTTTTCTTTAGTAGTATTGTTATTAGTATGGAAAAAGGGGGATGCTATCTATTTAACATTTTTCAAAATTATTTAAGGTATCAGTTGTGTTTGCTTTATCATCCTAATTGTAATTTTGTTTCTGTAGCAGGATCCATTTGGACCTAGAGATGAAGCTCTTTCTGGTATACCTGGGCCCACAAGCTCCAGTTTAAAATCAAAGGATGACAAAGATAGTCCGAAGTCGAGTAGGGATAGAGATAGAGATCGATCGGAGAGGGACAAAGAGAAACACAGGTATGAGTTATTTTAATTCAGTTTACAAAGTTAACTGAGTAGCTATCCATACTGAATAAAATTTTGATTGCTTTTCATAACTGTCTTAGATCTCACCGCCATCGTTCGAGAAGCCGAAGTCCATCTGAAAGAAAAAGGAGGCATAAAAGTAGAAGCAGGAGTCCAAGTCATCGTAGTCATCGCAAAAAGAAGTCCAAGAAGTCTGACAAATCCAAAGAGGAAGATAGTGACTGATCTCTTTTGTTTTTTTGTCGTTTATAAATATCTGTGACATTTCCATTCTCTCCGTCTCCAAATAAATTCTGGAAATTCCATTACAAACAAGTTTTGTTGTCCTGTCCATACTTTCCTTTTCCTCTGTCCCGAAAAAGAATATATTAAACTCAATTAATTGGCGATCGAACACTAACAAAGTAACTGCTTCTTTCCGCGCAGTTTTTCACATTTCTTGTACACAATTTCTCATACTGATGAGGTTGGCGTTGTTTTAGGCGCCAAACCGGTCTAACAACAAATCATAGCAGACAAGACAACAGTTTGTTTTTCTGCGGTGAATTACACGGATGTCTCCATCGATCTCATCGTTTCATCATGGATCGTAACAGTGACACGTCCATGCTGTCTGATGAACTCAAACCCAGGCGAACTCCTGTGCCACCATCATTCGGAGTAAGAATATTCTGGCCCTTTACGTTGATAACCTAACTTGACTCAGTATTTTAGGTCTCTTGAAATCGTGTGAATCTGTTCTTTTAAGCCCCGTAACATTACCGTGTTCTGGGTTGCAGGAAACTGTACCCCGCCCTTCAGTTCCAGATCTTTCTATCATAGAGACACCTTCAGGTGGTGCCCCAAGTCAGATCACAACCTCTGTGGGTCATGTACAATCTGCCCTCAGTCACCTTTCTTACAATGACTGGCGTCAGAAAACAGGAGCCAGTGCCATAAACGGCATCAACCTTGGTCGCCGCAGCACTGAAGCATTTCTACCTACAGCTGTCCCTCCTATTCAGAAATCTCCCAGCAATTATGTCCCTGTCAGCACGGGTGGCAACCTTCATAATCAGGAAAATTTGGACTTTAGGAGGGATAGAGTTGAGGAGCGCGCATGGAGCAGGCCCATTCAGTCTGCAGGAAAAACTGTCTCTTACAACGATTTTAAAACTAGACCCACTAGTGCACCTGCTCCAAGAACATTGCCTGTTGATAACGGAGTTGGACGGGATCATCCCCTTGCAAAGAGTGCACCACCAAACAGATCATCTGGGCATGTTCAGAGCCCCGATACGCAAAGAAATTTCTCTCCATCCTCAGATCTTAACCACTATACTCATCAAGTGCAGCCTATGTCTGCCCCTGCATTACAGCCCAATGGGCACGGCTCACTGTCCAATCAACTTGATGAATTGAGCTTGGTGCCAACCACCAATCTCAATTTGCAGCAGACTGAAGCAAGGAGCCTGGTGAGCAATCCCACCACTCACAGGCAACAATATCGTCACAGTGGCAATGGACGTACTTTCAAGAACCAAATGTTAAATCAAGACCACATTGCCTTGAACTTGCAGCAGGCTGAAGAAAGGAGATTGACGGACAAGCCCACTAGTCTCAGGCAACAATACGGCCCCAGTGGCAATGAACATACTTTTAAGAACCAAATGTTGAATCATGGCCACATTGCTTGCAATGAGATTCCTTCTCATCATGCTGTGCCTATGGGGAGAGAAAACATGTGCATGTACCCTGCTTATTGCCATGCTGGGAAACCTCCCAGCCCATGGTCCTGTGCCGAGCATCATTGCCATCCTCCTGTGGCTATGTCTGCAACGGCACCACACCCTGTTAGCCACATGCATTCTATGCCGGACAGCACTCTTCAGCCTCATCCTCCACATTCTCATGTGTCTTTTGATGACCTCTACAAAATAGTTTTGGCTCAGAATGACCAGCTAAAGGCACTCCAATCTCAAGTGGAGCGGCTTCTCCTGACACAAGATCACAAACCAGCAATAGATGCATGCTGCAAATCCAAAGAGGTTGAAAAGCTCCCTGTAGCCATTTGCAAGTCTGATGGTAAAGTGGCTGTAGAAGAAGCAACTCAGACATCTGATAGTGAGGAACAACAAGAGGATTGTCAAAAGATGTCGATTGGTGTGATGACCAGCTTCATTCATGCTGTAACATACAGAGGCAGAGTTGGGCGCCTTGATGCAGTGCACAATGTTTCTGAGCATGAGAGTGCATCTTCCAATGGAAACCTCTCAAAACAAAATAAATCTTCAAGTGACGATTGTAGCTCTTCTTCCGTGAGCCCCACTGCTACATTACCTCAGAAAAATTCAGGCTGCTCAAATTGTTGCAAAGATTGTACTTCACAGGATAGACAAAATGAAAAGTCAAAGAAGCATATTAGCAAGAATGGAAAGTATAAACAAATTCCTATTGAAACTCCCAAAGCAGTAACCAACAGGTGTGCATATATTTGTGTGAGAAAACATGTTACCTTTTTATCCATTTAATCTTCATTATATCTTTTGTTTTGTTTTTTTCACAGTAAAGCAGCTTGCCCCGAGGGTTGTATTTGCAACAACAATCCAGGAGTTTCAGCGGCTATTACTGCTGTTCGAGGATGTCAGGCAGTGTTGGCAAGTAGGGCTGGGATGACAGCGTATGAGTACTCAACCTTTAATGGTGCTGATCTTCCAACTGTCACAGAACAACCAGTCTCTCCTATGTCTTCAATTCATGTGGATTTACATGATTATGGAAGTTCATCTTCTGATGAGTAAGTTCATAACTTGTATTTATTTTAATAAAAATTTCTATGAAAAATGAAATGCATAACTTCCATTTTTTTCATGACTGAGTTTAGGTCAGGGTCTTCAGAGAGTGATGAGAATGGAAGTTCGAATGGGGATGAGATGAGCCCAACAAAGGAGGAGGGGTCTGAACCCAAGCCAAATGGCTGGACATTTTACAATAATGTTCTTGTAAGTCTCATTTTAAACCATCATGTATGAATGTGAGTTTCCTTTTAGCTGATTCACTGTCTTTGTCATCCAGGGACAGGTCAACAGAATACTAGAAGAGAGAGATTCAGGAGAGCAAACATTTGACCCTCATCATTCAAAAGTGATGCAGCATCACAAATCAACTGATGTCAGTGTTTCGAAAAGGTAAGCAACCATAATTGAAGATAGATAGGCTATGCTACTATCATTATTATCATCAAATGCGTCTTGAGTGTGAGTGTCTAAAATATTTCATTACAGAGTGGCATTTGAAGCTAATGATGTAAAAGAAACCCCCAAGCATTTAAAGGAGATGGCTTTGAAATATTTGAGAGAGAACCACCCTGAAGAACTTGCATCCAATATTTCTTCCAAAAGTAATAATAATGAATTTTTCTGGAAGTGCTTTATTGTAGACATTAATTCTTAGTTTTTCATGTATCCCTAACATTTTCATTGCTTACTTCCACTAGGAGGAAAACAACCCCACAGTGCGAAATTACAAGAAATGGCAGTTTATAACATGCCCGCATCCAATATGTCTTTTGCCACATTTCGATACCTAGAACGCTATAATCTTCTACCCGAAAATTTCAACCCACAACAATATTTAGGTAAAATCTGCTTATTTACTGTGATTTAGGTATAAATATTATTACTGTGTAAACTTGTGATGTTGCTTCATTGTGTCCAAAATTTTACAGAGGCTACAACCAGTGTGCCTGGATGTTATCAAAAATCTCAAGAGCCTCACCACAATCCTATGCCAAGTCGAGGAAGTAGGAAGATGACAAAAGTATCGTCAGGAAAGACGAAGATGAAGTCCACTTTTCCCCAAACTTCATCTGAAGATGTTCATTATCAACTTCATCATATGGGTAATCGACAGCCTAATCCAGTTCACCTTCACCGTCCATCCCCAGGGAATCAACCTCAGTTCAATACACCCACTGGCAAGATCCTAGATATTACTACTTTACGGCAACAACCTAAATTGTTGTGAATTTCAATCTTGCAGTTTTATTTACAGTCAATTAATTTTTCAGTTTGTACATTTTTTAATTTATGTGATTCTTTCTAAAACTTTTTTTACCTGTTAGAAATGTATAATTAATTAGTGCTTATTTTTGATACAATAATTTTATTGACCTATTATCTATTGTTTGAGCTCTTTTCAAGTCTGTTTTGTAATTTTACATGCACCAATTGGAAAGGATTGAATAAACTCACAACAAAGTGCATAAGTTTTTCAAAAATATAGAATATATTTATGACTAGATGGCTGAACAATGGTAAAGAACCTGATACAATTATAGAGTTTACATAGTTTTCTCACTCATAGATGCTTCAAAAAATTTGTAGCAATGTGCAAACAGTGATTTGAATGTCAGTTATAGCATCTTTAGATGTATGAATATCCTTTCAAGAGAAGTGTCATGTCACTCTTATGTCTGTTGAATTAAATCGAAAAGCTCTCACCACAGCCACAAGTACCTTTGATGTTAGGATTGTTAAAAACAAATTCACTAGACAGCTGTGTTTCTACATAATCCATTTCAGTACCAAGGAGGGTCAGTTGGGCTTTCTTGTCTATGAAAATTTTAATGCCTAGAAATTTGTAAAAAATGAGTTAGGCCTGAAAAGTTTTAATAAATCTTATAGAAAAGGGAAAGAAGAACTTACCGTCTTGTACTACTTCCTCATCAAGTTTGTCTTTACCCGTGGCATAGTCTAGAGTGTAACTAAGGCCATTACATCCTCGTTGTCTGACGCCAACCTTGAGGCCCACCTAAGACAAAATATAAAGCTTGTGAGTTGTTATGGTGGTAAATGTAGAAACATCTTAACATAATGACCCAAGTACAAGCCCCAATTATTTTTTACTATTAAAAAATTGAGCTCAAATAGAGATTTCTTTCCACATAAGGGTCCTTATATTATGGAGAGGCTTATATTCAGGCCATTGCAATATAATTTGTAACACTGAAAGGCAACTAGTTCGAGTTCCATAAAAGATATACTTACAAATTCAGGTTTACCTTCTAGAATGGATTTCACCTTGGATATAGCACTAGGAGTCTAGAACATAAAAAAATCCAAGCACAAAAGTTGAAATTGAAGTTAAAACAATATTAAGATATGAGGTATGATCTTTGCGCGCAAGTTAACGTGTAGGTTAAGAAATGCTTTGTATCGTTGAGTAGAGAGGACACAGAGAGAAATCAAACAAAACAGTTCATTTGAAAATTATTTTCCATTGATGACATAATTTACTTACCAGAACTAATGCAGCTCGTGTTGGTAAAAGTTTCCTTCCTTTGACAGCTCTTACTGTGGCTGCTGCAGCTATTCGACTTGCCATAATTATTGAAATGAAATTGAATACTGCTTACAAAAGCTTCAGTAAAGTAGGAAAGTGATCGGGAACGGAGAAAAGAGTGTTGACATCAACTAAAATGTATTTAATTTCACAGAAATCCTTGCACTTTTGAGAAGATACCTCCCTATCCCTTGTTGTTTTCTTCCACTAGCAGACGAAACAGACGCCGCTAGTAAAACTAAGGGTTGGAAAAAATCTAGAAAAGAGGCGAAAAAGAAAGTGATCAGCTCAAAAGTAATTCCAAATTTTAGAATTAAATTTTCAACACATTAAAAGAACGAAATTTAGCGTTCTTTTGTTATTTCATAAGATTTTGAAACAGCCTCTGGTCTCTTTTGGTCAGATTGTAAAAATGAGTAGAGAAGCAACCAGCCGCTCACCCTTTCGAGTCCGTTCGAATGCTTGGAAGTTTGATTCTAAATCGTTTCTTTTCTTTATTTCAACTTAAAAGAACCCTAGTGTGCGCATATTTTACGGTCAAAGAATACGTCGTAGAAACCAGGAACACACCCGGTTTGCATACGTGACGTCAGCCTCGGTTACTCTCGGATCCCGTCGCGAACTTTTATTATGCTCCCAGAATTCCTCAACAGTACATGTCCGCCATAAGTGCTGGTGGCTGTACGCTGGTTGAGGAGCTCGTCATTCCGAGACCCAGTGCGGCCTCATGCAGCACTCCCCTACGGAGATTAAGGAAAAGTTATTGAAGGCACTCGACAGTAATTACAATGTAAGGGTTGAATAAGATTTTTATGTCCTGCCGACTTCGAAATGCGTCCAAATCGGGAGCGTTGAAATACACAGCGAAAGTGGCATGCCCACCTCATACTGGGCTCAAGTTTTCGGATTATTTACTGACTAAGTAAACACCGGGAATACTGCGTAACCCTCTTACCACGTTCAGGGGAGTGTACCGAACCCGTGTGAAGCGAGATTTGGTTAAAAATCCGTGTTGGTACTTTGGAATTTGTGAGTGAAAACTGGGTAACGGAGCTCTTGGGACTCAGCTTGCCCCCTGTCCCACCTCTTGGCTCTGATACGCGGCACTGCGCCTGCGCACTGGCCTTTGGAATTGTATCCGGTCTTGGTACAGCCTTGCGTCATAAAGTTTCCGGCTGGGCTACATAACCTAGATTCATACAATGCTGCCCATATTTTGGGCTTCTTTGGGGGCAAATTATATACTTACGCCTCTCATTGGTTTTATTGCACTCGAATAAAAATTCCTCTCCTCGTACCATTCATTCAAACTCCCATTCAATTGTCTGAAAGGAAGCCAATAGGGTTAGGATACATTTGTGTCAGACTTTCTCCTCTCGCTGTCAGAATTTTCTTTTTCTTTGTAATTTTGGAAGTGGTAGCAATTCTGTTTGCCATTTATTTTCTCTCTCCATCATGATGGTGCGTTCGGTTATCCGCTGTCGATCATTTTGATGTACTCCATCCAATAGCTATACTTTTTCTAAATTACACGACATGTTTTAAGCTTTTAACATTTTTATTCTAAGTTAACAAATATTTCTGCCGCTGTTTCAATGTTTAAAGCAGCCAAGATTTTAAAAAAATTGCTTTGGCTGTTTCTCTAATCTTTTGCTGCCTTCATTTCTCAGGTTGTGGACATGGCAGCAGTTGTCGAGGTCATCTCCATCCTGGAAAGGACTCCTATTACAAAAGATGCACTGGAGGTTTGTTGAGTTGTGAATTTCAAGTGTGGTTTTTAGAGTCTTGAAGTGTCTCTATCTATCCATTGTTTTTGCAGTCAACAAGACTCGGCAAATTTATCAATGAACTTCGCCGGAAGACCAAGAATGAAAACTTGGCAAAGAGAGCAAAGGATCTGGTACGCCGTTGGCGTGACATGATTGTACCTAAATCGGAAACAGTACCCCAGGCTGCTGCTCCCGCAGGCCAGCAGTTCAATGGGGCTAGTGTTCACAGTACAGGTCCTGCAAGTACTGTGGCTAACAGAGTCATGTCATCAAGTGGTCATCTGAGTCCAGGTCTTCCTTTGAGAGGGAACATCAGTCCTGGTTTGCCTGCTCATGGTAGACACCTGATCCGAAGTGCTACTGTGTCTCCGGCCATGTCCCTACCCTCCAGTGATCGAAGCAATACCAGTCCCAGACCAACTTCCCGCTCATCAACTCCAAGACCGTTCGACCAAATTTCTACAAAGCCATCTGTCAGTGCGTCAGTTGTAGATCCTGTGCCCAAGACTCATGCCTCAAATAAGAGATTACGGAAAGACAACTCTCCGGTTGATGATAAACCCTCCAAGAAAGTCAAGAGACCTAATGGATTATCAACTGAACCATCTTCTCATGGCATTGCTAATTCTCTAGGGAGAACAGACATTTTATCCAGCAGGGATGGTAGTAGAGATAGTTTCAGTCCTCATAGTGATCATGGATCAAATTCTTGTGAAGTGATAAAAACAGTTGTGCCTTCTGAGCCCATTGTACAAGACTCATCAGAACCCAAGAAAAGAGGGAGAAAAAAGGGTTCGAAGAACAAATCCAAAGGATTGGATTCAGTTTCAGAAATAGGAAGAGAAGATATTGTAAAATCAAAGATGTCATCCATAGGAAGAACACACAGGGTCAAAACTACACAAGAGCTTTTGGCAGATTTACAGGCTCGAAACACAGGAGTGCCTACTGACAATGTGATACCTCCTGTGGCAGATAATAAAGCTAGTCTCACAAATTGTCTTCTTCCTGGTGTAAGAGGTGGTGACAGAGAAAGAGACTTGGAAATGTCTCGGAATAAAACTGAGCATATTGCCAAGTTCCTTCGCTCACAGTCAGATCTTGAGCTTTCTAATCAAGAATTTCCTATCAATAGAGAAATACAAGAAGATATTAAAGACACCCAAGTGTTGTGTCATGATGAACCTGATCCAAGTGATGATGTTTCGATACCCTCTAGACTTTCCAAAGATGTGAAGTCACCAGCTGGTAGTAATTCAAGAGAAGCCCCTTCTGCTGAGAGACCAATTTCTGTTCAAGAATTACAGACAGATAGTCGACAATCGCCTGCACCTCAACCAGTTGGAGGTGATAGAACAGTTGAAGAGATTTTATTAAGGTTACCACCAATTGATGCAGAATCCATTGAATGGGAAGGTTCTGAGAGTCCTCCTAATTCTCCTCCAATCAAGACTGTGACTGAAGATGATGTGTGTAGATTGCATAGTGAACACATAAATGGTGTAAATGGAATAGTGAACCATAGTAGTCAAGAAATTAAAAATGGCGATATTGACTTTAGAGAATGGCATGAAACGGTTTCAAGAACTTCATATCAGGGTGAAATGTTGCATATACTGCCCTATGTGGTTATTGATTAAACGTTGTGTCTTCTAACAGCATGCAAGAGTTGAGTACCCACTTAGATTCTCTTCCATTTGGTTTTTCTTTTATATTGTTAGAAGAGAGTTATTTTTGTTGAATTTAGGAGCACTTCTGCCATGGTTTCGAAGTGAAATGCAGGTCATTAGTCTTGGATGTCACCTTGAAATCTGAACTTTTTTTCCTGTAATTTTGGTCTGAAAAATTAATTCCATGGGAAATGAAGACATTGTCATTGTATTACTTAAGAATATTGCCAGTATTGAGACAGCTAGCTGCTATGATGATAATGGTTGGATGCAGTGGTTGTTTTGTTGGTTTGAATGTGCCTTCTTTATTTCATCCTGTTTTGCACTTGAGTTAGTTTAATCACACTGGAGGACATTAGATTAATCTCAACTTGTATTGATTTTGTTTTGCATAATTTTTTGTTATTAGAACAACTAGGGAAGCATTAGTTTCAGAACCATTTGGGGAGAATTGTTCTAGAGTGTCCTGTCATTGAGCTACTGCCCATACTAATTTGTAGTAGAACAGTGCGCAGGCTGTAAAAGTGGTGTTAAGGGTGTTTTTGTGATGATTGATGGCTTTGAAGTTCCAATTAGCGAGAAAAACTCTGCCTACTCAACAAGGTTCTTGCCTGTTTTGTCTGCAAACTGCTGAGTAGGGGAGCTTTTCTCAAGTCTCGGCCAGGCATAATAATGGAAGTAAATGAATGACATTATTAAAACAGGTGTTAGGTTTTTGTGAAGCAAATTCATATCCTTAAAATATAACTATCCTTTATTTTCATTTAGTCAGTTGAATGAAGTGATGATGAGTTTTATGCCGGCTGGCCGGTAGCTTTCTTGTCTCCCATTTCCATGTTTCACGTGCTTACCCTACTTCCAGCATATTTCATGGCTACTGTCTCGAATCATGGCTGGCAGCTCAATTCTTCATTTTGTCTTGTCACTAAATTGTAAGAAAATTGAGGGGTTTCTATTTCTGAGTCTGGTGTGAGTTGTCCTCCTAAACTCTCCCTATTTTTGTTTTTTTTCTTTTTTGTTGTTTTTTGTGTTAAAGTTTTAGGTCTAGCCCCCCAGATCAAACTTTTCTCTTGTGCCTTTAACATCTTGTGAAAATAGGAAAAGAACATCATCCAGATAGCTGGAGATGAGAACTTTTTATCAATCTGTGATATTTCAACTGATTTGTCTCGTATTAAGCCACAAGCTTATTTCTCTCTGCTACATCTTTAAGTTGATGTACAAGACCAAACCCAACTGAAAGGCATTGAGCTGTTCAGCCTTTGAGTTGCATTGCCTGTGGCAAATGTGCCATTGCATATGGTTAGTGTATATTGGGAATCATTATTTGTTTAACTTTCACATTGTCATTTATAAATGCATGGTACTTCACTTTATCCTGTCTTGATGAACCAGTTCTTGCATTCTTTGTTAAATTAACTCAACCCTGCTTTAGATGGCAGCCTTTTGTATTTTGTTGAATTCGTGTTGTTACTACATGTAGCTTTATTCTTGTCAAATTGGAATGATAATTTTATACTCTTTGATGTTGTATATGTCTTTCTATTTTATTATCCTGAACCCAATTGGCTTTTCACAGATATCAGCAGCATTTTTCTGAAAGTGTAACTGCTTAACTGGTGGCACTGCATCAATACAGAGAGTAATAGCTTCAACAATAATTCCAGCTTACATAAAGTGATCATTATGTTTGTGCTGATCTTTGTTCATTCATTGATAAAGTGGATGTATTTTTCTGCCAAGTAATTTTATCTGTTTGTATGGTCTTTGGTCATTTTTTGGTTTTGTAAATCCAAGTCTATGGGGTAAAAATTGTCATTTTTAAGTTGAGCATTTCTCAGTAACTTCCTTTAATTCATGGCATCCATCCAAAATATTAAATTTGTTACTGAGTTGGATCATTTGTTTAAGAATTGGTGGACTACTTCAAATTTGTTATTGCGGTTTTTATTAACCTCTGAAGACTACCAGCACTATTATGGTGTGATATATCACTTAACCAAATTCTTATCAAATCGCAATTTGATAGGTATGTGTATTTTCATGGCATTCTAAATGCATAATACATCAAAAAATTATAAAATAACCTGAAATAATAAAGTAAAATGGTTCTGTTAACTTTGTAAAAGATCACAGTTGTAAAAAAAATACAAAAAAAAACTTGATTGACATGACTGGTTCATACTATTTTGTAGCATTTAGTCTTTATAAAGACAATACATAAAATTAGACTGAGGAATGTTGGTTCCACTACAAGTTGACAGTGCTACAGAATGGTTCAGTGTTATAGCACGAGAACAACATCTTGCATCTTGTACACAAAGTACATTTTGAGAAAATTTTCCATGCGGTTCTTAATTTTTTTACAAATTGTCTTTCTGAAAGCTGTAAGCTTATCCTATGTGAAATTTAATGTTTTTTAGTTTAGTGAATGGTGCTGGTGCAAACTTGTTCTTTGTCTAATTTCATGCAAGCCCTTACAACAGTTCTAAGGGATTGTGTGTGTATTTAAAAACAAGAATGAAGCTGTGATAATATTCATAGTTGAATGACTGGAGTGATTTTCCTTTTCCTCTTAAACCTTAAAATTACCAGCCTGTCAGATGAATGATCAATATGTATAGAAAGGACATGAAACACTCTGTGAGTGAAAAGTTTTTACAAAGAGAAAGAAAAAGTGAAAATAAATATGAAAATTTATTTGAGTTTTTTTACTATGCAATTGTTTATTATTAACATAGGACCTTGTTGTTCCTTGACACTGCCCTGAATGGGCCAATGATGTATCACAGTCATATGCTACCAGCACAGATGTGTATATTAACTTTTTATTACTAAGGGACATTGGAAGATTGTAGTTTCGAATAATGTTTTGCAAAAGTTTGAGCCACCAAAAGAGGAAACACCAGAGATGCTTCTGCATAAACCTGTAATGAACAACTCACAAATTTAGTTCAAGAAGGAACAAGATTAGAAACTCATTAAGTAATAAGGGCATAAATCTTTACCTTAACAGGCTTTGCATCTTTGCGAATTTTCCCCCAAGAAATAGCCTCATCGGGTCTAGCACCACTGTCACTCCCATCAAACTCAGAGGCAGTATTTATGAAAACTGAGAAGTCTGCTCCATTTCTCTGCAAAATAGTAGACAGTAAGAATTGGCTAATATCAAAAACATTGTACAATGTATGCTTTTAAAAATAACCTTACCATAAGGTTGGCATTGCAGATATGATGCTTCACAACCCCGCCACCAATAATTATCATACCAGAGTGATTTGCCTTTACTGCCATGGAATTTAATCGTTTTAAATCTGCAATGGGTGACAATTTAAATGATAAAGACCTTGTGACACTACCAGATCCAAAAACTGGAGACAAATTATTAAACATAAACTTGTACCCACCACTTACAATGTCCACAACAAGGCCAGGATTTTTATATGAATGGAAAAACATCATGTCCCCCAAACTTCCATCAGTTAGGGCAGGGCTAAATACAGGAATATGATTTTTGGCAGCCCAGTAATAAATAGAATCTGTGTTGTTTATTTCTTCTCCTAGACGGGCTATGACTTTTGAAGGTGTCCAAAGAGTGCCCTAGGATGATGGAAAAATTTATGTTGATGAACATCTTTTCAAAATTGAACACCTACCAAACTATACACCAATACCTTCTCTTTCTGTTCTTGTAACATAGAATCAAGAATAGGCATCACCCAGTCCTCAAATTTGCAGTAGTTGTCATTTGGGACTAAAAGGTTCCCTATACGGTTGATTCCTTTTTCTCGTAAGGTACGCCCGTCAAGATTAAAATCTCCTATGTAAGTTGGAGCAAGACACTTTATAAGGTCTTCTTCAACACCACCTGCTGTTGTAACAATTGCATCAATCTGGACATACAGAAAAGATGCAATAGGCCAGTGAAAATGCTTAATGTTGGAATAAAGACAGATCGAAAATATGCTAAAAAAAAGAAGCAAACGTCTCAAAAAGTCACCATTTTGTTTTGAACAAGATATCTTAGTGTATCTCGGACACCGCAAGAGACCATGTTTGATGTGTACCCTAAAAATATTGTGCAGTTGCTTCGTCTTTTAATAAAGACATCTTCTTCAAAGGCATCCTTTTTATCCTCTGCCAGGGGAATCTCTCTCAGAGATATCTGGAAGTAATTCAGTGGGGGCAAATGAGCACGATTATTGACTAAATTGTCATTACGTCAAATAAACACCTATGTCTTCATCACAGAAGCATACCATTTTATTAATTTCTTCTACCGCTAGTCCAAAGTGAGTTGATTGAAATCCTGAGTATAGATATGTTCGAAGCAATTCATCATAATCTACTCCATTATTGAAATCATACCCTGACGAACAAAAAATGCAACATGAGGCATTCGCTGATCCGTTATGACTAATATGGCAACACTACAAGCAAATACCTTTCACACAAGCTGTAAAGTCTGTACAGTTTGTGGTTTTAACCAGAACAGCATCTTTCACAGTTTCTGGGATTTCAGCCGATTTACTTGAACTTGTGGATGCCATACCTGAGGTTTCAATTAACTAAACGCACGGTACAAATACAACTAATAAAATGACTATTCAGAGAAAATTCGCAATTATTTTCATTTGTTAAAAGAGTAAAACCATGGGATTCCTAACCTCACGTTTGGCGTGCGTGTGCGCTGTACTGTAAACAGCTGTCTGCTGGGGCTGGTTGGGGCCGAGCCGAGGGCCGAGCCGAGGGCCGACCGAACCAGGACTGGACCGAACCGAGCAACTGAGCCGCCGTCACTCGTGCTCGCCAGTTTTCTGAGATTATGGAAGGCATGCAAATAAAATAAACAGCTCACGATTCTCTCCTTAATAGCAGCACTGCTTGCGCTCTTGAAGATGCCAGCGGCAGTTTGGGAAGGGATGGGATGGGATGGCGCCAGCGAAGCCGGCAAGGCAAAGCGCCAAAGCACCTCGACTTCGCGGGCGCTGAGGCGAAGTGGCTTTGCTTGCTTTGCTTGCTTTGCTTGCTTTGCTTGCTTTGCTTGCTTTGCTTGCTTTGCTTGCTTTGCTTGCTTTGCTTGCTGGGCGCGCATGGCCCTACAGTGATGTTCGAAGTCGCTCTGCTGCTGGAATGAGTCGTCCGCGAATCCCCGATGCTGTACGTAATGTACCCCTGAACTGCGCCTCGAGTTATTTTTATTCGTGTGCGGCCCCGAACCCTTCGGGGAAACGAAGAGGACTTGTCGTCTGTCTCGACCCAACCTTCGGCCCAAGGGGAAAGGTGACGCAGCATGTGTTTGTGAGAGCGTGTAAGGGGGGGGGGGGGGGGGGGCTATCGCCGGTCGCGGCTGTGGCGCCTGCGGCTGCGGGGCGGGACTGCAAAATGCGCCTGCTCTGGTGCGCTCTGGCCCTGGCGGCGGCGGCGACGGTGATCGCCGCTCCGGACAACGTGATCGCGAACAAGGCCGACGAATACGTCAACAGCACCGTGACAGCCAGGGGTGAGGAAGGCCTCCCGGAGGATGGCACGCACGGCGACGCACGTTGGACGTCGGCCGGCGTAATCTCTGGTCCCTTTACAGACTTCTCCTGCCGCGCCAAGTGCCCGCTGGTCGTCCAGTGCCTGTGCCGGAACTGCGTCAAGGGGGCCTGCGTGTTCGACACGCCTGACTGCACCAGGTGGTGCTCGTGCGAGTGCGAGAACGAGAAGAAGTTCAGTGGCGGCATCTGAAGCCTGCGGCCTGCGGTGCGGGGTTGGTGTGTGCATTGTGATTTCCCTGGAAGTGGTGCGAGAGCGGCAACCCGTCTCCCACTCCATCATGCTCCTCCCACCGCAAATCAAACCAAGCGTGATACATACATATAAAAATTCTTTATTTGCTTAAAATTGATGTTTAGTCTGTTGAAGTCTACAGTAGGCTCTGTTACGTCTGATTATCTACCAGATCTGACTTAACATTACACTCAGTAAGAAGATAACTACTTCCACACCCAAACGTTGTATCGATGAAGCTACACTGAAGCCTTTACATGGAGCGACTTAATCTACATACGGTTGCGCACACGATAGAAGCTGATATGACAGAGTGACCAATGTACTACTTGGCCAAAGAAAAGCAGAAGGCACAGAAACTGGATAATTCATTATTTCAGACAATTTTATGAGGGGCAAAAAATTTACAGACAGGCTACATTCCTTCACTTTGGCACAGAAACACGTGTAAATGACAAGTACAAAAATCACCTACTGATAACATAGATTACAGAGGTGTTAGTGTATATTTTCAATGTCCTCCTCTCTCTCATTTGACTGATATTTTTACACTGCTTAAGGTTACACAAGCAAAACATTCCATTCAGACTCCAATAGAACAATGCCGGTGCTTGCAAAGGGATTCCACTATAATATAATGTAACAGCCCTTTCAGTTCAGGCTCCAAAAGGTGTAACAGAATCTGGCACTAAACACATTCATAACATCTATGTACACATATTTTAATCCTAATTTACATTTCAAATTGTAAAATAATATGCACACATAATCAGGTAACATACAAATAAATGCAATGAATAATTTAAATGTGAACAATAATACAAGGAGTGTGGCGCGGCTCAGTGGATTTTCTTTTAGGGTGGCCGAGGGCGGCCCGCCCCACCCACCGCCTTGCCGCCTTGCCGCTCTGCAGCGACACGTTCGGCATTCTGCAGGCACTACCGCCTAATCACGTCTGGGTTCACATTCGCATTGAAGGCTGGAAGAGTTGGCAGTGAATTTGAATACTCTTCGCCCGCGATGCGAACAGATGCGACATAGTAAGCAGACATGTACAAGCAAACGCGCAAAGTCACTGGTCCAAATTAAAAAAATCTGTAAATAGAGTCTATTAAAGCTTGATACAAATATCTTCAGTCTCAGAGTTGTGGATGCGCGGCGACAGGGCGAGGTCGCTCCGCTCGCTCCGCTTCGACAAGTTGCTCTCGTTCAGCTCCTCGGCTCTCGCCTCTCGGGAGCCCCAGCGGCTGCTGCCGCCTTCGGACATGTCGGAGATGATGCCGCTCTCTGCGGGAAAACAAAAACAAGGGCGGAATCACGGCGACGTTCTATCAAACGTCCTCCTGACAAAGGAGCGCCAGCAGACAGTGTTTTCTCGCTGCGTCTCTCTCGCACCCATAAGGCCAATGAAGGCGCGAGAGAGACAGAGCGACTCTGCTAGGCACCCGAGTAGCCGGCACGTTGACACGTACCCGCCGAGCAGAGCGACGTGTCGCCGGGGCGCGACCTGGACGAGTTGGAGGAGGACGAGGCGTTGGATGACGAGGACGACGAGGACGTCGACGAGGACGCCCCGCTGCTGCTGCCCACCGAGATGACGGAGTGCGGGCGCCTGGCGCTGGTGCGGTCGCCCTCCGCGGGGGGCACGGAGGGGGAGCCCCGCAGCCGCGGCCCTGCAAACGAACCCCGCGGCACATGAGCGGGGGACGACCGGAACCGCGGCAGGGGCGGGCACGCGGGGCGGCGCCGGGAACACCCGGCAGCGCGGACCCGCGGCTCGCTCCCCGCTCGGCGCTTTCCGAAAACACAAAAGTAACGTGGACTGCGTGACACTGTGACACAGCTCTTCGGGCCGGAGCCGGGGGGCCTACACGGCGGATCGCGGAGGCGCTACTTTGGGAGCTGAAACTCATCGACAATAACACAGGTGAGTGGACGGGCGACCGAATGCTCGCTCTGGCCCGGCGGGTCGAAGTAGTTTTCACCTACGAGATTCGCAAAGCGACCACGATTCACGAAGGCGTAAAAGCAGCACACAGACACATGCACCATCGGACTCGAGCGATGCATTACCTTTACTCAGCTGAGCTATGCTGACCGAGCGATCACTTATCTGATCCGCCGAGGGACGGATGTCGAGGCACGGTTTGTTGCCAATGCCCATTGAAGACATTTCTGCTAGGCGCACCTCTGAAACGGGAAAGGCAATTAAAGTTTCACATTTTATTTTGTCATTTTGACGGGATATTTAGGAAGAACCTGTGGAGAAATTGACAACAGGGCAACCCTTTCCTCCGCAAAACTAGTTCAGCCACAAAATTCTGGCAAAACAGGAGAAATAGCATAAAAAATTAAGTTTTTATTTTTTGGTGAAGAAATACCTCTGTTTTTGAGTGCCTGTTTCCAGAGCAACTGAGAGATGTCCTCAGTCCATGCCTGCTTCACGTCCTGGGTGGCAGCCTGCAGCGTGAAGATGTCGTGCGGCTTTCTCTTTCTGAACCAGATTTCGAACCGCGTCGAGGTGTCGCCCAAACGGGCCGTGAGCCCGATGTCCGTCATCTTGATGCTGTGCTTGTAGATGTACAGGTCTAGGTTCTGCGCGGCGCACACGAAAATATTTAAACATATGCGTCAAGAATAACTAAAGTCGGGTATAACTTTAAATCTAAATGAACCCAACTTACCTTACGGTCGGGGAAACGCCGCGCCTTGCTGAACAGAATGAGTTCCTCGAACAAGAACACGTGCCTCAGGCACTTCTTGCCCTTCCCCTGCCACACTAGGAACTCGTTCTGGCGGAGGAGGCGACCTTGCTCCTTCACGTTCACCTGCAAACGCCAAATGCATTAGGCCCACCGTGCGTGCCCACGCGAGAAGACGTTTCGGTCCCTCCACTCCGCTTAACCTATCCACTCCGCTTAACCTAACCTAACCTAACCTAAGCTCCCCACTTACGTCGCAGTCCCGCAGCGAGTCCATGGCCAGGAGGTCGTTGCCGTGGCGGAGCTGGAAGCGCACCATTTGGTCGGCCTCCGCCAGTTCGGCGAGCTGGCCCAGGTGCTGCAGCTGCCCCTTGGTCTGGGGCACCACCGCGATCTGCTGCGCCAGCTGCTCGTGCGCGCCGGCGGACTTGAGCAGCTGCTGCAGCAACAGGGCGTACTTGCCCATGCGCTGCACGGGCTTGAGCAGGTAGCTGGCCAGGTCCATCCGATCGCCCAGCTCCACTTGCTTCGACTGGACACAGGAGAAAGACGCTGTTTTGAAACTCTGCCAGGTCGAGTGACAAACGACACTGCTGGTCGAAGACTGGGTGACATTACCTTGAAGAAGATTGATCCATACTCTGACATCAGAGCGTCTGACTTTGGTTTGTTTTTGTTGTAAAGTGCATATAAATAGAATTTGCTTTCCTGAAAGTGAACAAGAACAAAACGGCCGTTCAAAAACACAATACAACATGGTTTGACGCAAACAAAAAGCGCAGACAGCGAGCACACTTACGTGTCTGAGGAAGCTTTGACCCACGCTCAGAGGACTTTTCTCACACCTCTCCAGCTCGCGTAAAAAGAGCTGGGAGTGAAATTCGAAGATTTTCTCAATGTTACCGAAAATGACATTTCTCTGTCCGCGGAGTGCCTGCGGTATGTCCTCTCGCACCAGCTCAGGGATGTAATTCTGTGGCAACAAAAAACGTGCATAAGAATATAAGAATAAAAGTGGTTATTATCTTTTTTTATTTTTGAAAAAAGAATGTATGAAAAGTCATGTACGAACCTCAATAACATATTCAAGGGACCTGACGTAATCCCGTTCAGTTTGGATCATTTCCCGCATGATAAGCAGGAGGGTCCTGAGAAGAGAAAAAAAATTGAAAAGCGGAACTGCAGTGTAGGTAGAAGTGTAAACAAGGCCGCGTCCGGTGTTCGGTCGCTTACTTCTGCGTCTTGCGCTGCTGCTCCGCCGCGGGGTTGGCGGGGTTGGCATTGGCGGGCTCGCCGGTGCTGTTGAGGGACAGGTTGGACGCGTGGGTGTGCAGGTGGCTGTTGACGGGCACCGGCGCCGACAGCTTGCCGGGGCCCTTGTCCTCCTCCCGGTCGTTGTCGCCGTGCTCGTCCTGCTCGTCCAGCTCCTCGCCACTGCAAGCATCCAGAAATGACGTCACGACGCTGTCGCGCACAGCCGCTACTTTACGGTTCGTGGGGCGTACCTCTGAGGGCACGCCTCGCTCGGCTCCGTCGTGTGGTCGACTAGGGACGACGAGTAGCCCAGCTTGTGCTCGTCGGCGGTGGAGGAGTCCGCCGAGCCCGAGCCCGACGCCCCCGAGGCCACCGACCGGTTGCAGTCGTCGTCGAAGGGCTCGGCCGCGTACTGCCAGGAGCAGGACCGGCGCAGCACGTGGCGCTCCGGGCCGTCGGCGTCGTGGCCGCCGTGGCCGTCGTCCTGGTGGTGCAGCAGGCCGTGGTGCGCGCCGCCGCCACGCAGCACGCCGCTGCCGCCGCTGCTGACGCTGTTCGGGCCGCGGCCGCTGTCACCGCCGGCCTGCGGTCCCAGCGAGCAAGAGCACCCCGACGGGCTGGCGTCGCCGCTGGCGTCCCCGCCTGAACAGCAGCCGAAACCTGCAGGAAGAGTCTCGTCCCGGTAAACCCATTTCCCCACAGTTAAGCACCGCGGGGCACCGCCATGCTGACCTGAGTCGGTGCTGGGGCTGCCGTTGACGCCATGACTAGCTTGGCTGAGGGCGTGGCCGTCGTCGGGGCCCTGGTCCTCCTCCCGGATGTTGGCGAGGACGTCGCCGCCGAGGCTGGCCGCGCTGCTCGTGGTGCTGGCCGCCGTGCCGGTGCAGGCGGTCGGCGAGCGGCCTTCCCACAGCCCGAGCCCCCCGAGCGCCCCTAGGCCCCCGCAGCCCGGCGTCGAGCCCACGGAGCGGCGGCGGCCCACGGGGAAGTTGGAGGCGGGGGCGGCGCCCAGAGTGCCGGCCGCCGTCTGGAGGGCGGTCGCGGCCACGTCCTGGTCGCTGTCGGCCACGCGGCACTGCAGCGCGCGGATCTGCTCCAGCGTCTCCAGGCAGCGGGAGTGGGCGATCTGGGAGCAGGCAGGCAAGTACCGAGGTGAGCTTCAATTTTACCCTCAAGGTCTCTGTCCTTCTGTCGGCGCGTACCTTGCACTGCTCGAGGAGGCGGTCGTTCCGCAGCTTGCGCGCCAGCTGCAGCATCTCGGCCAGCTGGGCCTGCTCGGGCGGCGGGTGGGCCATCAGGTGGTGCTGCAGCTGCTTCCAGTCCGCCACGGTGGCGTTGGCGCCCTGGGGGCCCTGCGCCTGCGCCGTCCTGGACAGCGTCTTGGCCGTGTCCAGCGCCCAGCCCAGCGCGCGGTCCAGCAGGTGGAAGCAGCGCGACGTGTCCTCCAGCCGCTCGCGCGTGCCCTCCAGGCGGTCGCTACAAACACAATCCAGTGAAGACAACAAAGAAAAACAAATTGAAAGAAATGAGGGTATTTGAACCCGGGGCCTACCTGAACCCTCGCAGAGTGAGGCGCAGCGAGCGCGCCAGGTCAGACAGCGTGCTGCGCCCATCCTGACTGGCGTCGTCCCCGACACCCGCCGCGTCCAGAAGGTCGCTGCCCTTGTCCAGGTGGCGCTGCAACACAAAGCACCGCTGGAGTCCGGGGTTCCAAAACCGGCAGCAGAAATTTTTTTCTGCCTCTTTGTACACACAGCTGCCGCCAAGCTGACGCAAAGTGCGTGGCTTTCGAGGGCGCGGCGAGTCGCCGACCACAGAGAACAATCGTATGAGCGAAGGTCACGAGCGCGTGCACGCTTCAATGACTGAATAAGTGAATGAATGAATGAATGAATGAATGAATGAATGAATGAATGAATGAATGAATGAATGAATGAATGAATGAATGAATAGAAGGTGCACCAAACGTGCTGATAAGACGCTGGCACACGCTGGCGCCAAAATGGGCGTTTACTTCCGTCGCACAATGGCTCAGCCGGCCTGTCCCTTATCTCGCCTATTTCCAGCCGACCAGCAAAGCGAGCAAAGCGCTTTCAATGACGCAGGACTCTATGGCTTCTTTGCTGTGACTCTCGAGGTGAGCCCAAAGACATAGAGATCAGTTTCCGGAGGTTGGAATGACCCGCGCTGGCGCCCGCTCGGCAGGCAACCCAACAGCCGGGCGCGACCGACACGGCGCCGCGGCGCCTGAGGCGAACCAGTCTAGAGCACTGACCGACTTTTCCGCCGAGGGAGGAGAATCGGCGCTCCAAATCTCGTGTCCCACCGCCCCGTCCCACCCCGTGGCAGCTCCGCAGCTACACACAGTGTATGGGCTCCTTCCAGCGGAACTGACTCATGACATAATGGCGACGGGTTCAACACCGGCTGCATGCGGCCGAAATCCATTTTTACGTTAAACAGTTTGGGAGCCTGCTCCGCCCGCCCCGCCCCCCGCGTTAGCAGCAGATCGGAATCTCAATGAGCTCCACGGGGCAGGAAGAGCGGAAGCGGGGCATGGCCGTGGTCACAACACAACACCCTGAATGAATAGAGGGGATTCGAAGATTTCCGCCTGCGGGCTGTGAGGTGACGACGTGCGAAAGGGTTTCAGTTTCACAGTGAGCCGCCCCTCACTCCTTGGCGCCTTGGCGGACTTTGGCCAATCGCTAACCCCATTCCTTCCAAGAAATCAACCCACGCGTCGGAAACTTTTATTGGATTTTTTCCTAGACTTCCGAAAGCTAGCGATGAAATGCGCCGCTGCATCGTGAGGGAACGAAGGGGCGGAGGAACGCGCGGACGAGAGTTTCGCCACGCCACATCACGCCAGGCCAGCCACGCCAGCCACGCAGTGCAGCCTGGAGATACTTCGATACCTCGAACCTCGAATCTCGAACCTCGATACGGGTGCGAGAACAAACGATCCGCACATGCCTGGTGCAGGCCTTGCCGCCTTGCCGAACCCCACTTTCGGCCTCGCGAGGCATCCTGGCCGGCCTGGGCGTAGCGGCGTAGCCTCGCGTGGGGCTTCTTCCGTCTTAATCTCTCTCGCCACTCGACTCGCAGCGCGTCGCGGCGGCCGGCGTAATGGAGAGAGTGAGAGGGAAGGCGAACGTGCAACAGTCGTCGATAATCCACGCGATGCGTCCGGGCCGTCCGGGCCGTCCGGGTGCATCATTCAATTAGCCTCGCCGTTTGCGCGGGAAAAGGAGGGGGCGGCGGCTCCCGCCTTACGAGCACACAGTGTACACCGCGCGCCGCCGAGTGGCGCTGGCGCCGCTTGTCGCGGCCTCGCCTCGCGGTGTTTGCAGTGTGCGATGCGACAACTGTGTGTTGTTGCTGTATCCCGCCATCCCCGCCTAGGGCAGCCCTGGGGCAGCCTAGGGCCGGCTCAACGAACGGCCACCTGCCCGGACGGGCCGGCACGCCCGGCACGCCACGCCACGCCACGCCACGCCACGCCTTCCGGCTGCCCGGGGCCGCGCCAAGCCGCTGCAGGCCGCCACACTCGCCCCGCGGCGAACGGTTCAAAAGACGAAAGGCGGTGACGCAACGTGTTTTGGGACAGCTTACTACTTTCGGTCAGTGCACCGCACGGCGCGCACCGCGCATGCAGGCCGAGGCCCAACACGCGCGCGCTCTCTGTCTCTCTCGCACTCACGGGGCGCGCCGAAGCGAGCCGCAGGGGTGCGAGAGAGAGAGAGAGAGAGAGAGAGAGAGAGAGAGAGAGAGAGAGAGAGAGAGAGAGAGAGAGAGAGAGAGCTGCAAGTGCGAAGATGATGGACGGTCACCGTAAATGCCGCGCCTTGCCGTTTAAGCGAGAAAGCCGAAGTATTCGGCCGGTGGCGATAAACCACCCGCGCCGCGCCAGGACGCGCCAGGCTGCGCTTGCGCGTTGCGTTGCCCAACCGGCACACTACAGTGTGCGCGCGACTTAACGACGATGCACGATGACGGCGTGCCTGGTCCTCAACGACTCCCTCCCCGTTTCAATCGCGCACGTCCGCGTCCAGCAACACACTTTTACCGCCACAAAAGCCGAACCCGAAGTCGCCATTTTCTTTTTGGCGTGTTGAGTCTATCGGAGGTGTCGCGCCGAATGGAAGACGAGCCCCTCTGCTTGACAAGGGGAACGGCCGCCGCCGCGCCCGCCAGGCAGTCAGCACAGTGGTGAAAACGCGTCGTGTGAGCCGCGCCGCGACCAGCAAACCAAGTGCAAGGGAATCTGCCGCTCTGGCGCTCGACCGCTCTCAGTTTGCACATCTCATTGACCAAGAGAGGAAGTCGTGGGAAACCGTCCGGCCGGCCGTCCACCCGTCCACCACCGCGGCGCTGCGTGGCTGGCGGTGGCTGGCCGTGGCTGGCGGTGGCTGGCCGTGGCTGGCGGTGGCTGGCCGTGGCTGGCGGTGGCTGGCCGTGGCTGCGTGGGGCCTGGCCTGCTGCGGGGGCTGGCTGGCTGGCCCGGCCGGCGCGGCGCACCGCAAGGATGCAGGACAGGCCGGCCGCTCTGCAGGTGTTTACACAGGCCGGCCGTGTGAAACCGTTTGCAAAACTAAAGTTTCAACGGCAACAATTTTTTACAAAATCAGTAAATATAGGTTGGCAAAACATGTTATACTGTAGTTTGAAAAAAAAAAAACACGAAAAAAAAACTTGTCAATAAAAATTGAAAAAAAAAAAATACAAAATGCTGTCCCGTTGACAGTGCAGTGCGCTCGCGGCGTGCTGAAGATCGTCGCGGAGGCCGCCGCCATTCACGGCAATTAATCGGAACTCCGAAAAGCGCGACGACGCGACGACGAGGACGGAAGGCGACGCGACGAGTTCCGAAGTAATTCAGGGCCGTGGCGTGGCGTGCCGCGCCGCCCCGTATCCGTCGTCTCGCCGAAGGCCGCGGGGACGCCGAGCGACGACGGGCTGGGGTACCCGACCCGGCGGTACCCTTCGAGAGCACAGCGCGCTCTCGTCGTTCTGTCTCTCCCGCACTCGCCGGGCGTTCCGTGTGGGTGCGAGAGAGACAGACGAGACGCGGCCGGCAAACGGTGTATTAAAAAGAGCGCGCAGTGAATTAGAGGATAGGTAGCGGTGTTTCTGCCTGGCGGGCTGGCGGGCTGGCAGGCGCCTGGCGCGCCGCTAAATGGGCTGAATGGGCTGCCTGCCTCGCTACGCCTTGCTGTGCCAGGCCTTCCGACTGGAGCCTCCAGTGCACTGCTACTCCAGCCGCGCCAGCGCGCTCCAGAAACACAGAGCACACTCTCCGAACGCCAGACTGAGCACTTTTTGTTGAAATTTTCGGCGGAGCAGCAAGCTCTTGAATGGTACAAACCTAACACATCAGGGGAAGTGCTACCCTACGGGCGACCAAAATTTAACGTCAAACAAATTAATGTCTCTTATTCTTTCCTAGGTATATTTTAAGGTAAGTACCAGCTGCTTAAAAAATTGTGGCTCATTTTAGCGGCCTGTTAAGAGCGTGAGGAAATGTGGTCGGCTGTCACGAGTGTAAAGAGACAGCGTGTTAGGCTAGCGCTCTGGCGCGGTCTCACGCGAAAAGTCTGCCGCTGTCCTCGAGCTCGGTCTCGGTGTGGTTCGATCCCCACGAACGGGGTTGTGCAGTGCCTGCTCAGCGTGCCCATCCCCGGGCCGCCACAGACAACCACATAATTTGCCTTGCCTTGCCCTGCGCTTTGCCATGGCTGTGCCACGGCTTTGCCCGCCCTAGTTGCCGCGGCACACACCGCGGTCTGGGGACGCCGCGGGGCGGGGCGGGGTGGGGCGGGGCGTAAGACGGAAGCGAACGGAGCGATCAGTGCGGCGAACCGCAGGCCCACCATCGCAGGGACCTCCTTGGAGGAGAGCCCGGCCGGCGTCGGCGTGGTCGCGTCTTGGTCGGCATGCACCCGCCCGGAAAGGCTTCCTCCTGGCTTAGACTGGCTGGGCTGGGACCTTTCCCTGCATGCAGCCCCGCGCAGCCAAGCCCCAACAGTGTGCCGCGCATCCTGCGGTGGCTCCGTCAACGGCAGCCTTCGGTTCGCGGCGCGCCTGGCGACGCAAGGCAACGCGAAGCGTGCCGCGCCACGGCGGGGGCGGGGCACTCGGCACACAACCGTACAGATTAAAAAAAAGCCATCTAAGCCTGGCGATAAAAGTTGAAACGGCCCGAGGGAGACTCGAACCAGGGTGCTGCACTACGGAAGCGGCCGCACAGCCATCAAGCGGATTCGAGTTCCGGTCCCGGCAGATGGCCAGCGAGTGCCAGTTCGTCGTGCACATTACTGATTCTGCGCTGCTGTTGACAGTGCGGTAATGATGGAAGGATTTCCGCAGTCGAGCGGCGCACCGACGGGTCCATGGTTCAACACCGACCGTCTCCACAGTTTTCGCTCATTGTCCCAGTTTCGTTTTTTTTTTCACTTATAAATTTGCTGACCCCCAAAAAAATATAAAGAAAATAATTTTACATAGCGGCACTCTCGTTGGAGAGCCTTGAGCGTTGCGCGGCGAGGTCTCTTGATAAGCGCCAAGCGCGGGCCGCTTCTCCAGAGGCATTCCAGCCGCGCCGCCCACCCCTGCCGAGGCTCCAGCCCGGCTCCAGCCACTCCAGCGACACGCCATGTACGCGGGCGCGGGGCCAG